CCACGTGTTTGAATTACGATTGCTGTGTGAGTTGTATTGGAATACGACACGGCTTTGAATTAGAACATTATTGAACATTGAGCACTACTTAATTAGGCTTTTAATTAACAGTTATTAAGCTTTTAATTAAGAAAATTTTAATTTTTGCACACAGCTTGGAATGAGCTGTATGTGTCCAATTCAAGTTGTGTCGGAATTAGTTTTTGTGTCTAAATCCATTTCTCAACTTAATCATCTATTAATTTATTTACCACTTGAAATCAGCAAATACAAGTATACTTAACGGATTCCTAATATATTCACAGACGTATTTAAAAGTCTCAAACCTTAATATTCTTTCTACACAAACAGTTTATCAATATTTGGTAGAGCAAGGTCAACTGTCAACTTTGACACATTTTTCAATGATCTCATTGGGCGGCATGCACCGTCTCTCTTTGAATCTCAACATTTTCCCGCTAGATGGCCCAGACCTAGTGTTTTGGCAGTAGTTTGATGCACAAATGTATGACGTCACTATTTCAACCATCAACAAACGCATGGAACTAAAACAAAGCTTAATATAAAGGAAAAACTAGAGAGGCGACAGAATTACCCACGATGTCGGAATATACCGCGTTTACCCTAACTCCCCGTCTTCCTCTTCTACTCAGGATTTAGGCCAATATCTTATGTATGATAATGCTGGTATTTATAATACTGTGCAAGTGTGCAGGTCACTGGTGTACTTGACACTTGACAGTACCATCAACCAGGGCTACTCAGGACACTTTTGAACATTTTTCATTCATAACTTCTTACCATGAAACATTTCATAAACAAATTTAGGCTCATTTTATAGCTCTTTGCGAGGGCTATCGAATGGCATCTTCACAGAAATCCCATATGCTATTCATAAGGTGCCAGAAGCAAAAAAAGAGTGTCCCGAGTAGCCCCCTCAAACGAGGCTACTCAGGACACTTGGAATAAAACTTCATTTTAAAACATTTAAAGCATGCAGAGCTTACTCATCCATTACTAACAGTACTATGAAGTCCTCCTCTTTCATTGTAGATGATGTAGAGGTAGAATAAATTACATTTTCTGGGATTTTTACTTGTTTTTCCTATATTGATATGATATTACCATATACATTTATTACCGTATTATTGATGTGACATTATCGTATTATTGATGCGATATTACCGTATCCATGAACATGCCATTGAGCATTTACAACAACCTTGTCCACTGCAAGCTTCATATCAGCAGCCTTATGGCATTTTTTCTGTATCTGTAAGCTTACAGGATGGCTTGTAATTTCATACCATTTTAATTACGTTAAGTGAATTTACTATAAAAAAAAAGATTGTGAAAACATACCTGAAACAGAAAGGAATGTTTTAGTGACTACCATCATATGCTTTGGAGAAATAAATCATAGTTTAGGTCAATTACTTTTCATTCTATGATGCCTGGTGCACAATTCTATATATGACATTCCATGCACAATTTTGTGATGACCAATGATGCACTAATTTTTCGATAAGTGAAATTTTTTCACTGAGCAAGGTAAATGTAATAAATATCCTTTGCTTTTAATCCATTTTTTTCTTAGCTGGAGCCTTTGCTAACTGAGGTTCTACTGTAAATGCGTTTTTGGGGATGTCCTGAGTAGCCCCGCCGTGCGGTAATGGCTGCAATTTTTTTTGGAATGAGACAGGATGATTCCGTCAATTGCGGTTTCAAGCCAACACCTGGGTGCATCTTTTATGTTAGTAAAATTTTTTAATATGGCAAATATTTTTTTGCTACAGAGTACAGACCTTAGCAGAAATAACTTTTCTAAATAGCGCTTTTTACCATTTTTTTCAGGAATTTATCAAAGCTAGTAAATGTAGTATTTTTTGACTTCCTTTATACAACATAGATAGGAAAAATGTTGATGTTTACGCCACTATATTTAGTTTTGCAATATTCCAATTAGTTTTGCTACTATAAGTTTTACGCCGTGGCGGAGGACTGTCCCGAGTAGCCCCGCCATTCCCAAGTAGCCCCGGTTGATGGTACTTGTACTTCTAAGACTTGTACACAAATTTAGTCAAGGATGAGTAAAAATCTCTGCTTTGCCTCTATGAATCATAGAATTAGCTGCTAAACAATATGTAAAAAAATCTCAACACAATAAAACTTCAACACCAACACTGTCCAACAGCAACAATCACATTAACTAGGGTTGAATAAGTGACAATGCCTAAATAACTTTATGGTGATGACATCATGATCATGGATACTTCTGGAGAGTGGAGCCCTGACCCTGATCTCAGTGATTTTGAATGAAGACTTGGAGCCTTGGACAAAGTTGAAAGTAATTAAGATTTGAGAACATAAGTTATTTCAGAGGATAGAGGCTCAGTCTGCTCTGAGACTGCTCAGAGGCTGCACTGGCACCAACTGGACTAGCACTGGGGTCCATGGGTGGCTGGGGTTTCTGCCCTTTCTCTCCTGAATATGTTAATAAAGTTCTACATGTCAAGATATACTATTAATAATAATAATATTTACAATCAATATTGATATTAATAAATATATACTACATTAGTTATAAAAATTACAGCCAGCTCAGGAATAGAACTACTCACTGATGCTTTCTTAGCAGCTAGTGACCAAAAATAAGCAATGCGGCCAATAACCAGCTTAATAACCCTAAAATAGTTAGGCTGACTAGCACTTGACTAATAAGTAGACAAGGGCAGTATGGGGTAGGCGCAAGTAAACAGTTTCATGTAATTGGTAATGATGTTTTTGTAACAGTAAAATTATCATGGTCAGTAAAATATATGCAAAAAAACTTTGAAATATAAACCAAAACACTAATAGGAACTTTGGAGGCACTGTCACAGTCATCACTGAGACTGAATCACTAGTAGTATGCCAGTGTGGAATTCTAAAGGGGTATTAAATTAACTAGTTGTCATATCTGTTGATGATATTCCTTTCTAGCTGTGACTGGTTGGTGGGATTCAAGGATTGTGATGTCATCCCCTTTCCAGCAGTGATTGGTTGATGAGATTGTGATGTGATCCTTTCCAGCTGTGATTGCTTTTGCCCAAATATGGTATGTATACTTGTTAACTCAATACTTAACTTAAACTTAATCAGTACAAACAAAGGGCCTGGAAATTTTTCAAAAAGTACATTAAATAAAAAAAAAATTAAAATTATCAATCAAACAAGAGACAACTAATCCAAATCTGAAGTACTACACAATTGAAACAGTTTTCCACTTTGAACCCCCTTTCTCTTAATAGTCAGTCACTTGGGGCGCTGTATCTAAAGAAAGCTTTACATCTTGGGTGGGAAGCTTTTTTTATTAGTGAACTTCCATTCCTAGAATACCACACTGGTAGTACCGCATCACCAAACTCCATTGCGGCTGCCACTGATGCGGGCATTGGACTAAAAAATAGTCTTGTTACAATTTCCACCATCAATGTGCAGCTATTTGCAGAGCTCCAAAATTTAGACAGCCTGCTCAAAGAAATGTTAGCTTGTTTTCTCCCTATCTTTCATTAACTGTGCAATAAATCAAAGTTCTCTAATTGCAAAAAGTGGCACTTTTTTTTGTGCACATCCTTAAATTCAATTAGGTTGAACTTCTGAAAAAGCTTGCCTACCTACTACCTAGTCTCTAGTTTAGAGACTACTGTCTAGTGTGTAAGGGAGGTTTTTTCAGGTTTTGATGGTTGCCTTTGAATTTTGAATTACTATTTTGTTGTACTTAGAGTCTTACCTTCTAAGGTTTTCTTAACCAAGTCAACTGAAGTCACTAGAGCATGGTACTGTACTGCAAAATGTTTTCTTGTATAAATTTTCGTGTCATCTTGATCTTTGGTTTTAAATTCCTTGTTAAATTTGCAATTCAAAACATCAAGTCATTCAAATGATCTTGCTGATTCAAAGGTAGCCTCTGAAGTTTTGACTGGCTTTCCAGTTTAGGCTGAGTATCAAGCACCAAGGCAAGATTTGTTCATTTATATAAATGAAATAACTTATGAAATTGAATTTAAGTTTTGATGACAAGTCATCTTTTGCATTTGAATTTTAAAATTAGAGTTGTTTTAAAATTTTCTCTGTGTAGTAGCAGGATTTGATAGATTTTTCAACTACAAGTACTAACTACTCCTACAATATGTAAAACTGTGGACAATATTACGGATGGTACATACAACTAGCAAGATATAAAAATATCTGGCAATTATCCATACTTTCCATTCCACATTCTGGCAAATCAGGCAAAAGCCAGTCAGCCACCTGAGAATCCATGAATATAACAAAAATATAACTCAGTACTCACTGCAGTGAGTGACAGCGCGCATTTTCTTGTCAATGAAAACTTGAGGTCTACGGACAGACAGACAGACGGACGGACATGGCAAGCATAATAGTGCATTTTTTCCATAAATGAGAAAATGCGCTAAAAGCACCTACCAGATGCTTGTGGTAAATTTTGTAAATTTTTATGTCCATCACCTACCATCAGTGACACACGAGTTGCAACTCGGCACAAGCAGCTGCTGCACTTATGTCGCCCCACCTTAATACTAACATTATTTATAATACGGGCCAAAGTTTCAATTTGTCAGGTTCCTTTGCCATATAATAACTAAAGTGGTTTTTCAATCACACTATAAAATTGTGGCTTGATTTTGTTCACAAAATAGATTGTTTCCATTGATTGGAGGCTGACAACTTAAGTGCTGTGATGACAATAGTGGCTATGAGCCAATGATGATAATTTCTTCCATAAAAACTAAGATAAATGACCCATTTTGGCCAGCATTTTTCAATAATCTTTGTAAAACATTTGTTTTGGATATTCAAATGTCTGCATGTTCACATATTTGCATATTAAATGGTTAAGCACTAGGCAACTTACCTGTCATTTAGAATCTTTGTTGTTAGTGCTTGAGTTAACAATTATTATTTTGTAATTTGTTTACTTTATATATCTATTTCAGCAGTTATTGGTAACCTGACATGGATGAAACACAGAATTTGTCCTGTACACAGACATTTTTTGATGAGGCCGGCGATGAAGATGCCAGCAAGCCACCAGTGGTGAGATTTATACCAGCCTCTTATTATTGATACTTGTATCATATGTCATTAATGCATTTTTTAGCAGGAAATAAAAAGTTGTAGGCATTAAGCTCTTATTTAATTAGAAATTTGGGGTAAATTCTTATACCTTTTGTATATAAAAATGCTATACTGTATTTGTATTCAAATATATAAAACATTGGTACAAAACTAGTTTTATATATAGTGCTTGCACAATTTTTATACAGCAGATCCCTGCATTAATTTGCTTTATATGCATATTTTATTTCATAGTAACTGGATTAACTTGTGTTTCTTTTCCCAGACTTGTTGGCTAGAAATAGCCGGAGTGAAGCACGAGCTTGTGTTTGGTGAAAATAAAATTGGACGAAACCCCAAAACATGTCAGGTTCTACTGAGAAATGCTGTGGTGAGTGAATATTATTACATTTAATCAATATATGTTGTTTGCAATTTATTGTTGCTACCGTATCATTATCAACTCAAGCTTGGTGCAGCAAATTTTTTGGCTGGAAAGAAACATTCACATCCATTTTTTATCTAGGCATAAAATATGCTTGAGAAAAATCATACTTGCCTCAAAATTTTGAAGTGTTGTTTGAATTGGGAGTTCTAACTGAAGAAATGTTTGAAAGAATCTGTCCTTAATTAATAATTACTAATTTTATATAGGTAGTAGTTAAATAATTACCTATAGAGCCTGAATTTTGATGGCTAAAGGGTTCTATAATTCTCAGTGATTAACCATCTCCTAGGAGCTTATGTTTATACTGCAGCCTTGTATAAGATGATCACTCTGTCGTATTGTCTCATTGCCAGAGTGTGTCTAAAGAGCATGCCGTGCTGCATGTTGGTTTCGGCTGCAGTACTCTTGTGGACCTTGCGAGTCGGAATAAAACCAGACTGGGCAAGGTAAATTCTCCTTTGCAGAAAATGGCAACAATGTTAGTGTTCCTTATGAAATATTCTTTTTAAATCTAAATTTATCTAATGTTTATTAAATAATAATAATAATGTCTGTAAATTCTGTCATTTGTTGTGATAAATTAGTTATACGTCAGTGTCATTTTAGTGTTTAAAGTAATTCGACATTCTGTTGCAGCAAATTCTTTGTCCGCACATCCAATATGCTATTACCGGAGGTGCAATGCTGCAGTTTGGAGTTGTCAAGGCCAAGTTCATCACTTCGTCTGTGAGTTTATTACTTCCCTTGTTTATTTTGTGACTATTTCACATCTCTTAGTTAGGATAGCACCATTGTTAAGAGTCCATAGATAAAATTTAATTGCTCAACTGCATTATACAGTGACGCTCATATTTATTGGCAACTTTCAACTCTAAATTTAAATATTGCACCTATGTCCAAGCTACTGTTGAAATATTAGTGTGCTTGTATTAAAATTAGTGTGCTAGCCTGTAATCGTGTGAACTAATTTCTTACCTTAAAAATATATTATTCATTTAATATTTTCAGGTATATCTTATTTTGTAAATTGATTGTTATTTTCCTCGTGCAAAATTAATGGCAACCTTTACATAAAATCAATTTAACTCATCATTATTGATCAAGAATATTCTAGGTTCATCTGAGGATGACTCTACAACATTGCAAAACATTCCAAAACACTTTGTGCCTATACTATAAACCTATACGCCAAGTTTACGCTTTCTCAGTTAGTCGTCGGGAGCAGTCGTATAAACACATCTCCAAGATTTTCTAAATTCAATTATGGCGAAGACTTCTGAATACTCACAGGACATAAGGAAGTGTGTAGTTGAACTACACAATAAAGTAAATAGATATAAAAAAAATCAACTCTGAATGTTCCAATTTCATCCGTAAGGAATATTATTGTCAAGTTCAGGAATGATGGGACCACTGCTAATCGAGCACGAACCGGTCGTGATCGAAAATTAACCGAAAGAGATGTGCGTTCCTGCATGAAAATAGTAAATAAAGACCCGAAGATCACTTCCAAGGAATTACAATCACATCTGGCTAGTACTGGAACAACTGTGGATGTGTCAACAGTGCGACGCTACCTGAACCGTGAGGGCCTTCACGGGCGTGTACCAAGGATGAAGCCACTGTTGAAGCCAATTCACAAGGAGAAGCGTTTAGAGTTCGCCAGGAAGCACATCGATGCTACTCAAGCAGAGCTCAATAATATATTGTGGTCGGACGAGACAAAGCTTGAACTTTTTGGTGTGAATGACAACCGCTTTGTATGGAGGAAATCTGGCGAAGCTCTGCTGGAAAAGAACACTCTGCCTACTGTGAAGCATGGTGGTGGGTCCATCATGTTGTGGGGATGCTTTGCTGCTGCAGGTACTGGGAATATTTCCGTGATAGAGGGCATCATGAATTCTAAAGGATATCAACACATTTTAACTGATAATGTTAAGCAATCGGCAAGAAAACTGCATCTTGGACGGGCATTTGTCTTTCAACAGGATAACGACCCTAAGCACACAATCATATCAACACAGAAATATTTTGCTACACAGAAATTGAGAGTGTTGGAATTGCCTTTCCAAAGCCCAGATTTAAATCCAATTGAAAATTGATGGAGGGAACTCAAGAGGCGTGTTCATAAAAGAAGCCACAGCAACATCGAAGAATTGAAGACTTTTGCCATTGAAGAGTGGCGCAAGATTCCTACTAAAACATGCCAACACCTCGTATAAACATACAAGAAGCGTCTGTCTGCTATCAATGCTGCCAAGGGAGGTCACACAAAGTATTAAGTTAGAGTTGCCAACAATTTATGTTTTTTTTTTAAATGTTGCCATTTCTTTTGCTTTTGGTGTTTTTCTAATAAATATAAATACAACAAAGATATAACGTTTTACTATCCGTTATGCACAGTAATTAGATGTTCTTTGATCAATTTAACTGGAAAATTTAAATGCAAAAATTGCAATAAATGCTTCAAATTATATTATTTCTCAAATTGAATATTTTTAAGCGTGTTGCCAATCAATATGCGCATAACTGTATATCATTTACATGAAAGTGTATTCCATAGCTTAGTATAATGAACCGCCATATTTTAAAAACATGTTTTTTTAGATTGAATTTAAATAAACCAATTAGAAAATTAAAGCCTAATTTGTTTCCAAGTCCAAGTTATATATACCTGAACATGAGTATGTGGGATACGCGCCTAAATAGACCCTATATATATTTATTTATATTTAAAGCGCCTGGCTTCAAACACAAACGATCAAACTATATCATATGTATTAGATTATACTCTGTGTTGCAAGTATCAATCATACCCAGATTATATTCAGAACTTCTTTGTATTGCTGTAATTAGATGTGGCTGACCCAAGGTTCCAATTTATCAGTTTTGTTGTATCACTAAAGTCTCTTAAATGTTGCACTTGCGTCATATATTTCATAACTAAAATAATGATTGCTGAGCTGATTCGTTGATGAAACTTCTGGTGAATAAAATGTATTTAGTTATATACTTATAACAATCTATAAGTTATCACCGTTAGACATCCTGCTTCTTGCAACTCTACCTCATTTTCACCATCTTATCTGCAACACATCGTAATTCCCCTTAACATCTCCAAAACATTGTACCTGTTCTTATATCTCTTAAAATAATGCATTCACAGTGCAGATTTAATCGAGTTTATCCGTACTGTATTACAATGACATTGTTATATTAAGAACCTTTGCAGAATCTCTCATTTTTTATATGTTACTAGCTCCACTAAAACCGGTTTGTTTCGTTTTACAGGACTCAGATAATAATATGGATGTTACCGGAAACAATGGGCTGAGACCAGAGAGAGATACCGATTCATCGACGAGAGCCTTGCATCCCGATGAGCAGTTGCAGCAGCCTTCAGGAACTCCTGCCTCCACCACTGCAGTAAATTCTTGTACTCCCAACAGTCGTCAAGATGACTCATCACCTCTGTTGAAACTGAAGCAAGGAAATGCTACAAATATTGCGAAACCCTTATCTTTGAGCCTCGATAATCAGTTTAAGAATTCCTGTTACAAAGATACGAATGTTGAATCTTCAAGAAAGGCAGGGTTTTGTTCACCATCTCCTGAAAATGAAGCCAATACCCAGCCTAATAAAAGTTCACAGTCTGTCATTGTTGAAAACTTCCTTTCTTGCACTCCTGTGATGGAGGTGACACGGAAAAAAATTTGCAGTCCGTTTAGAAAAAAAGGTGAGAAGGATCGTATCTACGCTCGCAAGTGCTTCTTCATGCCCAGCCCAACCAAACATGTTGTTGAGGAGAGTGACGAAGAAGGGACCGTCAAGTCTGATGACAGTGACTCTTGTGACTTGGATGACAGCATCATCAGTCCAACTCAACATCCAACAACGTCGTCCACGTTGCTGATGATAAACAAAACTTCGTCTCTATCCGTCCAGGGAGGCGGGCCATCACGAGCTGTGCGGTCTCCTGAACATCCCGGTAACTCTGAGAGATGAGAGCTGGTCATGTGTTGTTGTTTCATTTTGGTGCTTGATATTAAATTTCCTAGCAGCTCTTAATCAATTCTGGTGGTTATACTCATGTCAAGTCGACGAAATTAATAACGAGTTTCTGTCATTCATCCCTGCACTTAGTCTATAAGGTGGTGAGTGTAGCTCGGCTGAGATTCAAAATATTGATCTCATCCGATGTTTTTATTGCACGTTTTCAACATGGATAATGTATGTTACTCTAGCATTCGTAATGGATGTTACTCTAGCATTCGTAATGGATGTTACTCTAGCATTCGTAATGGATGTTACTCTAGCATTCGTAATGGATGTTACTCTAGCATTAGTAAAGTTTTTTCATTGTAACATTGTACCTGCCTATTTTGAATCTTCAATTTCTCTATGTTTCTATTTAGTCTTTTCTGATGGGTACTTCTACCGCGCCCAGTTTCCTGTACATGTTTCATTACGATCAGGTTTGCCTTCAGTCGTGCCCGAGACGCCGCTCTCAGCGCACGATCAAAGCTCCGCTTCTGCCGGCGATTTGTCAAGTTTGATTCCCAACTCGCAGATCTCTCCTGCTACGCCTTCGTTCAGGAACCCAATGGCTGCTAAAAATGCTTCTCACAATAAGGTAATGGTCCTGAACTTTCGTCACTGATATTTTACTACCGATTTATATATTATAATCATATATTATTTGATAATCAACTCTTTGTTCAGTTATGTGACTCACGTTTATTATTTGAATAGTGAATGCGATTTTCTGAACAACATTTTTAAAATTTGCCTTAGGTGACATAGTCGCCCGTATATCTTACCCGCTGGTCTATCGGGTTTTATCAAGTTGAGTATTTGGGACTTCCATAAACAAAGTTACATTATAAATTTAATTTAGCTGTATCGTAAAACTTGTGATGCTACCGTGGTGATGAAGAGGATATATATTTTGATAGAGTGATGGATAGTAGTATTTATTAAATTATTTTTTATTATTGCAGAATTCTACAAGAACTATCGATAGTTTTAGCTACAGGTTCACCGAAGGATACAATAGTGACGCTGGCACAGACACTGACGATGATGGCGTCGATGTTACAGTGAAATTGCACGATGAAATTGCAGCAACCAGCAAAGTAGCAAAACACGGTGAAAATATCGACAAAAAAGACAATCTTACGGAGAAATCTACTCCTGAAATATTTAGTGAGCTAACACAAGTGTGTCGGTCGACTCAATCTACAGATATTGTCAACTCTAACATTGCCGACCAAAATGACACTTTGGTGTCGACTCAAGACGTCTTAGAAGCCTTTGATAACCAGTCAAGTGACGCAGCTGTTGACATCAGCTATGAAACTCAGGATATTTTGTCTGCATTTGATAAAACTGCTGAACATGCCGGAAAATCAGTCACTTCTGAATTCAAAAAACCATTCTCAACTCCTGCTAGAAAGATAAAAAAGACTTGTCAGGCTAATACCGATGTATCCTCTTACGATGAGTTCAGATCTATTGATAACGTCTCGACTCCAATTGTCTCGGATTTATGTGATTATCCCACTCAAGTTTACAATTCTCCTCCATTGACAGCAGAAGAGGATTTGTCGTTAGCTTCCACGCAGCTTTTCACCGGGAGTACAAACTCTGCAGAAATGCCCACCCAGCCATCCATTCCCGAAGATCAGGATACATTTTCTGAAGACAGCGTCAGTGACTTGTGTACTCAAATTTTTAACGAAAATTCTGATAATTTTGATAGATATCCAGGCATGCAGACTCCGGTATCTCGGTCTCAAAAACTTAAAAGAAAGAGCCGGGATGGAGCTTTGACTCCTCGACTCTTGAATACCACTGAACCTGAGAGTCCCAGCTGCCTTCCTACTCAGCTTTTCACGGAAGATGAGGAGTCCCAGCAAAAGGAGTTGAATGAAAGCATGACCTCTGGACCTCACAATCTTTCAACTAATACCTCGGCAATGGCTAGCTCGGAGACATTGAAACCAAAAGATCTTCAAAGCGATAAATTTTCTGTGTCGGAGATGGAGACTCAGTTGTACTCCAATTGTGCGGAGTCTTCAAATACTCATAAACTCCTTAGTATTGGAGACAAAACTCTGAGTGAGATGGAAACGCAACCTTACTTCGGATCTGAGTCCATTGAAGAATTACCATCTATGACTGAAAGTGAGGAAGCTTCAGCACCTCCAGCGGAGCTTGAAGAAAGCTCCTGCAACTCAGCTACGCAGCTCTACGTGGGGGAGGTTATAGCTGAGGATGATGGCGCGGTCGATGTAGATGCCACTCAGTTATTTGACTCGGCATCAAATGGGTCCCAACCGACGGTTGCGGAGGGTTCGCACCAACAACTGTACGATCTTCCTACTCAAGAAATGCTTGAAGAAGAGAACGAAGAAAAGACTTCTGATCGGGCTGATGAGAGCAAGTGTGATGGCAATCCTAGAGATGGAGACAGAACACTAACACCAGTTGTTAACGGGGCGCTAGATCCAGACTTGCCAACTCGAGAGACATGCGGAATTCAAGGGTCTCCTTCGCTGTTGAATAACGATTTTTGTGTTGATAAACGCATGATTTCAGACTCAGTTCTTCATAAGGAACTCGATGATATGGATTTGACTCCTTCCTTGAATCCGGATGCACGACTAAGCCATAGTCGAACTGTAAATGCCGAGTCATTGCCGGCCGAGCTTCCAAAGTTTGACGAAGATATGGACACTGACAGCTGCAATTCTTCGATTGCATCCGACACATTACTTTCTGAGTTACCTTCAGAGGCGCAACTCGAGGATAGAGTCATGGCAAATTCTGAACCAGACTCTTCAACAGAGTTTAGCATGGAGAAAAGTAAATTTCTTCAGCAATCGCTTTCCGAAAATGACGAGAATCGTGAAAATCGCAATTTTGATCGAACAGTAGAAAGTGCGACTTATGATAAGAGTGAAGAACCTGAACTGACGAGCGACAATCAAAGAACGTCTCGAACAAGTGACTCTCTGGGGACATCAGAAATAGAAAGAAACATGGCTCAGGAATCGACGCCAGAGCAGGACTATGGCGCGGACCTCAGCACAGACGATGAGGGGGAACGCGCCGATGACTCCTGCCAGCAATTGCCGGTCACCACAAACTCATCAAATCAAGACAGTACACATTTAAGCTCTGTCCCTGCAAATACGAAGGCTGAGAACGCGAGATCTGAATTGAATACAAGTATTAATTTGTCGGAATCAACTCCATCAGCAACTCATGTTGACTTATCAAGAAATGATACAACTTCGTCGGTGGCTCCTGGTGACCTGCCAATGCCTGGTACAATTTCGTCGGTGTCGCAAGATGAGACATCAGTGATTAAATCTGCTTCACCAATGACCGATATTGGCTTATCAGTGACCAATACAGACTTAGCAGTGGCTGATGTAGCTTCCTCTGTAGTTGATGCCTTATTGGTGGCCGAGAAAGCTTTGTCATCACCTAGGAACAAAAAACCAGTTTATTTACCTTCCACCTCAGCGGATAAAAGTGACGTAACTCCTACCCTTGGTATATGTGCCACTTCAGGTCGTGATTCTCAGTTCAGCGCTTGTGAGCCAGACAAAACTAACGCTGAAGTTGCCAATACCTCTGGACATTCTTCTTTCCAATTCGGATCCAATCCTTATCATGTTAACGAATCTGACAGCGACGACGGTGTCGAAAATATGTCCGTTGACACCATCATTTTTACGTCTGATGTCGAGTGCGGAGAGCAGCCTGATGGCCTCTCCTCGCCAGCTAAAAGTATTGCCTCTTCTTCTCGCAAAACTCCAGAGCGTGTCCCGAAAATTCTATGTAATTCGGATGATGAAAAAGTTACTATTGCGGCAAACCCCCGTCAGTCGACATTGCTTAAAAAGAAGTCTGTATTGCCAAAGAGTTTTGTGATTTCCAGTGATGAAGAAGAGGAAGTATCAGCTACTTCACAAGCGCTGTTTAGCATGAATATGTGCACTGTTGATGAATTGAATTCTTCGAATTTTACTCCTGTTGAGGAAACTATCAATAAAAGCGACCAGGCCTCAGCAAGCTCCTCATGTTTGCCTTCTCGGATGTCTACTTCTGGTAGTTCCTCACAGACAAAATCTACTGAAGATACAATAGCTTGCAATAAAAGCAAACGTTTGATACCTTCAAGAAGACTGCGTTCACAAATGTTGGCTAATAGAAGCGATGAAGTCCGCACGTCTACAATTATCATTAGCAGCGACTCAGAAGAGGAATCTGAGAATCTTATAATCAAGTATGAAGACATATATAAAGAAGCATCTCGGGCTAAGAAAAAGATATCATCTCCTCCTGTAGAGGCTCTTGATGCTGAGGGGGAACGGAGTTTTGATGCGTCGGCTGCTGGAACAAGTAGAGCTACTTCGCTCGTCAGTGGAAAACGAACTCGAGGAAGACCAAAGAGAATGAATGTCAAGAATGGTGGGCATTCTTCTACCCAGGAGGATTCGTTACTAGTCAATAAATCTGCTGAAACAAATGGTGATACTAGCGTTAGTGTAGTTGTTGTCAAAGAAAGCAATGAAGTTGCGGATAGAATTGGTAATGGTGTTGGGAACAAAAGAACCTGTTCAGCTTCTTCCAGTAACAAATTTAGTTGTAGAGCATCGGCAGCGACTAATGCCGGAATTGTCGTGTCGCCGGGTCCGACTACGCGGAGCGGGCGAACTCGCCGTGCTCCCTCTCGATTTTCAGATTATGCTACGACGCTTGATAAACAAACTGCTCACTCTGAAGAACATCGTGAAACTAACGTCAGGGTTAACAAGAAAAAGAGCAAGTCTCAAGAAAATATATGTAATGAATCAAAGTTGGTTGATCACGAGAAAGCACAAGTATCAGAAACAAAGAATAGTGACGAGAATATTGAGCTGAACATTCCACCTTCGTCGACTGATTTAAAAGCACTGAGGGCGTATCGCACCGACATTGCAAGAAATAACTCAGCAAATCAACGTGATTGTGACCATGTAGTACAACGCAGTTTGCCTGTAGGACAGCTTGATGTGCCGTCTACGAGCTCCAGTGCACCTTCAGTAATAATATTTGATGCTGTGTCAAGCCCATCGGAAACAGATTCTGAGAATGAAGCAACTGAAATGTCAAATCGTAAAACTGTTACGAAGGCAATTATTTCATCTCAGTCTAAAGTGCCCTCCACTACTGATGTGGCAGCTATATCAACTCGAACTACCAGATCAAAAAATAGAGCCAGTATCGAAACATCGACTTTATTGGAAGGCAGGCCTCCGATCAGAAAGCCCAAGGGTCGAAAAAGTGTTGCCGTGTCTTCGTCAGAATTCAAAATCATCCCACGTCAAAACAAGTCTAATGATGTTCTCCAAAATAATGTTTCTGATCTGAATCAAATAAAAGATAACTTGATTAGCTCCCGAACCGCCAAACGATCGACAAAATATAAACCTATCAAGGATGCAACTGCAACAACTTCGGGCGAGGCTGGGGTACGGCTGAACTCTACTCGCGCTTCTGCAAGAACGTCGGCCCAAAATTCGGCGCGAAAACGTGAAGCGTTGAACGTTGTTTCAGAAGATGAAGATGGAATCTCAGCTCTTAAAAATGGAAGTAAGAAATTGAAGACCACAGACGATACTGGACCATCGTCTCAGTCCCCAGCATCATCGCAATCCTCAGTGGACTCGCAAGAATCTCAAAGCTCACTTTCATCAGCCAGTACTGTTGTTTTAGCCACTAACGGAAAAACTTCTAAGAGTGAGTTAGTTCATCCAAAGACTGGGGCAGAGAATAGAAAATCTGATAATTTGGGTTCAACGGACGGTGCTATGATGTTAGAAACAGCGAAGAAGCGTGAATATCCGGGCCCCTCTGATATTAAAGGAAAGAGAGGCAGACCTCGCAGTAATACGAGAACTCCCGAAACAAAACCTGAAGCTCGAGACGAGCTAAATGAAACGAATCTCTCTATACAAAGTGGGGAGAGTTTCGCGTCGTCCATTGGACGAAGACGTCAGGGAGGCTCGGGTCTTCCGCGCCGCTCCTCCGCCGCGTCTACGAACAGGAGATTTGCTTCAGACGGTCTCGAGGAGGTAACACGCGCTGATATTTCCCTGTTTAGATTATTATAATTGGATTGATTTAAAGGTTACTATGATGTTGTTACTGCTTACGCTTGAAATTTCCTTTTGATAATGTCTTTCTGTGATGGAAGCTCGGCCATATTTTGAATATAAATCCAATATATATTTGATAAACAGCTGTTGATCTTAACCCGCTACAACTTCATTCTCTTGTTACAGACCAACTCGGTAGTTGTTGCTCTCTGCTCGCTACAATCGCTACAACTTCATTCTCCTGTTACAGACAAACCTGCTGCTGAGCTCGCCGGCTGAACGGCAGGCGCGAGCCAACACCAAGCCTCGTGTGCTCTTCACAGGCACCGTGCCGTCTCCTGAGAATCTCAGAACAGTCAAGAAACTTGGTGAGAATTTAACTTTTTGGTATGCCTATACTACATCAATCCAAACAACCATTACTTTATTGACAATGTTTGAAACTCGATTGTTTGATCAAATTAAAAGTATTTGATTCTTAGATTCACGCTTGACGCGAATTCACTTATCGTCATAAGGACATCTACTGTGAAAATAAATTTTTGCGTAATTCATTTTCAGTGTCCTTCATCTGTATCTAAATTTTTCTCATCAAGTTAATATAACTAAATTGCCTCTTGTATTCGAATAACATTCAATGTTGTGTTTTGGAAACAATTGGAGAGTCTTCATTAGACTGCTATTATTCTTAATTCTTATACTATTATACAACCATTTCAACCGTTATGACATTTGTGCATGAATCTTGTGAATGCTATATCCTAGTATCTAAGAATACTATTGATCGTTACGACACATTTGTTTGCTCTTGGTAATTCCATGAACATTATTGGTCGTGGTATCTCACGTACCATGTCACGACACCACACGACGCATTTGTTTGCTCTTGTTTACCCCATGAACATTATTGGTCGTAGTATCTCAAGAAGCATGTTACGACACATTGTACGGGCAGGCGGTGTGGTGGTGGAGAGCGCCGTGCAGTGCTCGGTGCTGGTGTCATAACACATTATCTGTACGGGCAGGCGGGGTGGTGGTGCAGAGCGCCATGCAGTGCTCGGTGCTGGTGTCATAACACATTATCTGTACGGGCAGGCGGGGTGGTGGTGGAGAGCGCCGTGCAGTGCTCGGTGCTGGTGTCTGAGACAGCTAAGCGCACCTGCAAGCTGCTGGCGTGTGCTGCTCGCGGCGTGCCTGTCGTCACCGAGGCTTGGCTCGCGTCCTCCGCTGCTGCTGCTGCCTTTACTGGTCAGGCCTTCCTCACTATAGTCACAAGTACAATGTTGATCATCCTAAAAAAATAATTACAAGGTGGTAACTCTGTCAGCTAATTACTAACGGCTTTTCTAAACGACGCAATTGCAGACCAGAAATCGACTCCTACTTTTACTTATACCGCTACGTGTGCTTACTTGAGCGAGTTTTTATAGTACTGCCCCTGTTCATTTATCAATAGCTTATGAATGTTGAAGCATTCGTAATATGACGAGCGTAATTAAGCCGTTGCTACATTCTCGTGTTTTGTAATAACCACACTGCATGAATATTTCAATATATTTATTTTTTAAATCATATTTATTCAATCATATTATATTATAAATGTTTGTCCGTAATAATTTCTCGAGTTATACACTACAATCAGTTGTTAAATATAAACGGTAGCATGTAGCTTCCTTACCATAATTCCTTCTGTTTCGCTTATCTGCAAACGCGTAAAAAATTCTGTTCTTGGAATGTGTGCATTCATGACCATCGCAATACTACGGATACTTTTCATCTCCCACCTCTGAATTAGGGTCAGCTTGTGCACACCTCACTTCACAACTTCTCCCCGGTCATTTCTATTCAAGCCTTGAGTTGTCATCAACGGCGGCAATGACACGATTATTCAATTTGTATTACCTTCAGAATTTATTAGTCACAGACGCGAATCCGTTGCCAAAAATTTTAGTTTACAGTTGGGTGCTCCGAAATAATTTTACTGTAAACTAATATCTGATGAAGACGAGCAAAAAAAGTAATATAATATATTAAAGAAGCCTTATAATGTTCCTACAATGGCGGCAAATTATAGACGTTTATTGTCGGACGGGTTTTGACTGCGAGAAATAGCGAGGTTATTGAATAGTCAAGGTGAAATTTATTCAGACATACCAGTATGCACAACTACAACGATTTTTTTCCCTGTTTCTATGAACGATCAATGTAATCTCTTTGTAGGACCCATGATGTTAGGTTTTAAAGCAGTATTCAAATGAAGACGTGTCTTTCATGCCTCAGATCCTTGGGAGTTCATCGTGCAAGACAGAGACATGGAGAAGAAACATAAATTTGATCTCAAGAAAACACTGACCCAAGCGAGGGAACGCAAGGTGTTTGCTGGCCTTAGTATCCATGCTACGGCGAGCGTCAAGCCAGAACCCGACCAAATGAAAGGTAATCAGCATCATTGCCTTTAACGTTAATTCTCCAAAATGTTCACAATTATGAAACATCTAAGGGATTATGATACACAATTATGAAACATCGCTGAACGTCTAATTTACAGCTCCAAGCTACGCCTTAACCGCGCTTAGATTATTGGAATCTCATCTCTCTCGAATTATTTGCTATAATTGTAGAGGTTGAACGCAGTTAAAAATTCGCTTCTGGGGGTTCTAATAATTAGGTCTTTTTAGATAAATATTCATCCTGTTAACTATTATGTTAGTAATTATTGTATTGAATTTGCATATCAGTAATTATTGTTTCTCGTATTTTCAAATTCAATGGTTCTAAAAGTTCATTACAAATTTTATTCCACACTCGTCTTTTTATGCTTAGTAATTAGTTATTTTTCTCGATTGTTTCCGTAGACTTGGTGGAGTGCGGAGGTGGAGAATACCTGGAAAGGCCGCCTCGAAGCCACTACCCTGGCGTTGTGGTGGTATCCTGCGCCGAGGACAACAAACGCTGCTCTTCATTCCGTAAACTTAACATCCCCGTGGTGTCCGTGGAATTTGTACTCACCGGCATCTTGCGTGCAGAAGCTAATGTTCCGCTTTACCTTCTGACCTGATTCTTTTTTGGGTTTGACGTAATTGTAATCGCGTGGTTTTCATGTTAATAATGGATTATCTTGGTTTAAGCACTCTCACAATTGTTCAGTTCTCTCACGAAGCTATTTTAGGTTTAAATGTATAAGCCAACGTTGAGTTTGTAGTTTTATTCGTATTCATAGTCTTGCTTGACGGAGAAACAGATCTGTAAGCTGCTTTCTGCAAAGGATTTTTATAAAGTTGATTTAGTGAAATGCTTCATGCACCTGATTTTTGAACCGGCACGATATGTTAGTTATCTACTATAACGGAGTCTAAATATCTATTAGGTAGAATTCACTATTTCAATCACGAATTTCATGTGTAGGTATTATCATAATTCGGAATGTGCCTTAACTTAGAGGAACTATTAGGTTACGTTGCTATTTTTGGATGCTTTCTTGCATTTTATGTATTTCACTTAATTTCTCTTAGGTTCTTATGCTACGTTTCAATCAATTTTAAATTCCTTAGCTATATTTTACCTTCCATAGCAGCTATATAAGTTTCACTCGCTCACTGCACTGTAGTTAAACAAAAATGGACTGCAGGATTTAATAAAGGATAAAATTACATGAGTGATGTTTTCATTTACGCCGCAACAAACACTAGCCATTTATACTACAGCAAGTAGCTCTTTTAACATGGAATGAATATGAATCTAGTAAAAGTGCGGGTTCTTTTATTTCCAATGATGATGACATAAAATTTCCATCGCGAGAAGTTACATCAAATATCTCAACAATACCCCTTAATAAATCGCACTCAAAGTGATGCAGCTTTGATCAGTTCTGACCAAAAGTACAGATGACGCTCAAGCCCTTGGTGCGGCCGATTTCTTGTCCGTGAGATTTACAAACTTTATTTTTGATGGCACGCCTCTTATTTCCGGTGTCATCTTACTGGCATGCCGCTATCATCTTCTGCAGCTCACCGCTGGCATACAACGCTTGTGTTTCTGAGCCCCCGCCGATACACTTGCCTCCAATGAACACACGAGGCACCTGAAGCAGACAGTTTGTAATAAATACTAAAGGAACATAAGACAAAGCTATTTTTCAGCTGTTCATGAACGCCCGATAACCGCAGTCAAGAAACTTTTAATAATTGCACCATGGCAAAATTCTCATTTGTAGTCTTCCAATTAGAACTAAGCAGTAAACTCAATACTTAATCACACTAAAAATGTTACTAGAAAATTTTACTAAAAAGCAAGGGTTTCTAATATAGTAATTCATTTCAGAATATCCAACATCATATGCTAGCCAGTGTTTAATTCTGGTCAAAGATACACTGTGACCTGATGTACCAAAGTGGCTGATTACTTATAGGTAAATAAAAGGATACTCCCATGCAAAGCTCAGTAGCCACATCTTTATTGAATTTTTTGTGTCTTATAAAGCAGCTTCTTGCTGACATTTCACTGGGAGATAACTGTGCTCACAACTCACAAGGTTATTGATAGCAAGGCCATGCACTTACCAAAATAGTAATTGATACCTAATGTAATGTAATGTACCTAATGTAATATACCTTACTCTGAAGTGACACATAAAGAAAAAGCCCATATTGAAGCAGATTTTCTGATGCCTTCACCACAATTGCTCATTTGGCTCACTTTCCTAGCAGATGGAGACAAATTTCACCACTTTGGTCAAGTTGGTGTAGCTCTATAGCACACAAATATATGATTTTTAATGGTTATTCTTCAACTTTATTGTTTCTACAAGTGATTAAATTTATAATTTAACCTTAAATTCCTAACTTTTAAAGTAAAATCTATTTAGAATAAGCTTTAAAAATTGAAGTGGGACATATATAATATACATGTGCCACCAGCCCACTGACTATGCCCTATACTATTAATATACCTTGTGCCTTGGCACACATATTTACCACCTCAAAGATTTACTCAACAGTCTGACAAATGACAGACATTTCAAAGTTCCAGCCACAAAGATCAATCAACTCACAGATCGGGCCCCAGTGATGTGCTGAAGAGCATCTTGTATCTCAGATGTATTGTGCTCTTTATTGATGTCAATATTCAGGTAGGACACTCCCATGTCAGTAAACACCTGGAGAAACAATAGAATTAGAATTTGTCTTAGGTTACGTATTAGTGTCAGGTAAAGTTACATTGTTTACTCAACAACTCAACTCTTGAAGCATACAGCATCACATATTTTGTCTGAATTTAAAATGTCATTTCATGGATCTTGCAGTTTTGGTAACATTTGGATAAGTAATTACAATCATACAATATAATATAACAAATGAAAGTTTAGCAGAATTTTAGCGGCTAATGGCACAGCTAAATTGGATAGAAAAAGAAACAATTTTCTTTTCTATTGCAAGGGTGAGTCTGAGAATAGCATGTTTAAAAAAATCATTAGTATGAAATTTGGTAGGGCTATGAAATGAACAGCCTAAAATAATACTTAATGTGGAATATTGAACCAAAATTTCTGAAATTTGTGTCTAGGGGCACTGCCTGCTCTAGGCAGTGAGCATCAGCAACCTGCAAGTTGCAACCAACATTTACCCTACTAAGCTCAGTAAGCTGAGAGTAAAAGCTAGGCTGGTCACATTTTCACTGAATAGCCTACTGTCAAACGGGGTAAAAAGGGACGGTTTTGAGCGTTTTTTGTTAACTTCTTACCATGAAACATTTCAGAAACAAGTTTAGGCTCATTTTATAGCTCTTTGCAAGGGCTATCGAATGGCATCTTCAAGAAAATTCCATATGCTACCGTCAAACGGGGTAAAAAGGGAAAGACAGGGTAATAAGGGACAGTCCTTCAACATTTTGTAGAAATGTTGTAGCAGCTAAACTAATTAAAATATTGAAAAACTAAAAATAGTGGTGTAAAGTTCAACATTTTTACTATCTATGGAGCATGAAGTAAGTTGAGAAATCATACATTTATTACCTCTAAAAAATCCCTGAAAAAAATGTGAAAAGTGAGATTTTGGAAAAGTACATCTGCTAAGGTCTGCAGCAGAAAAAAATATTTGTTGTATTGAAAATTTTACTTACATAAAAGTTACACACTAGTGTTGGCTTAAAAACGTGATTGATAGAATTTGCATATCTCATTCCAAGAAAAAATGGTGGCCATTTCTGCAAAATGGGGTAATAAGGGACAACCCCCTGGGGTAATAAGGGACACCCCTAAAATTGCATTTATAGCAGAACCTTGGTTAGCAAAGGTTCCAGTTAATGAAAAAATCAATTAACAACAAAGAATTTTGATTACATTTACCTCGCTCAGTGAAAAAATTTCACTTAATAAAAAATTACTGCAGCAGTCATCACAAAATTATGCATAGAATGTCATAGATAGAATTGAGCACGGGGCAACAATGAATGAAAAGTAATTAAGCTAAACTATGATTTATTTCTCCAAAAAATATGATGGTTCTCACTAAAATATTCCTTCCTGTTTCAGGTATGTTTTTTACAATCTTTTTTGTTATAGTGAATTCACTTAACTCGATTAACACTTTGACTGCGACTCGCAAAATAGCCTGTATTCCTGTGGTGCGACTCCTTCAAACTTGAATAACTTAAGTTACAGACAAGGCAGCGAGATCAGGGCTAGTGCGCTACTCTTGTCTGAGCGAGCTCTACAAGCTTCTGACATAAAAACCGTGAGCCTCTATTGGTGCACATCACCTGGGATGGAAACTTTCATCTTTCTAGGCAATGTGCGCCATATGAGGTACACGGCATTTATTACTCAACTACAATAAAAAATTTGCATCACACGGGTATCAACGCTTGAAAAAACATTTTCTGTGCAAATGAAATCAGATTGTGACTGCAATAATCAAACTACAAATCATTCTGAGGTAAAATGCTGCTAAATGGGAAGTTTATAATTCATTTAGATGATGTCTTACAAAATTGCTCTAAGCAAAGCATGGAGTGGTACCGACAACTGTTCAAGATATTGGCAAAAACTGTAGCAAATACCTGGGTGCTTGGTGATCAGTTCTATAGTCAGTAAAAATCGATATGAATTGCTGAAGTCATATAAGATTACTGAATGTATTTTCACTAGTAATAGGTCAGACACGTGAATAAATGTTTCTATAACCAAATCACAATGATTTTACCACGTTTTTCTTAGCTCGCTTTCGTGTCTGTGATGATCAAATCTTGCAATCGATATTTCACCAACTTTCCCATTAGCTAGCGCTCTGAAACTAATTAAATACATATGCGCCCCACGTTTTTCGTTTTAGATGTTGTAAAATATTTTAACTGAAATACAAAAGACCAAGAGAATGAAAGCAAACAGAGATCAGTAGCTGCCGAAAAATTATTTTCTACTTTTGAGTCCACATGAAAAACGTGGTCTTTAAAAAATTTTTTTATACATTTTATTAGATGTTGGCGTTCCCGCACTAAAGTATTTGAAGCTGAGGATCTGAACTTCATGCCAAAAAAAGAAGTTAGTTAGTGCTAAAGTGAGACGAAAAGCTAGAAAAGTAAATATCAATTGCTAGCCCAGTACTCGGAATCCGTATCACTGTTTATCTTGCTTTTTACAGTATCATTCTGTTTCTGTGTGAGCTTAGGCAACTTTCAAATGACTAATACTTATTTTTCTACTGCTATAATCCATACCAAAACTGAAAAAATGATTTTCAACTTATTGGAACAGTATAACCCCCTTTATTTAATACTTTTTCTTTTTTGTAACCATTCATTATTTCAGGCTACATTCCAACTGCTAAGATTCTTATGATTTGATTGCACTACGTTCATATATGTTTTGAAAACATTATTGTCAATTATTCGTTATATTTTTCACAAGTTTATGATCTGGCTGATATTTTAAAGAGCTTTTTTTAAAAAACTAAATTTTTTAAGCGTGCGCCATATATGGCGCACATCACAGTTTGAGACATGCATGCATGTACCATATATATGGCGCACGTTGCTGTCAAAGTGTTAAAATTGTGCGAAATTACAAACCATCCTGTAAGCTTACAGATACAGAAGAAATGCTACATGGCTGCTGATATGAAGCTTGCAGTGGACAAGGTCATTGTCAATGCTCAATGGCATGTCCATGGATACAGTATTATCACATTAATAATATGGTAATGTATGGATAAGGTAATATTAAATCAATGAAGAAAAACCAAGTAAAAATCACAGAAAATTTCATTTATTCTACATTTACATCATCTACAAAGGAAGAGGAGGACTTCAGATTCAGAGTACTGTTAGTTATAGATGAGTACACTCTGCACGTTTCAAATGTTTAAAATTGAGTTTTATTTCAAGTGCCCTTTTTACCCCATTTCCAGATTAATTCAGGAGCCTTTTATATTGCATCTAGCTCCTTACAAATAGCATATGGCATTTTTTTGGAGATGCCATATGATAGCCCTTGCAAAGACCTTTAAAATGAGCCCAAACTTGTTTATGAAATGTTTCATGGTGAGAAGTTATTAACAAAAAACGATCAAAACCATCCCTTTTTACCTAGTTTGACGGTATTTGTAAGGTGCCAGACACAAAATTAAACCGTCCTAAATTACCCCTGGAAATGGGGTAATCCGGGACACTTGCAATAAAAGTTAATTTTAAAACATTTGAAACATGCAGTGTACTCATCCATTACTAACAGTACTCTGAAGTCCTCCTCATTCATTGTAGATGATATAGATGTAAAATAAATGGCATTTTTTGTGATTTTTACTTGTTTTTCCTTTATTGATATTATATTAACATATTCATTAATTACCGTATTATTAATGTGATATTACTGAATCCATAGACATGCCATTGAGCATTTACAATGACCTTATCCACTGCAAGCTTCATATCAGTAGCCATGTAGCATTTCTTCTGTATCTGTAAGCTTACAGGATGGCATGTAATTTCACGCCATTTCAATTGGGTTAAGTAAATTCACTATAAAAGAAAAATCATAAAAGAAACATACCTGAAACAGAAAAGAATGTTTTAGTGACAACCATCATATGTTTTGGAGAAATAAATCATAGTTTAGGTAAATTACTTTTCATTCTATAATGCCTGGTTCACAATTCTATATATACCATTCTATATACAATTTTGTGACAACCGATGATGCACTAATTTTTCGATAAGTGAATTTTTTTCACTGAGCAAGGTAAATGTAATCAAAATTCTTTGTTGTTAATCAATTTTTTTGTTAACTTGAGCCTTTGCTAACTGAGGTTCTACTGTAAAAGCATTCTTAAGGGCGTCCCTAATTATCCCAGGGGCCAGAGGGGTGTTGCTTTTTACCCCTTCGCGCGGAAATGACTGCCATTTTTTTAATGATATAGGCAAATTCTGTCAATTACATTTTCAAGCCAACAGTCCAACAACTCAGTGCAACTTTTAGGCAAGTAAAATTTTTTAATACAGCAAATATTTTTTTTTGCTTCAGGCCTTAGCAGAGGTACTTTTCCAAAATTGCACTTTTCACTTTTTTTCAGCCATTTTTTAGAAATAGTAAGTGTTTGATTTCTTGACTAGCTTTATACATTATAGATTGTAAAAATGTTGAAGTTTATGCCACTCAGGATGGAATTCTAATTTTGAAGGTTCATATATTATTTCGATCCACCAAGACCACTTTTTCTATCCAACATTGTTATTTGAGGCAAAAAATGAACTTCTTAAAGGCATAAAATACATAGGCTAACTTGCTCAGTTTCTATAAAGTACCTAACCACTTGGAAGTTTTATGCCTGCACCTTTCACTCAACAATTAAACTTAAGACTTATATAAAGTATTAGTTAGTTAAAAGTTTGTCTCTTAAGTTGACCGCAATGAACTAAACTTCATTATGTAATCATTAGGCAGGGATTTCCATCATGCTGATTTCGGAAGAGCGGCAGGCAGTTTCCAATGAGCTCAGTTTATATGATTTCACTGCAGTGGAAGGTGAGGTGGTGTAACGCGGTGGTAGGGTTGATTTTTCGATACGTTTTCATATATTAACATGAGAATATATTAACTATACAGAATTCCACACTGAATTGCCACTATTTTTAGTTTTGCAATTTTTTGATTAGTTTAGCTGCTAGCCTGCTACAACATTTCTACAAAATGTGGGACACGCCGTCACACGCGTCCCAATTTACCCCGCCCATACCTTTTTACCCCATTTGACGGTATTGACTATTATGCTCTGGTCTTACAAACAGGTACAAAAATAATCAATAGCAGAAATAACTAGATAAAAGACTTGTATTAGCTCACAAAGGCCTCTTAGGCCTGTCTTACCTTTTATCATCAGTTGGCAAAAATGAATCAACAAAACAAAGTACAAACTACAGTGCAGTCTAAGTTTAGTTTAAAAACATTTTAAAGAACATAAATTCAATACCTTCTTGGCCATTTTACAATACGGGCATGACGGCTTTTCATAGACCACAATACAGTTTCCATTAACTGTTTCCTGGATACTTTTTATCAAGGCCTCGTCCATCTCTTTCGGTGTCGATTGCCCAATTCCCATGTTCTTACTACGCCTGCTCCTGGGTAATTCCTATGAGTCAACATTGCCATGGCTTCGAAGATATCGAGACCCAAACATGTTTACTACCTGGTGCCCTAAAAAATATTTTTACCCTAAATGTAGAGACGAAGTCCTAAAGGTTCAGAACCCGTAAAAAAGCTGGTATTTCCTCTATATTAAGAATATCTGCGGCTCAGGTAACAAAATTTATTTAAATTATGAAAATTTACAGTACTGATGCGCGCGGGTTGCTGCGGAAGTCAGTCAGCAAATTTTTACAGCCCGCGGAACTCAATCGGTGGTACGAGTGCAGTAAGGGTTTATATACACCTAATGCAAAGAAAACTTGCCACATCAGGCCTACGCTTCAGCGCCGAGATCACTATGTTATGTTAAACAACAGCTTCATTGTTTTTGCATCCAAGAACTCGTATGAGCGTCTGGATCAGTCCGAGAAGTTTATTGGATTTATTAGCTTACTTTTTGTATAGTATAGTATAGTATCTTCGGCATTAAATAAATAGGCCTGGATAGGCCTGTCGCCGATTCTTGTACTTTTCTTGACTAGACTGGCCTTACGGACGGTAGATTTAAAATCGCTTCTAGATATCAGATGTTCCGTAGGGTACGAAGCATTTTAAGACTGAACATATGCTCATGCATGGCCTTGTCTAGTCTGTTCTTGAACGCGTTCATACTCGGAGCGTCAACAATATCTTCAGGGAGGCTGTTCCACATGTCAGTGACTCGAAGCGAGAAGAAATGTTGTCGCGTGGATAAGTTGAACCGCAGTTTTTTTAGTTTATAGCTGTGGCCCCTGGTGTTGGTTCTTGTTTCAAATTCTAGTAATCCTTCTGGGACCTTGTACAAACCATGAGTATACTTGTATACTTCAATGAGGTCACCACGCAGGCGACGATAACGGAGACTGGGAAGCTTCATAATCTTCAATCTTTCTTCATAAGACTTGCCCTTTAATCCTGGTATTATCCTTGTTGCACGTCTTTGAACACTCTCAACTAAATTTTTGTCCTTTTCAAGTCTCGGTGACCACACAACGTTTCCAAACTCTAGGTTTGGGCGCACGACAGAGGTGAACAACAGCTTCATCATTTCTATATCTAGGTACTCGTAGGAGCGTCTGATCAGCCCAAGCAGTTTATTGGATGTATTAACTTGCGTTTCAATATGCCTATAAAATTTTAGCTCCCTGTCGACACAAACTCCAAGATCTTTTTCCACGCAAGACTTCTCAATCATAACCCTCTCGTTGCAACCGTGTCTTCTCATGCTGTAAGCTTGCTGTTCATTGTTCTTGCCGAGGTGAAGTACTTTACACTTGTCAGCATTGAAACGCAGCTGCCACGCATCAGCCCAGTCAACTAAACTATCAAGATCATTTTGCAGTTGCATTTTATTTGACGCATCCTTAACTGTATTATAAACTTTTGTGTCATCGGCATACATGGAGCACACGCTTGACACTACTTCTGGTAGATCGTTTATAAAAGCGACGAACAAAACAGGTCCAAGAACGCTTCCTTGCGGTACGCCACTTCGCACAGTTACCCAGTCTGATACGGTTCCGTTAATGCTGACACGTTGTCTTCTGCCTACTAGGAAATTCCTGATCCATTGGAGTACATTTCCCTCTATTCCCAAAGAATTCACTTTACGTAACAGTCGCTCATGCGGAACACTATCAAATGCCTTGGCAAAATCGAGGTACAGTGCATCCACTGGCACCCTTTCATCCAGCAGGCGAGTCCAATTATTCAAGGTAGACAGGAGATTAGTGGTGCATGATCTGCCAGCATACTATACTATGAGCGTCTGGATCAGTCCGATTTAGTTTATTGGATTTATTAGCTTACTTTTCAATAAGCCTAGAAAATTTCGGCCCCTTGTCGACATAAACTCACAGATCTTTTTTCAAAGTTAGACTTTTCAACCATTACTCTCTCTTTTCAACCATATCTTCTCATACTGCAATTTTTCTGTTCATTGTTATTCTCAAGGTGAAGTACTCGGCACTTGTCGGCATTAAAATGCAGCTGCCAATCTTATGTGCACACGCATCAACTGCAGGCATAACCGTGTCTCTGAGAATTATCATGAATCAGCCACATTCATACCTTAATACGAGTCCGAAATATTCGCCGTACTCACTACTTCACGGAGTTTAGCATAGTCGCTAAAGTTCAAAGTTCAAGGCTCAAGCTCAAAGAAAAAGTTCAAAGGCTCAAGCTTCCGAATCGTCTTTTCTGTATAGCACTTAATACTGAAAAACAAAGACTGGTGATGACTTTCGGCCTGAGGAGCCTCATGGCGAAGCTCATATAGCACTGATTCTTCACTATTAAACACTAGATCTAAAACATTTGGAGTCTATTTACTTCTAAAATGGGTTAGCTTGGCGATGTTCTGCATTAAAAATGAGTCTCTCCCAGACTCCAAGAACAGGAATGCTAGGTGATTCCCATCTCCTGGAGAGGATTCATCTGCCCAGTCTATTTCTGGATGGTTATTTCAAATCTGAAAATATATATTTCTCCATAGCTTTATATTTTCGTCTGCTTTATATATTCGTCTATTCGATGAAATATATTCGTCTGCGTGGGGACCTCATTGAAGCATACAAGTATACTCTTGGCTTATACAAGGTCCCAGAAAGATGACTAGAATTTGAAACAAGAACCAAAACCAGGGGCCACGACTATAAACTAAAAAAACTGCGTTGTAACACGTCCATGCGACAACATTTCTTCTCGCTTCGAGTCACCGACATGTGTAACAGCCTCCCTGATAGCATCGTTGACGCGCCGAGTATGAACGCCTTCAAGAACAGACTAGACTAAGCTATGCAGCAGCATATGTTCAGTCTTGAAATGCCTAGCAACTTACGGACCAGGCAATAAGTCCAGCAGCTATCTCAATCAATCGTCAGTTATAACATAACATAACATAGTGATGTCGGCTCTGAAGTGTAGGCCTGATGTGGCCTGTCGCCGATTCTTTTCCATTTCGTGCCTTGTTCATAGATCTAAACTCGTGTCATTTGACCGGATCTTTTCATGACTGGCGATAGTTTGAAGAAGCTACTAGACTTCCACCGGGTTCGATAAGGAGCTAGGCATTTCAAATCTGAACATATATTTTTCCATACCTTTATCTAGTCTGTTCTTGAGCGCGTTCATACTTGGAGCGCCAACGATGTCATCGGGGAGGCTGTTCCACATGTCGGTGATTCGAAGCGAGAAGAAATTTTGTCGCGTGGAGAAGTTGCAGCGCAATTTTTTTAGCTTATAGCCGTGGCCCCTGGTGTTGGTTCTTGTTTCAAATTCTAGTAACCCTTCAGGAAAGATCGGGTTCCAAAGGCCGGATCCCTCGTGAATCAAGTCACGAAAATTACAAGAATCGGCAACAGGCCATGGGCCTATTTCTTCAGTGCCGACACTTCTATTATATTCTATGAACAAGAATCGGCAACAGGCCATGGGCCTATTTCTTCAGTGCCGACACTTCTATTCTATTCTATATTCTATTCTAACTATCAACGTATGCGGCTTACCAAAAATCATACTCGGTATAAGGCTTTTGAGTGTTATATCATCACCAGAGGAACTGTTTGGTGATCTGTATACGACGCCAAGAGGAGGCTAGCCTTGTCAAACAACAAAAAGCCGCACCACACTGATTCTCTAGCTGATTGATGCTCTGCAGATAACTTAACTTGCTGGACCCCATAAGAGGTTCTAACCCACAAAGCTACACCTCTAATGCACTGTTCATTTGAGTCATGGTTGAAACCAATCAAAACCTGGCAACTGAAATTCAACAGGTACAATTTTTCTCCCGTGATTTTTATTGAGTGCTTCTGTAATACAAATAATGTCTATTCACACGTTTGCGATCGCAATAATAACGGTTCACATTTTTTGTTCAAAGCAGAATCCGAGTTCGTGTTAAAACATTTTAAAACTTTTTGAGCACTTTCACTTTGATGTATGCCGTTACTTCTCACATTATTTACAGGCCTGGATGTACGGCCATGACTCCTATTGTTTACTTTTCTTATACAAACAGAATTAAGACCAAGCAAATTTTAACTCTTTATTTGTACATATATTGTACTTCTACACGTAGATTTACAGCATCAAAATCAGTTTGGTTGATCCGATCAAACAAACAGTATTAGGACCTCCTGTAGTAACAAACGTAGCTCAAATCGGCACCATCCCAGACATAGTATAGTATAGTACCTTCGGCATTAAAGAATAAGCCTGGATAGGCCTGTCGCCGATTCTTGTGCTTTTCTTGACTAGACTGGCCTTTTGATCAGATCTTTTCAATGGACGGTAGATTTAAAATCGATTCTAGATATCAGTTGTTCCGTAGGGTACGAGGCATTTTAAGACTAAACATATGCTCCTGCATGGCTTTGTCTTGTGCAAGTCTTCAATGTCAGGACTATTATACCGTACTATAATATACAGTTGTGTGCTACACTTCTATTCTATGGTAATGAATATATGTCAAAGTTTGTTTGTGTGTGTAATTCAAGCCTGACGCCGTAAATACACATGACTGTTCGGGTGCGTATCTAGGATACTTAACTTTCTTGATATTGCCTGGCCCGAAAATTCTTCCTGGGAGAAAAGTAATGCATTGAACACATCGAAGGAGGCGATTGGACTAAAATTGAAAGTTGATTTGTAAATTTGAATTTATAAACTAAAATTAAAAATTTCTAAATTGCTTAATAAAAATTCCACATTTCCAGTTAAGATGCTCTATTTAATATGTGGTTTTGAACAGGTGAATTTTTAATTAGCATGGTTAACGTTCATCGATTTTAACGAGATGAGGGACAAAAGCAATGATGGAATAGCGAAACTCTTCAATTAAGGGATTATCGCCAGATAAAGCTGTTTCTTGCTTCTATATCATATAGTTATGATACAAACACCAGATTGTCCCAGCGTTACTCGGGCTTGATGATTTCTGGAATTTCGGAATGTTATCCCAAATCCTGGCACTACTGTAATTCCTAATCTCGTTACTGATAGGAAAGCTAATGTATTCGCATTGAATATACTCATAGACCCTTTCAAATCCTAATTTTACATATAAATAATATACGTTTAAAAATTACTTTTTAAAGGCAACACTTCCAAAGAATCCGGTGTCTTTAATGTTACACATGTACAATGAATTTTTAATTTTATTTTCGAATATTGATAATATAATTTTTAAATATTTTAATATATAAGAAAAAATTACCTTTTTGAAATTATTCATTCTGTAAATTGATTTATGTATTGTCTCCGACTTTACGCAAGTGTTCAAAATTTCAGATAGATTGGATGGGTAGAAGTGTGTTAAATATCGACTATAAGACTTGTAGCAGACAAAATTATTTTTTCAATTTTATTATTGTTAAAAAATGTTTATATTTTTAAAATTATTTATTTTGTCAGTTGATTCATGCAATGCAGTTCTCCATCTTTACGCGAGTTTGCAAAATTTCGGATCGATTGGAGAGGTAAAGTGTGTTAAATATCGATTATAAGATTTGTAGCAGACAGACAAACAAACAGACAACAAGAAGTGAAGATAAAGAGAAGTGTTGTAAATAGGACTTCCATTCTCAAGTCTCATGAGGACCTTACTCATGCTGGGCTTAGAAGCAACGGTAAATCATATGGAGTATAGATCGCTACCTCGCTCAATTGAATGTGCTGTAGCCCGTCAAGTCCACTTGGCCCGTTTCAATTTGGCTAATTTCAGCAGCATCAGCCCTATACGTGCAGCACGGAAGACAAGATTGGTAACTTCATTTTGCACTGTTTGCTCTTCATCAAACAGAGGAGGGAGTTCCGCTCAAATCTGGAGAACCTTTTATACCCTTGGAACCTCATCACAGCTCTGGGAGGGGGTGATATTCCCCAAAAAAGAAGAACTGTAGTTATTCAGTTATTCGTCGCCTGGGACAATACCTGCATGATATGCAGCATGGTGAACAGTACTGAACACACTATTAAAATACTCAATTCCTAATTATTTTATTTCTTCTCCCACACAAAAACCACCTTTTTGTAAAGCGTGACAGAAATCCATATTGAAGCATAATTGACATGACTTAAGAACGAAAATCCAGTTGTGCTCAGCCTGGTAGGTGTGACCTCTTCACACCCGAAGTCTTGAAATCAAATAAAAAAATTACATGTTGCAAGTTACAGTGCAGCGGGCATTTTGTCTCGAATTCGGTATATCACCACCATCTGAAGAACCGGATCACTGCTACAGTGCACTGAGTAAGCAGAGTAACAGTGATACGCTTTCTCGTGTGTGGGACGAGTTTGGCTACCGTTTAGGTGTTTGCCGTGCAGCACAAGGGGACATGTTGAAAATATATAGAGGTATGTAAAAAACTTTGAATCTTTCCCTTTCCATTGGTATATAAATTATTGATTTAAATTTATACTTAAATAAATCCGAATTTATAAAAATGGGTCAATAATTTAGGATAACCATGTATTTTGTGATTTTAAGTTAAATTTATGATTTCCAATTGCAAAATCACATATCTATTTTTGATCCAATCCTTTCCTCTTTTTTCTCCAGTCCATTTTTATTCTCCCACTACGAGTGAAATTTTCACGCCCAGGTTATAACCGACACGATATGTATCCTGAACACGAGCCCAAACGGTCCTCTACATCTGTATATATTTCCTTTCAAGCAGGTTTCATTGAAGACCAGAGAATTTGTTTTATTCGCAATTTTCTTATTAGTTTTTTCAATATATCGAACATTTGAATGGTTACACAAATACATCGGGCTCACAACTACGACATTAAGCCGACGTCTCACGTGCCACCTTCAGTCTGGTGGACCAAAGAACCACCTGATGGAAGACCACAACGAGACCATCACTCGTACGGTGCTGGAAGAATGCACCAGCGTCGTCATGAGATGCCCCGACGCCAACCGACTCATGATAGCTGAGGCCCTCATCATTAAGGATAGGACCCCAGCCATCAACCTTCAAACTACTGGATTTGTCAGAACCTTGAGACTGTTTTCGGAGTAATTTTCGGTGCTTTGATTCTAAATTATTTTGTGATTTTGTAATTATTCCTAACAATTTTGATTTTTAAGTAGTATCCTATTTACTTGATTTTGTACTTATGTCGACGCTAATTTCATCACTCATTGCGCCTTTTAACTTGATAATGAATGATAGAAACATTCGAAACGTCGTTAACGAAATAAAAATGTCCATCGGTAACCTGATTTTCGATTTGCCAGTTCAAACTTTCAGCACAAAGCGAGTGACGGTCTGGTTGAGATTTTCGCGTGTGATTCACTTGCCCTCCGGGTTGGAGGTAGCTAATAAGACAGCGTCTCGGTGTCCCGGTTGTTGATCCAAAGTGTCCGATGTAGTCCAAAAGATGAAGAAGTCTACAACCTTCTTTGAAGCAAAATTTATAGACCACAACGGCCTCTCGGAAATTCCACCAAAATGTCAATATTTAATGCTCTTTGTAACTTGAAAATGAATGTTCGTTACATTCGAAACGTCGTTAATAAACAAACTACTTCCCGATAAATGCCTTTCGATCTACCAATGTCATCTGAAGAATTGTCCGACTCTTTGATAATTTAAATCAACGAATTCTCTGGTCGTTAATCGCACGCGTATAAATTAACTAATTCTGCCATCCAAAACTAATCTGTATATATGTATATATCTACATCTGTATATACAGTATCAGTATATCCTCTACTCATCTGTATATCTGTAGTGCCAGGCCTAAAAACTCACATACATACACTATTATAGACATTAGTCAAATACGTATAAATATTATGCGGTCAACATTGAATGGGATATCTGGTCTGGCGCCGATTCTCAATCAACCGACCACCTTGTCAATTGCGAGCAGAATTTTTTGCAACCAGTAGCCGGTTTCGAAATTGCTGCTGCAATCTTGGCGATTTCAACCACTCTACCACTATTTCTTTATTGACTTATAATTAAGCCACCAAGAGCTCAAGATTGAAAAAAATATTGAAAATTCTAATGGAAATGAACGCTATTTGGCACCTCAAACTATGGAAGTAACGTAACAAAGACATCTTGAAATAAATTATGACCTAAAATTAATAGGAACTAATAAGCTACGATTTTTTTCATATAATATATATGAACGCACGCGTTCAGGGAGAGTAAAAAAATCCATTCTTCAGAGGTCAATGAAAACGAAAACTTTCCGAATGCCGGAACAATCAAATTCTGCCTTTACTACAAGAAAATTTGTATTGAATTAAGTCGTGCCTTTCAAATATTAAAATATTGACTTTATGCTGAACTTTGAAATTGATCGGGTTTCTGCCTAATTATGAGTCCATGCACCATTTCAGTACATGAATGTAAGGTTGTGCACGAAAAAGCCCAATCAAAAGGTTCTCAGAAATTCGCCGTGTGACAAATATTATCATTACAGCAAGAGGACCTTCTTGGTTCTCAAACGCAATTTTCATTTTGTATTTTGATTACACAACTGGTATATTTCATGTTTCATTAATATTCATTGGCAAATCATGGCATTACATTACTGAAGGCTTTGCATAAGCCTCTCATTCATCCATTTCTCTTATTAAGTTTCCGGTGAACTATAATTTACAGAGCCTGGCCTGGCTTGTGTTAGTGGTAATTGTTGTACGCTCTCAGTATCCTGAGCCGCGGGTGTTGAAGGGGAGCAAGCGCACTTGGATGAGCTCAGTGCATGACGATAAGACCAGAGCCACCGCCCGCCAACACCAACCGCTGGTAGCCAACTTCAGTGTGCCAGAGGCAGGAGTCGCTGCTGCCGCCACAATGGCACCTAGTGTAACCTACGTTCTACTTTATTTATTTACTCAGTCGTCTGTAGTTCTAAGTGAAGTTCTGACGCCTCCATACTTTAATTTGGCGGAAAATCGACGCATCACTGCCACGGCTACTTGCGGCGAGGCCGTGCCTCAGGAGGAACTCTACTGTAAATTGATCGGTGCGAACGTCAATCGAGATGTGAAGTACAATCTCATCCAGGGACAGGTGTGTAAAAATATATTTTATTTGTAATTTTTATGCTACAAGGATTAAGGATTCCCATTTCCCTTCTTAAGCATCTGAATAATATGTCTAAATTTCGATTCAAAGACAGCAGTAATTTACGTTAAATGAAATATTGACAAATTATTATTTATTGAAATCAGCGAAACTTAATAATTGAATGATTATCCGACTTGAAAATTTTCCAGCCATGATTTTTTATATGTAAAACATTTTATTTTTCAATGTTTTAGGTGTGCGACGTTTGTGATCCCAGCAATCCGAGCAAATGGCACCCGCCGGAGTACGCGATCGACGGCTCGGAGAGATGGTGGCAGTCGCCTCCTCTGTCACGAGGCATGCAGTACAACCAAGTCAACCTCACCGTCGACTTGGGCCAGGTAAGTAAAACTTTGTCTAAAATTAAAACGGACGCATTATAATTAACTCTGACGTTAAAGCTGTGCATTATTTAGCTTCTGATAAGAATCGCCGCGTAAAAAGGTTCTCTTGCGGCTAATGGCATCAGTTGTGTTTTTAAGAAATTATTTACAGCTATTCATCTCAATTATGTCATTCAGCGGAAGTATATTCGATGACTGCAGGTTGTCAATGATTAATCGTCTCGTGATTCCCCTCTGGCTGAGATCTCAAAGATTGGAAATCCTAGTTGCGGATTCGAAGCCCGAAGTTGGCTGTATAAATTTTGGTTGAAATACTGGATCAACCTGGCCAGTGAAATTACTGGATCGACAGTTCTACGTGCCCACTCGCGAGCTCGCCAGCGGGTTCCAACGCACAACGCAACAAATGCGCAAACGAACAGCTTTTAAGTAACTTAATTCTGAACTGATTTGCATGAAATTCAGAACATTTAAAGTTATTAGCAATAACCCGGCGGTAGGAATAGTTAAATATTTAAACGTCTCCTCATATTTTATGCTAACGAAAAATGCAACTGTAGTGCAACCGAGCCGTTCATAAGTCCCTCACTTCTGAAGAGATTTGCATTTAACAGAACTTTGTATTTATTAGCAATACACCGCAAGATGAGTTACAACAGATTTCTGCGATTTTTTATTTTTGATTAAAGCAAAACTGTCGAAAACCTAGGTTTTGTTAGGTTCAGATAAGTTAGGTTTGGATAGGTTATGCTATGAGAGATTAAAAAAATAGATCATTGGGATTTAATAACGAATAGCCAGATTTAACCAATTATAACTTAGCCTATCTAAACCTAACATAACCCAATTTTTGGAAGGTTTCGTTTCAATCGAAAACTATATGTCTCAAAAACCTGAAATAATTCCTATCGCGCTTATTGCCAATAATTATTTCTGATCCGAGTTTTATGCGAATTCGTTCAAATTATTTAGGACTTCTACTGAGCAGTCCGGTTGCGAATTAGTTGCCAGCTGACGACCACGGAGTAGTGTCGTATCAGTGTTGAAATGTGCTAGGTGGCCGTGAATGCTAAAGTAGAGCAAAGCGTTGTAAGTTCCCGATCTGTAGTTGGCTGTAGAAATTCTGCTTTATACAGAATCGGCAACAGGCAAAACATGGCCTAAACTTAAGAGTCGATCAAATATGATTCAAAATGACAGGTCTCATATTCATGGAAAGATGGAAGCTAGGAATTGTGAATCATCGCTTGTCGTTAGCCGTGAATGTGCGATTAGTCCGATGCTAAAGTTTCCGATGCCATTAGAATTTGACAATATTTACTTACATACCATTTATGAGTCACTTTGTTTTTATTTCCTTGCCGTTTATTTCAGTGACTAGGTTGCTCGTCTTGCTAAGTAAAGCATTTTTTTGGGAACGTCGACGAACTAATAGCTGAGCACGTCGTAAATCGCTCTAGATGCTGTACGAACAGAGTCGATTTTGAAATGGTGCTACCTTTAATATGCTGAAAACGTCCTACTTTGTTTTTCGGGGAACGGTTCTAAATAAGATAATAATGAACGTTAACCTATATACGCTCCTAATCGACACTCACGTAATATTGACTGACGTGAAGAGCTTGCACAATGCACAACCGTAAACTAACTGATCCTGTCGAGCGTTCAGCGGTCGAGCCTAACTTGCTGTAGAAGCGTGGGTGCTGCGGTCAACGAGGCCCTTTACTAATTTCAAAGTAATTTTTCTATCCATGAACCTCAACAGATCTTACGGTGTTCGCTAGGCCTTTATAAGTAACGAATTGATTAATTACGCATACTTTTGAATTTATTATTATTTAAAGCTAATTGCAAAAATGGCAACTAGGTACTTCATTTACGATGTCGAGAATACTCATGATTGTGCTGCTCAAGAAACGTACCAGAATTAGAAGTGAAATTATCTATTATGACGGTGAATTCATAATTCTATCTGCCGCCGCCTCGTAAAACAAAAGAAAGTGTTTTCAACTTCACGTATTTACTTGATTCTCGCTTTCAAAATGTCAATTATGACCAAGAACTACACTTTCATTTTGGACACCTTAACACTCATTTTTCCTGAAATACTTTGCCTTATGACAGCTTCATGATGATCAGCTTCATTATGGCAGATTCGCGATGACATTTGATGCTCTAGCCCCGCCGAAAATTTGCAGCCGCTCTTCCGTGATATGCGCCGCTACCGCACAGTTCTGCATTATCATTTTAATGCGTGCGCTGGCGATGTCATACACTCATATTTTTCCTTGCTTTTTTTATTCAGTTAGCCTAGGGTTGTCATGGATGACTATATAATTTCCCTTAAAATTCATTTCTTTACCTTAATTTGTTCTTCGTGTCAAGAAAAATCCCACAGATTTAACGAAAATTTCAGCAATATAGGTTTCGACCATTTGTGGACGTGCTTAGTTAAATAGTTTAGTAATTTCATATCGTGGACTTAATACTCTATTTATAGATACACTCTAATAACGTGTGTATTTTGTAATTTGTATGTCATTTTTACATGGGTGACGAAAAGCTTTATCCCCGCTATAGTTACGTATATACAAGACACTCAATCATTCCTAATTTCATAACTTTTTTATAAAATTAGGTATGGATGTTGATTGCCATAAATCTCCATTTTAAGATTATCTATAACTGATATAATCGTAAACATCTGAAAAAACTATTTTTTTTTGTGTGCACATTTTTTTGGCTAAACCTGCGCGAACTTGAACGACCGTAACAACTCATCCGATAAATAGACTTGAATAATAAATAAAGATACCCTGATTGTGGATAACATTAATAATGTACGGCTAATATTGATGTTCAAATGAATAATATCTGGGATTGAATAATCGGCGAACTTTGACATTGGGTGGCGAATATTGATTGTATAGAATCACATTTATGACATTTTATAATGTATGAAATTCGTTTTTGTTGGCACATTTATAATGTGCAGTATTTTATGCTGCAAGAAATGTTAATGTACCTTCAGTATTGGGAGCCGTCAGGGTTTACTACACAGAGTAAGCAATTCTCATTGAATTGATTTGAATTTAATTTTTTCTAATTTTCTTGTGCCGATATCTCTAAATTTAATCCATTTCAAGGAATACATACAGCAGAGCTTTATTTATGACACTACTTCTGAAAATACTTTTCAAAGAAGCATGAACGATAAATAAAATATGTGTAACGCACATCTAATCCGACCGCCCTTGTATCTCTAAGCCCATAACTTTCTCTACTGTAATTCAAATCCCTTAATATCGCGCCAATCCTAATACTTTAATTATTGCGATCTGAACGCCTTCGTATTTCTTCTCCTAGTCTTCTCTGGTCGAATCTTTCTTTTGTACGACGATAGGAAAAGCAAACAGCGTGATGTCAGTTTTGTGTGACTGGTTTTTGATCTGTTTATGACCTGTTTGCGACCTACTTATGTGACCTGAGAGTGAGACTGAGACTTTTCGTTAATTAAATTTCTTAACAGATGGTAAAGATTTCATTGCTCAACTACAACTAAAAACTCAACTAAAATTCATAAAATGAACATAGAGGACGACCTATTTCCAATTAAGTTATTACAACTACACCAGTACATCTTATTGCCCTCAAAAATATCATTAATTGATATCAAATCTTCAACTAAGCAAGACTTATGTACCAGGCAAGACTATGCAAGACTTAAGTGTGATGGTGTCGTCGTTTTGACATTCCTCATCATCTTGCCAAAAAACATGGAAAATTTGTCTTCAGATTAATGAGTCGAGTTGTTTCTGGACGTTTTTCGCCGCATCCGCGCTGTAAAAAAAGTTGCTATCCTTCACTATGGGCAAGGGGGCGTTGCCCGCAGCCTCCGCCTTCCGGTACACGAGCTTCCCTCTGAGATAAGCCAGGCTCGACCGAGTCCTATAAGCCGTACAATAGCTACTGGCCTGGGAAATAGACAAGCATATATACAATGCGGTGATAAATGTGTTAATAGATGTGTAATGAGTGGTATAACATTAGTATTTGTATGTGTTGGAAATATAATTAATTTTATCCATGTCGCAAGTAATATGGATGACATCTACATGAGTTCACATATAAGAAGGTTCGCTTGTGAACATTATAATAAATGCTCTGAGAGGCAACTTTAATTAATATTTACAAATTTTAGATATCAAATTAATCACTCAACAGTTCATATGCGTGAAAATTTAAAACTAAACTGAAACAAAATGACTGCCTTTTGAACCCAGTAAACAGCTAAGAACCTCTGGGCACAAACCATTCATACTAGCACCTACAGTTCACCATACTAGCAACTACAGTTCACCATACTAGCAACTACAGTTCACCATACTAGCAACTACAGTTCACCATACTAGCAACTACAGTTCACCATACTAGCTACTAACGTACTGTTCACTATTTCTTTTTCTTTCCAGCCTGCAAACGAGTGCCTCGTTTGATTACTATATTATACCTTCACGATCATTATAATATAAAAGAAATTCCAACATTTATTAGACCATGAGGGCCTATCGCTGATTCTTAAACAACCTTTCACCTTGCTGCATGATTTTAACCGGAATTTTCATAGCTAGTTACGAGTTTCGAACCTTCAACTCGCAATCTTGGAACCTTCAACTCGCAATCTTGGAACCTTCAACTCGCAATCTTGGAACCTTCAACGCGCAATCTCCAATCTTGGTGATGTACGCCACTCGGCCACTGCGATCTCATTAAAACTTGACGTGAAAAACTCCAACTACACAGTTATCGCAGTTGAGTCCGTTGCTCCAACAAGGCTTCTCAGCCGACTATTTTCTTTCGTACATTGATGTTCGCTCTACATGATTTTTAAATTATAATCTTTTCAAAAAAATGCTCCACCTTCAAGTTTTACTTTACCTTTTCTCCTTGTGCATTCATTCCCAAACAATTGTTCTTACTCAGCTGTCACGTTTACTTAGTGTGTCTGTATCGAAATAGTCTAATCAACATTCCTCAGTTGCGTTGTTTCCTTCCAAAGTTTTATTCCTCCAAAACGACCCTGATCTCTTAAATGTTTAGCATCATATTTCCTCTACGCTGTAACCCCCAAAACTGCCCTTTTCTCTCAGCTGTTCCAATCCTCCAAAATGACCTTGCTCTCTGAAATGTTTAGCATCATATTCCCCTACGTTGTAACCCCCAAAACTACCTTTCCTCTCAGCTGTTCCAAGTTGCGTACGTCCTCATCAAGATGGGCAACTCGCCGCGCCCCGGCGTCTGGGTGCTCGAGCGATCAGTGGACAACGGCGCGACCTACTCACCCTGGCAGTACTTCGCTGACAGTCCCAAGTCAGTCCACTACCTTAATACGTTGACTACGATTGCTTCATCTTGTACTATTATTTCAGATTTTGTACTGTTTTTAAACAGGGTTGCCAGACGGTCATTTTTTTTGGACAAATTCCGTGATTTAGTTTTTCTCAATTGCATTGGCTGGCTAAAATCTATGATAAGAGTACTTCATAATTAAATTTTAAATGCTGCTAAAAGAAAATAAATGGAATTTTTATAGCGGAACCTACAAATAAACTAGTATATATTGAGTTATCGGCATTTTATGGCCTTTTATGTTTGCGGATTTGGCCGATTTTAGGCAACCTGAATTATGTACCACTACGTCCTGGAGAAATACATTTCGTGGTACGCATATGTACCACTTCGGAGTCAACGTGTTAATTCTGCAAATTTTATGTACTATTGAAAACAGCATTTGTTACAAATTTTTATTTGATGTCGTCAGTGTGATTTTCTAATGTTTTTCTGTCGATATGAAATTTTCTGCTCGAGGGAAACTCAATGATATGTGTGAATTATAAGTTTGGTATGAATCGATGAAGCTTCACTAGAAATGTTATTTTTTTCATTTCTATGATATATGATTGGGGTCGGAATATTATGAGTAAAGATCATTATTGTTACGATTGCGGTCTTATATTTAATTATGGAATATCGAGTACCTTACTTGTAGAATGTGCGCCGATTTCAGTCGTTATTTCCTATTCGAATCCCGACCGAACCTACCAACCGCCGTTTTTTTAATTTTTATACCTGATGCAAGAAGCTTGAAGATTCTCATTCAACTCCTATTCGTTCGGGATGCGTTTTCGCTTCTGTCCAATAGAATTAGACTATTTCACTATCTATTGGATTACTGTTGTCAAAATTTTTGCGTAGTTTAACGGCTAAATGTGGCCGAGTGGATAAGATCGCTAAGATTGGGGCAGTTAGAAGCGGGCTGCAACCCCGCAACTAGATGTGAAAATCCTTGTCTAAAGGTGGCCTGTTGGTTCAGAGTCGGCGACAGATCAACAAGCCCTATTCAAATCATTTCCCTATTATTATACTATAGCGAATTGCAATATAACACGAACAGGAAACTCATTAACACGCTGTAATGAAACGAAATACCGGCACTTATTTAGTGCCGTCGGCACTAAATAAGTGTCTATAGTCAATATTTATTACATTTAGAGAGTTCGATTATTCATTAAATTAAATATAATTTTTATAGAAAGAATTAAATGCCTGTTATGGCTCTTAAAATAATTAAAGGTTAGTCATTCAGGTATTATCATTAAAAATGATCATTACCGTTGAAATAATTATTATAACGAACAGTGACTGCGAGAAATTCTTCGGGACGGAGTCGCTGCGGCCCACTATTATTTTAATAAAGCGAATTAAAGAATATCACTATCGGGATACTCGCTAACACCCTGGAATGAAACTAAATATTATTATAAAAAATGATCATTACCGTTGAATTAATTATTATAACGAACAGTGACTGCGAGAAATTCTTCGGAGCGGAGTCGCTGCGGCCCATCGTCAAGGACGACGACGTGACGTGCACCACGCAGTTCTCCAAGGTCGTGCCTCTCGAGGGGGGAGAGGTACGTGGCTAATGTTTTTCTTTTAATTGTTGTATAGTTTTTAGCGCATTTTCTCATTTATGAAAAAAATGCACTATTGTGCTCGCCATGTCCGTCCGTCCGTGACTTCATGTTTTCGTCGACGAGAAAATGCGCTCTCTGTCACTAACTGCAGTGAGTACTGAGTTATATTTTTTATATTTTGTGGCGCCTAGTAATAATTTATTTTCATTTTTACCGATTCTTATAGCGTGATGAAAAAATTAAATTTCATTCAATTATTTTCATGAAAATTTGAGCGCGATTAAAAATTAAATTTAATTATTCATAATTTTTTTACATTTTATGGTATCTATCTATAGTTTATTTTCATTTACTTTCAGTAAAAAAATCCGATCCTTGCACTAATAGTTATTTTTCGCTTCGCTCTTTTATTAACAAAGTTAGATTAATATTATCTAACTTATGATTCAACTGTGGAAAATTCAAGTAATTCAAATAATTTATGAAATCATGTTATGTAATTAATCACTAAAAATCATATTTCGTCATTTTATTACATTTTGCATCAGGCAAGACTATACCTAACATAATTTCTGGAGACTAATTATTAGTATTGCTATTTCCATCAACACGAGTGCAGTCAATAAAAACTACTATAATATTATTATATCTTAACTCATAACAGTTCATATCTTGTATGTGTTAACATCTGGGATGTGTTAACATCAACAATGAACGCTGCGTTAACACAAGTCCTGAAGCTGTTTCTGTTGCTGGTATTATTTCAGTTCACATATTTTTTCTCACATATAACAGTTCATATTATGTTTGTGTTAACATCTGAGATATGTGCAAATAATATTAGATTTTAAACACATTTGAGATCGTGGTGTCGCTGCTGAACGAGCGTCCCTCAGCCAAGAACTTCTTCAACTCTACGGTGCTGCAGGAGTTCACCAGAGCCACCAACGTGCGTCTGCGGCTGCTGCGCACCAAAACTCTTCTCGGCCACCTCATGTCCGTAGCTAGGCAGGACCCAACCGTCACCAGGCGGGTTAGTAGCTGTAGTACAGCCGTACCTATTACATTGTACAGCTTAAATTGTACTGTGCCTATTATAGTTTACAGCTTACATTGTACCGTACCTATTACATTGTGCAGCTTACATTGTACCGTACCTATTACAGTGTACAGCTTACTTTGTACCGTCATTGTACCGTACCTATTACAGTGTACAGCTTACTTTGTACCGTCATTGTACCGTACCTATTACAGTGTACAGCTTACTTTGTACCGTCATTGTACCGTACCTATTACAGTGTACAGCTTACTTTGTACCGTCATTGTACCGTACCTATTACAGTNATATTACATTGTACTGTCATTGTACAGATTACATTGTACCGTCATTGTACATATTACATTGTACTGTCATTGTACAGATTACATTGTACCGTCATTGTACAGATTACATTGTACCCTCATTCTACAGATTACATTGTACCGTCTATTGTTTCTGACCGGCTACGTGTCCTTCTGCATGGCACGGTAGTGGCGGCTAGAACAACATTCAAAAGCGAACCGCCACTATTTATCGAGAGATTGGCCTCCAATATCCTAGGCATTACTGGCTACGGAGGGAGCCAGTAGCCTTTTACACGAGGCCAGTAGCATGGTAATTGGTCGCATTTAGCATGTGAAAGTTGTAGTGGCCGCCATTACTTTCCATGTGTGCAAGCACCTATAATTTCGCTTCGAGTGTTCAGTACCAAAGCTATTCAATATTACCAAAAGTCCGTTGCAACGATTCTCACGTATTTCTGACAATTGATATTTATCTTAAATAACAATATCTCTAGTGAATTAAATTTTTTCTAAACCACTATTTACATTTCTGAAATGTTAGCCATCATAACGATTTTGCCCAGAGTCTTGACGCGTCATGAGTCTATATTTGTATTGATGAAACGAAAGGTTCTGCCGCTTATTCCCTTGAATCAATTAATATGCAAGCCGTGATTAGAACTTTTCTCTCGATATTATCGGAGCATAAACATGTTTTTTTGTGCCCTCTTCTACTCGGTAAATTAGTCAGGTAATAACCCAGCCTTGACTCAAGCTTCTCTCTCAGTATAACAACTCCACATCAAAAACATGTTTTTTGCAGTACTCCTACTCAGGCAATGAGCGAGCCTTGACTCGCAGTCGCATCCTAATATTACTGCAATGAAAAATGCTTTTTTTGGGCAGTTTTTTGCCTCAGTTAATGAGCGAGCCTTGAATCACAGTGACATCTCAATAGTACCGCTACAAAAACATGTATTTTTTTACACTACTTCTACTCAGGCAAGAGCGAGCCTTGAATCACAGCGACGTCTCAATATTACCGCTACAAAAAAAACGTTTTTTTCCAGTACTTCTACTCAGTAAAAGACATCAGCATCGGAGGACGCTGTGTGTGCAACGGGCACGCAGGTGTATGCGACATCGCTGACCCCAATGACCCGTACAAGTTGCAGTGTAGATGTCAGCACAACACTTGTGGTGCTCAGTGCGAGACTTGCTGTCCTGGCTACATACAGAAGAAGTGGAGGCCCTCCAGCTACACCGATGCCTTTGTTTGTGAACGTGAGTTGCTCAACGAAGTCAAATTTAGTGCAGTTTTTGTTCAGGTTGGTTGAGATAGTCTATAGTTTCGTCTTCATGTTTTAAAAAATCAATTTCAGTGCCTAATCGTTTGTAAAATGTAACTACGTAGTGGTTTTTAAATTATAGTAATTGACTGCTCTATAAACGTTAGATGCATTACTTGCGGTGTCAATAAATTATTTGCATGTGCTCAGTGGCAGTAACTCCTGATGAACATAATTGACCTGTTATTGTACCGGTAACTCGGTTCGAAAACTTAGTTTTTATGAATTTTGTATTCACTTGATTTCATGTGTATTTATATACGTTTCTTCAACCAAATATATATTTTTTCTGTACATATTTTCTTCATGTGCATTCTACGTGTTCCACCTGCGCGCTTATAACTAAAAATCATTCTAATAAATTTTGTTGCTAGAATAATATTGTCCAGATCTAAAGACATATGTATGCCGCAGCGTGCAATTGTCACGGGCACAGCGAAGAATGTATCTTCGACGAAGACGTGAACATCAACAACAAATCCCTGGACATCCACGGCAACTACGAAGGGGGCGGCGTATGCCAGCGCTGCAGGGACAACACGGAGGGCATCAACTGCGAGAAATGCGTCGCCAGGTTCTATAGGCCGCGCGGCAAACGTGAGAGCGACATAGACGCGTGCCAGCCATGCCAGTGCTATGATGCTGCTCATACCGGCAACTGTGAGGACGGTACTGGGCGTTGCGAGTGCAGGATTGAGTTCATGCCTCCGTATTGTGACCAGTGCAATTTTGGATACTATGACTACCCGCTGTGTAAGCCGTGCGACTGCTTCAGGAATGGGACCCGAGGAGGTATTTGTGAGGTGGGCGGAGGCCAGTGCCCTTGTGAGGAGAATTACAAAGGACTTAATTGTGATCAGTGTCGTAACACTTACTATGGCTTCCCTGAGTGTAAAGCTTGTAACTGCAGCAGCATCGGTTCCACTAGCCCCATCTGCGATACAGTCACGGGCCAGTGTAACTGTGTTAATAACTTCGGAGGACAAACGTGCGACCAGTGCGAGCACGGCTACTTCAATCACCCTCAGTGCGAATGTAAGTGAAAACATTCATCAAAATTAACTAATTTCAATGTTTAATAGAATTACCAAAATTATTTATAGTAATACCAAGAAGGAAGCATTAAAAAAAATCCGCAGACCATTACTTTCGATTGTGTAAACATTTACAATTTTTTGTTTTTGCTTCATTAATACTGTACTAACGCGACGAGTAATTTTCCCCTAGTATAGTTTTTAGCTTCGAAATGTAAAAAATGTACATGTCTCTCATTCTCACCGCTGATTCATTTGATCGCCGGAAGAAAGAGAAATGTACTTTTCTTATTTCTATCGCAGATTCATTAGCCAATCATAAAAAATGGCAATCAACTTCCCATTCTGTTTTATAATGTGAATTTATCGAAACTCAAAGAAGATCTTTGAATTGCCCACGTTTCTGTCAATAAATTTTTATCCAGTAATTAATAAATCCACTGTATGCGTAAACTGAAGTTCATTTCTCTTTTGCCCACGTTTCTGTCAGTCAATTTTAATCCAGTAATTCAAATATCACGATACATAAACTGAAATTCATTCCTCTTCACAGTTTGCAAATGCGACTCTAGTGGCACAACTGAGGAGATCTGCGACAAGGAGACGGGCCGATGTCTGTGCAAGGAAGGATACAGTGGCACACGCTGCGACAACAGTGCCCCAGGATTCTGGGGGTATCCTTTGATCCGCTCCTGCGACTGCCACTCCGTTGGGGCGGTCGACAAGATCTGCGATGTGGATGGCTACTGCCGCTGCTTCCCGGGATACTCGGGACCAAAATGTGACCAATGCCGAGCTGGCTTCTACAACTTCCCTGTCTGCGATCCCTGCAAATGTGACAGGTGGATTAATTTCAAGTTGACAAATAAATTTCAAGTTGCCAGGTCAATTTCATGTTGCAGGTCCATTTCAAGTTGCCAGGTCAATTTCACGTTGCCAGATCAATTTCACGTTGCCAGATCAATTTCACGTTGCCAGATCAATTTCACGTTGCCAGATGAATTTCATGTTGCCAGATGTTGCCAGATCAATTTCATGTTGCCAGATCAATTTCCTGTTGCCAGATCAATTTCATGTTGCCAGATTAATTTCACGTTGCCAAAAAAATTTCAAGTTGCCAGATCCATTTCAAGTTGCCAGATCAATTTCAAGTTGCCAGATCAATTTCATGTTGCCAGATCAATTTCAACAAACAATTATTATCAATTAACAATTATTACTGTTATCAATTTCATTGTTAGTTATTACTGTTATAGTTACTGTAATTATTAGTGTTATAGTTAATATTATTACCTACAGTAAGTGGTTTTATACTTGTCATTATAAATTAAATTAGTTTCGTTGCTCGTTGTTAGTTCTTAATAATGCTAGTATAAGTTTCATCGTAATATTATTTGCTAATAATTCTGTAATTTTGGAATATTTCAGTATAAACTATTATAATGACAATCCACCATCGAATTTTGCAAATTTTGAATACTGTTAGTCCCGAATTCAAATGCGTTGCAGAATGATTATTAGCTTCTTACAGTTCTCTTTCGATGTATTTTTTTACTACAAAATGCAATGTTCCCAGTCAAAACATGCGCCAAATTAATGTTTATTCCCAGTCAAGATATAAGCCAAACAAATATTTATTCCCAGTCAAAACATGCGCCAAATTAATATTTATTCCCAGCCAAAACATGCGCCAAATTAATATTTATTCCCAGTCAAAACATGCGCCAAATTAATATTTATTCCCAATCAAAACCTGCGCCAAACATGTTTATTCTAAGACAAATATTGTCTAGGCACTAATTAGTAGTTGATGGAGCAGGTCTGGCAGCAACGGTGACTCGTGCAACGAGCAAGGCAACTGCTACTGCAAACACAACTTCGCGGGCCAGCAGTGCCAGCAGTGTCAGGAGGGATACTACATCTTCCCGCGCTGTGAAGGTCTGCTACAGACTAAACATATTGCACTGCTGCGTGTACTTCTTGCTATAATTGTTGTCTCTCTGATTTGCTTTTGCTTGTAATCGTAAATGAACTTGCTAAATACTCTGCTTGTTATATAATATAAACTGAATTCAAACGTATACAAATTTTGAACTTAACTAGAAGTTTTCAGTGAATAAACTTTCAATATTATACCAATGATACTACGCAACTAAATAGATTTTAATAAGGCTTTAAATCAAAGAAAGATAAAAATTTAAGTTATTGAATTTTATAAATAAGTCAAAGCAATCAAATGATTTACTTTCTATCTGAAGAATGTAGTCCAACGAACACTCTGGACGTTGCATTACTACAGAATGCAACTGCAATCCTGCCGGAGTGATCGAGAGCTTCGGTGGCTGCGGCAACGCTCCTGAAGGCTCGCTGTGCGTCTGCAAACCGCGTGTCCGCGGCCGCATCTGCGACGTGTGCGAGCCTCTCTACTGGAACCTGCAGCCCTACAACCCCGACGGCTGTGAGGAGTGCGCGTGTAACCCCGCGGGGACGGTCGGAGGTCTCGCCGTCTGCAGCTCTGAGGACGGACAATGTGTGTGTAAACCTAGGGTGACACAACGACGCTGTGATGCCTGCAAGGATGGCTCCTTTAACTTGATGGAGGATAACCTCTTCGGGTGTCTGGACTGCGGGTGTAACTTAGGCGGCTCGCTTCATCCGGTTTGTGATAAGATGAACGGAAACTGCCAGTGTCGCCCTCGTGTCATGGGCCAGAGATGCGACAAGCCCATAGATTTGCATTACTTCCCTAGCTTCCATCACCTGAAATACGAAGCAGAGGATGGCCGAACTGCTCACACCGAGGCCGTTAGGTTTGCTAATTTGGATTCTTAATTTGTTTTTTTCTGTCAAATTTCACTGCTTTATTCCGTGTGAACAAATCCTGGTGCTGAAGTTTATTTTACTGTTTGATCGTATGAAATAAATATTATAATAATGATATTTTCTAAAAAAAACTCCAGGTTCCACTCGCAACTTTCAACACATAATTTTATCTCCAGGTTCGGCTACGATGAGTCGCAGTTTCCCGGTTACTCGTGGCGAGGCTACGCGATTTTCTCAGAGCTGCAGCTGGAGACGATCTACGATCTGGTGATCGAGCGGCCGTCGCTGTACCGCCTGATCCTGGCCTACCGCAACCCCCACGACTACCCCTTGCAGGGCAAGGTCGTCACCACGCCCGTCAGCTCCACGTCTTCTCAGCAGGTCTTGAGTCGTGTATTTTTAGCGCATTTTCTCATTTATGAAAAAATGCACAATTGTGCTCGCCATTTCTGTCTGTCTGTCTGCCTGTCCGTCCGTCCGTGACTTCACGTTTACGTCGACGAGAAAATGCGCTCTCTGCCACTCACTGCAGTGAGTACTGAGTTATATATATTTTTCTTTTTGTTCACTTTTAAATTTACCCGTCACGTGCCCTCAAAGTTCGGTTGAATCAGACGCCATGACAATCGCATCGTTCAATAATAATAATCATGTATACCTTTCGATTTTGTCAGAGCAAACGCGGCATTGGCGATATTTCGAACTATTACTAGATCTTTCACTTCAGAGGTATAATTATGTTTCTCATAATAAAGAGCGTGAATATATAATTCACGCTCTTTATAATATAATTATATAGTATAATTATTTAAAATTAATATAAAGATCGTGAATAATTTTTTCACACAAGTAGTTCATATATAATTACTGCTTATTCCAATTGACTGAGTGCTTATGATTATTTGTACTAAGAAGGAGGTTTTTAATAATTTTTTGACTGACTAGTCATAAACGAACAGTCCTCACCTTATTCAGCTTTTGTATAGGAAATGCATGATTGTTCCAATAATTTTAATTGATGTTAAGAATGAAATGGGACTGCGGTAGCATTTTGTTCATAATTACTTAAAAATGAGGCAAGTTGGTTAATAAATCTGCCTCACGATACAATATGATGCGTGCCCTGATGCACCGCGTGCCCTGATGCACCGCGTGCCCTGATGCACCGCGTGCCCTGATGCCTGTCTCTTATACACATCTAGATGTGTATAAGAGACAGGTGCTGGTGAGTGGCTGCAGCAGTGCTGGTGAGTGGCCGCAGCAGTGCTGGTGAGTGGCAGCAGTGCTGGTGAGTGGCAGCAGCAGTGCTGGTGAGTGGCTGCAGTGCTGGTGAGTGGCCGCAGCAGTGCTGGTGAGTGGCTGCAGTGCTGGTGAGTGGCTGCAGCAGTGCTGGTAGGTGCTAGTGTACCGTCTCATTTTGTCTTCATTTCGAACTGTAATCATTCGATCGCATGAAATTTTTGTTGAATCATATCGGTACAAATTCATTGATTTGAATCTTTGTAATAGTAAACATGTATTAAATTTATGTATATAATTGGGGCAAACTTTCTGCAGATGTCAGTGACCAAATTCTTGTTACTTAAAACGCAATAGTCGCTCTCGCGAGAGCAATATTTTATACGAAGATAAAAGAGAAATCAGAAATTAAAAATGATGAGACCGTAACTCCGTGCCAATTGGTAGTATGGGCACCAAATGCGTTGGTGTTTTAGACAGCTTTAGGGTACCAAAGGACCTATCCTACTCCACAAAATTACAAAATGAGATCGCAACTCCATGCCAATTGGTAGGATGGGTAGGTACCAAATGAGACCGTAACTCCATGACAATTGGTAGTATGGTACCAAATGCACTGGTGTTGACCTATCGTCCACTGCCACAGGACTACTTCGTGCTGCTGCCCTCCGCGTACTACGAAGCCACGATCCTGACGCAGAACATCACGACCCCTTGCCTCCTCTCCTCCAGCGACGAGCTCTGCGTCCACTACGGCTACCCTGACGTACAGCATCGCTTCCCCTACGCCTGGGGCTCCTCCGCCTACACCGTCGAGGACTGGGACGGCAGACATGAGGTCGTCACCACCTACGATGACGAAGAGGTGACGTACGCGCTCTGCTCTTTGATTTTAATAACATAACATAACACAGGAGCATATGTTCAGTCTTAAAATGCCTAGCAAATTACGGACCAGTCAATAAGTCCAGTTAAATCAATCGTCAGTTATGGAAAGATCGGGTTCCAAAGGCCGGATCCCTTGTGAATCAAGTCACGAAAAATTCAAGAATCGGCAACAGGCCATGGGCCTATTTCTTCAGTGTCGACACTTCTATTCTATTATATTTTAGTGATGTCGGTGCTGTAGTATAGGCCTGATGTGGCCTGTCGCCGATTCTTGTACTTCTCGTTACTTGTTCACAGGAGATCTAAAAACATATCCTTTGACCGGATATTTTCATGACTGACGATAGTTTGAAATAGCTACTAGACTTGCACAGGGTTCGATATGGTGCTAGGCATTTCAAATCTGAACATATATTTCTCCAAAGCTTTATCTAGTCTGTTCTTGAACGCGTTCATACTCGGAGTAATGGTGTAATGTAATGGTTGACGAGAATTTACGACAATGTGATAGCGATCGGTCGTCATACTCGCAGAATTTGCTTTGTACGACGGCCCAGTGTCCGAACCTTTTCTTAATGCATTGGTTTTTGATGATAAGGAGAGAAGATATTCTTAATCAATCCATGTTATCTTTGATAATTCCATTATAATGTCAAGCTTAATTGGACATCATATTCACCATTAACGACTTAGGAGAAACACGAGAAAGTCTAGTCCCGCATCGAACCATAACTTGAATTAACTACTCAAATAGTCAAAGAAATATATTTCGAAACCATTTTGACCATTAAATTGTAATACTAAATTTTATTCGATTACTAACGTAAATTTATTAATTTTCTCGAAAGGTTTCACTTCCAATCGCATAATTTTGCTTATTTTCATTATTAAACCTAATGACAGGCGATTGGCAAGCTGAAGAGCGTGCCGATGGCGTGGCTCACGGAGGAGCAGTCGGAGATTCACTTCAGCTTCCGCGTCCTGAAGAAAGGACCTCACATCGTCCTGCTCAACTACTTCACTCCCAGCGGCAACTCCAAGGTACTTGTACACTCCATCTTGTAGCTTAAGGTACTTCATAAGGTACTTCACCTTATAGCTTAAGGTACTCCATAAGGTACTTCACCTTATAGCTTCTCATTCTGCTCTTTGAGCAAATTAAAAACTTTTAATTTCTATAACAAAAATTACCTATATAATATATTAAAATTATCCACTCATGCACTGCTCTTTGAAAAAATATAAGTCAGTACTCACTGCAGTGAGTGACAGGAGTTACAGAGAGCGCATTTTCTCGTCGACGAAAACGTGAAATCACGGGCAAACGGACAGACGGACGGACGGACATGACCTAACCTTACCTTATGACCATATGATAAGTTCGGGACCTCCTAGTCCCCGGTCACGCTGATGCGCCGCCGGGGCACATTACGAGCACAATAGATCCTTTTTTCCATAAATGAGAAAATGCGCTAAAAACTTCTAATTACAACAATACAAAGTATATTAAATGTTGAAATGATGGACTCTTACAGACGGTAAAATATTGAAATGATCCTCTCCTACAGACGGTGTCGGTGGCGGTGGAGGCGGTCTCAGGGGGCGCTCAGGGGGCGCAGTCTGGGCGCGCTATTCTGTACGACTGCGCGTACTCGTGGGTGTGTCGGCAGGTCGTGATGGACTTCTCAGGGCAGGTGCTGCAGGTCATGCTCGACCACACCACCATCACCATCGTCATCAAAGTGAGTGCTGCAGGTCATGCTCGACCACACCACCATCACCATCGTCATCAAGGTGAGTGCTGCAGGTCATGCTCGACCACACCACCATCACCATCGTCATCAAAGTGAGTGCTGCAGGTCATGCTCGACCACACCACCATCACCATCGTCATCAAAGTGAGTGCTGCAGGTCATGCTCGACCACACCACCATCACCATCGTCATCAAAGTGAGTGCTGCAGGTCATGCTCGACCACACCACCATCACCATCGTCATCAAAGTGAGTGCTGCAGGTCATGCTCGACCACACCACCATCACCATCGTCATCAAAGTGAGTGCTGCAGGTCATGCTCGACCACACCACCATCACCATCGTCATCAAAGTGAGTGCTGCAGGTCATGCTCGACCACACCACCATCACCATCGTCATCAAAGTGAGTGCTGCAGGTCATGCTCGACCACACCACCATCACCATCGTCATCAAAGTGAGTGCTGCAGGTCATGCTCGACCACACCACCATCACCATCGTCATCAAAGTGAGTGCTGCAGGTCATGCTCNTAACTCTACAGGTTGAGTTCGAAGCAAACCCTTAAGGTTTAACTCTACAGGTTGAGTTCGAAGCAAACCCTTAAGGTTTAACTCTACAGGTTGAGTTCGAAGCAAACCCTTAAGGTTTAACTCTGCAGGTATGGCTCGAAGCCAACCCTTAAGGTTTACCTCTACAGGTTGAGTTCGAAGCAAACCCTTAAGGTTTAATCCTGCAGGTTGAGTTCGAGGCAAACCTCTCTGGCAAGACGGCCAAGTGGCAGCCGTCATACCTGGACAACACGACGACCGTGGTCTACTTGAACGGCTCTGATCCCATGGTGGACGTGGCCGGCAAACTCAGGGCGGCTGGCGACTACGTCTTCCTAGTGCATTACTACCAGCCTAACCTGCCTGGTGAGACTAGTGGTGGCTAGTAAAACTGTAATGCTAGTGGTCCTCTCTAGATAATTTCTTTAGATGCGTTTGACGGTCTTAAGGGAAAAATACTACCAGCCTATCCTGCCTGGTGAGACTAGTGGTGGCTAGTGAGATTTCATACCATTTGTCTTCTAAAATAATTTCTTAAAATGATTTTGACGGTCTTAAGGGAAAAATAAACAACAATAGATCGTCCGTGGTGCATGCCTTCAGCGATGCCTTCCGATTCTGTACCCGCAGAACAGATGTTAATTATCAGATCTCTTGATCAGGCTCGTAAAATTTCTGGCCAGTTCCAAAAATACATTTATATTTATCTCACGAAGGACATACAAGCTGAACACATTGTTTCTATAAGTTTCTAAGTCTTCGATCCTAATTTTTGAATATTTAGTACATGTGAAACGAGTCTACTTTATTCGTGTATTTGCAAGAAAATAAGCTCGTATCTCCTCGACTCATCAGGATTTTCTGCCAAATTTTAAAGTTGAAAATGGGAATTCTGAAGTTTTTTTTATTTCAACTTTTTATTTCTTCTCAAACTGAATGAGTTTCAAGATGATCAGTAATTATTTCTTCACCCCAGGATTCACCGCGCAAGTTCTCGTTCAGAACGGCAAGTTCTACGAAGGGACGCTGGAGCTCGAGCACTGCCCCAGCGAGGCAGGGTGCCGTGCAGTGGTCACCCACTCAGGCAGTGACACCGTCTTCAGTATCCTCGAGAACTTCGTCTTCACGCTCAAGGTGCTAGATGGTGCCTTAGGGTACGCACACAGTGAAAGCAGGTTGCCAGCGTGCTGGTTACCTGCTCAGGCTGGCGCCTGAAACCATAGAATACAGAAGCCTATTCGTACAGGTTTTCACTGTGAACACTTACATTATTATCCTATGTCCATTCTTGTGGCAGGTTGGAGCAGGTTGCCAGCGCGGGCAAACCTGCTTCCACTGTGTGCGTACCCTTACGTGTGGTGTTTTATCATTCCTGCTGCTTTACTTCTCTCTACTGAGGATGAATATAATTTTTTTTTATTTCTATCAAATCTGCTACTTGTAAAGCACGGCTGCTTGTCATTCTCTTTATTGGTTTCTTATTATTAGACAGCTTTTGAATGAATTTATGCAGGGGAATAATTGCCGGCAGCTTTTGATTTATGCAGGGGAAATAATTGGTGTGAACTGTGTACCAGGTTCCGTCACACCGCGAGGTGTGGGCAGACTACTTCCTATTTCTTATTATGTAGCAACTTTTGAGTGGATTTATACAGGGGAAATAATTGGTGCGAACTGTGTACCAGGTTCCGTCAACCGCGAGGTGTGGGCAGACTACTTCCTATTTCTTATTATGTAGCAACTTTTATACAGGGGAAATAATTGGTGCGAACTGTGTACCAGGTTCCGTCAATTTATACAGGGGAAATAATTGGTGCGAACTGTGTACCAGGTTCCGTCACACCGCGAGGTGTGGGCAGACTACGCGCTGGTGGTGCCGGCCACTCAGTACTCCAGCGACCTGCTGCACAGCCTCCCACGGGACAACACGGCCGAGTTCATCGAGAAGTGTGGCAAAGACAACTTCCAGCTCCGCGAAAACATAACAGGTCACATATTTTATCACTAGTTAACCGCTTATTCCACTAGTTTACCGCTCATTTTACTAGTTTACCGCTTATTCCACTAGTTTACCGCTCATTTTACTAGTTAACCCACTTATTCCACTAGTTTACCGCTCATTTTACTAGTTAACCACTTATTCCACTAGTTTACCGCTCATTTTACTAGTTAACCCACTTATTCCACTAGTTGTCCGGTTATTTTCACAGAGATCGTTACTATGCACGTGGAGCCCTCGATGGAGGTGCTTTGAATCGATGTTAATTGTGTGGATGTGAATAAAATCTTATTCGAGCTCATTATCCAGTGTCAGATCAAGGATGAATTAATATATGAATTAATATATGTATTAATTACAACGAGGAAATCCGGAGCTTCAATTGATTAAACCTGATTACGAAGTTTTATATTGTAGCCTAAAATGAATCTTCCTGTTTTACATTCGAAGCAAGAACTTTACAATGATAGTTTGAAATTGTGTGTTTCAAGTTTTATTTCTTTTTGGTTTTGCAGTGAATTTTAAAATGTGCCATCGGTAGCCAATATCTTCGGATATTCATTTAATCCGACACATTACTTTTTTTTCAATTCTTTTAATCTGTTTAAAAGAATTTAGCATTGGCCGCATCTGTGACCTGAAGATGCAGTGCAACAAAAATTCGAATGAGACAATTAATGAGACATAAATAAAATCGAATGAGACAATTAAGATCCATTCATGTTTCTATTTGTTTATTTTATTTAAGATTTTTCCTTGAAACTATGTTCAATCCAGTTGCGTAGTTCAAAAAAGCCTCCTGGAATTGTTTTGCCTTGACGACAAATTGCAACAGAAGAGTAGCAATCTGTAACTAGAACAAGAAAATAATTCTATATCCACACTATTCTATGGTCGCCGTATTCACATTATTCCATGGTCGCCGTTTTCACCCTATTCCATGTTCCCCTTATTCACCCTCTTCCATGTTCAGCGTCTTCACTCTCTTCCATGCCCCCCGTCTTCACCCTCTTCCATGTCCCCCGTATTAACCCTCTTCCATGTTCCCCTTATTCACCCTCTTCCATGTTCCCCGTCTTCACTCTCTTCCATGCCCCCCGTCTTCACCCTCTTCCATGTGACCCGTATTAACCCTCTTCCATTTCCCCCATATTAACACTCTTCCATGTTCCCCTTATTCACCCTCTTCCATGTTCCCCTTATTCACCCTCTTCCATGTTCCCCTTATTCGCCCTCTTCTATCTCCCCCGTCTTAACCCTCTTCCATGTCCCCCGTCTTCACCCTCTTCCATGTCCCCCGTCTTCACCCTCTTCCATGTTCCCCTTATTCAGGGTTTTGCCGCGACGCGACGTTTGCCCTGACGGTGGAGTTCTACGGCGGGGCGCCGTATTCACCCTCTTCTATCTCCCCCGTATTCACCCTCTTCCATGTCCCCCGTATTCACCCTCTTCCATGTTCCCCGTCTTCAGGATTTTGCCGCGACGCGACGTTTGCCCTGACGGTGGAGTTCTACGGAGGGGCGCTGTACTGCGACTGCGACTACTACGGCTCGTACACCATCGAGTGCGAGGAGTTCGGGGGCGCCTGCCCCTGCCGTCCTAACGTCATAGGGCGGCGCTGTGACCGCTGCAAGACAGGATACTTCGGCTTCCCCAACTGCCAGCCCTGCGACTGTCCCTCCACCGCCCTCTGCAATGCCAGGAATGGTTCGTCATGACTAACTTTATTTTGATTCTATTTTTTCTAATTAAATCTGAAACTGAACATTTTCTTACTTGTTGGTACTTGAATTATTTTAAATACTCCCATCGTTGCCATCGTTGAGTAGATCATCGAAGTAAGAAGTGAGTAATAATTGATGAGTAAAAGAGATTGCAGTAATGAATGTGTGGTAATTAATAGGTTGGCCACTGCTGATACTGAAATAATGACTGTTTAGGAGTTATTAGATGCCAATAACTGGCATAAGAAGTAACGAGTGTATAGGTAATTGCAGCGAGCTCGGTAAGTTTGCTGCCACTAGAAAGTTCGTGGACTAGACCACTTACCGCCTTGCCACTAGACCAAGTTTTTCCACTAGACCATTTAACCACTTGTTGCACCGATGCAGGCGACTGCATCTGCCCACCGCTGGTGATGGGGGAGCGATGTGACCAGTGTGTGGCCAACACCTACGGCTTCGACTCCATCATCGGGTGTGAGGAGTGTCAGTGCAGCCCCGCGGGGGTGCGGGGAGGCAACCTGCAGTGCGACCTGGTCACCGGCCAGTGTGACTGTCTCAATAACGTCGTGGGGCGGAGGTGATTATGCTTATTTTTACTTCTGGTGTTGATATTATATGCAGGTATGAAATACACAGCTGAAAAATTCTTAGTTGTGGGTGGTAACGGAGTTGTTGGAAAGTGACTTCACTGAGAATTAGGTGGTCTGAAGAATCTTTCGTTCATTGCAGTTTTACTCATCGGCCGTTGAGTTTGATTCTTGCGGTTAAAAAATCATAATTTTCTGTTTTAATCAGGTGAATCAAATTACATTTTTAATTTAGTACATTTCATTTTAACATACGGTTTTATAAATTTGTGGATGTTTGTTCAACTCGAATCAGTAACACACAACCTGCTATCGCAATTTTGAGGTAGAATTTAATGGCTCAACATTTTCGTATAAGTTTCATTTCAATTGAACGTTAAATACGGCGCTGCAGATGCGACAAGTGTCGCGCCGGTTACTGGACCTACCCGCGCTGCCAGAGCTGCGACTGCGACATCAGGGGCACTGAGAGCGATATATGCGACCAGGTATTGTGCCAGTGCAGTGTATAAAAATGCTGCTTATACTTAATATAAATTGTGTAAAAATCTCGATAAATTTGGGATTCACGAAGAGTATGCGCTGGTAAAACGAACCCTTCTAGATGATCAGCGTCCTATGACTGCGACCTGATTTTTGAGCTTATACACAAGCAGGCTATAGTAATTGGAAACTTTTTAGTCTTGTTTCTTTGTTGTGCATTTTAAAATAAAATTTAAAACATTCCTTTCAATGACCTATTTAATACTATCGATGTTCGTTACATTCAATATCCAGCCAAAGCAGTTTTAATTCAATAGTGATTTTTCATTCTCAATTGTGAACATGATTAGTGATATATTCCAAGCGGTCGTTAGCAGATGCCTATCAAACTGATAGGCAATAATTTCTGGGATTTCATTGAATTCAAAAAGCTACATTAATACATGAATACATAAGAAGCCTCGAAACGATGTGAAGTCTGAGCGTTCAACATACGTACATTGGAATAGAAAAATTCAAATTTCACGAAATGGAGTTAAATACCTGGATAAAATAAAGATTTAGATTAAATTAAGGAACAAATACTGTTTAAAAATTATCGATTGCATCCGGCTCACTTATTATTCACTAAAAACCAATATTTTTGTTTGTTTAAAAATCGTTTGTTCGGTGACACAATTCGGTAATTACACATCATTATTACCAGATAAAAATGCCCAATATTAAGTAGTTTTTATTTGAGAAATAATCACTGTTTTCTATGAAAGTTTGCGTCACTGAGAAGTTATTTACTTCTCAGGCATTATTATTATAATAATGATTATTAGTGAATCTTCACTCATTAGTAAATCAATCCACATTATTTGCTGTACAATCTGTGCTAATTAGCATGCAATTATTTTGAATTAAATAATATTGTATGATTTGTTGAGACGGACGCGCGGTGTTACTGCAAGAGTAACGTGGAGGGCCGGACCTGCGACTCGTGCGTGCTGGGCTAACAATTAACACAATTATCTGTTAATTAACATGCAATTAGCTCATTAATAAATAATATTGTATGATTTGTTGAGACGGACGCGCGGTGCTACTGCAAGAGTAACGTGGAGGGCCGGACCTGTGACTCGTGCGTGCTGGGCTCCTACAACCTGCAGGAGAGCGACCCTGACGGCTGCACCCGCTGCTTCTGCTTCGGCAAGTCTTCCACCTGCTCCCCCTCCAAGTTCTTCTGGGATAAGGTCAGGCATAATGAATATCAAGTCATTTAAGGTTTTGGATGAGTCAGAATAAATCTCAAGTCTTTGAAATTTTCAGGTGAGGCTCAATGAATCTTGAGTCTGAGAAAGTTTTAGATGAGGCACAATGAATCTGAGAAAGTTTTAGATGAGGCACAATGAATCTGAGAAAGTTTTAGATGAGGCACAATGAATCTGGAGCATATGTTCAGTCTTAAAATGCCTAGCAAATTACGGACCAGGCAATAAGTCCAGCAGCTATCTCAATCAATCGTCAGCTATGGAAAGATCGGGTTCCAAAGGCAGGATCCCTTCTGAATTAAGGCACGAAAAGTTCAAGAATCGGCAACAGGCCATGGGCCCATTTCTTCAACGCCGACACTTCTATTCTATTCTAGATCAATTTCCGGGGCCGTTTTATTTCCAGTTTCAGGGTTCAATTCATAGTGCAAAAATTTTCTATTCTCGAACCCTTTGAGGCAAAAGTGCCACTCGAATATGTTTCGGGACTGCCACGTCTGAAACAAATACTGAAGATATGAAAAGAAGATATCCATTATTCATCTATGGAAAAGATATCCATTATCCATTATCCACTGAAGATATCCATTATCCATCTATGGATATGAAAAGAAGATATCCATTGAAGATATCCATTATCCATATCCATTATCCATCTATGTTAGAAATCATTAAAATTTGTCTCCTGTCGCCACAGCTGTACCAGATGACAGGCTGGTCAGCAGTTCAGCTGGACCTGTCAGGGTCAGCTCTGTCAGCGTCTCCAGAGTATCAGGAGCTGGATCAGCTAGCACGCATGGTGCGTCTCAACACCTCAGGTCTGCTGGCTCCTCGTCGGGAGAACGCCGTGTACTTCGCTGCCCCCAGCAGGTTCCTAGGCAACAGGGTCACCTCCTACGGCGGTCTCTTCACCTACTCCATCCTGCACTTCCCTGACTCGGACGCACAAGCCAGTGAGTATATTATCCTGTGGTGTATTTTATTTTATTTGTATTGATACAATATACTCCATCATGTAGCATATATTATCATTGGAATAGCAATAACAATTGCTTCTGTCCAAGTTAATTCCCTTACTTTGCTTTACTCTGGGTTTTTCTTTTAATTTTCCCTACTTGGATAGTGAATTTATGGCTTCCTAATTTTGGGTTACATTTTGACTATAACGGTCTTGCTGGCCTGGATATAATTTTACATTTTGATTATAACTGTGTAATTGGCCTGAATATAAGTGACATTCTTTATATTTCCGACTTCAAGCAGTAGTTCTATTTTTTTCCATGATTCTTTAATTTAAATCTTCGTCCCTAAATAACTGCTATTCCCCGCCTGTACAACAGCGAGCGTGAGCCCCGACGAGGCTGGGGTGCTGTTTTTTCCATGATTGTTCAATGTAAATCTTCATCCCTAAATAACTGCTATTCCCCGCCTGTACAACAGCGAGCGTGAGCCCCGACGAGGCTGGGGTGCTGTTTTTTCCATGATTGTTCAATGTAAATCTTCATCCCTAAATAACTGCTATTCCCCGCCTGTACAACAGCGAGCGTGAGCCCCGACGAGGCCGCTGTGCTGGGGGACGTGGTGCTGCAGGGGAACAACCTGACGGCGCTCTACTACGAGACCTCCTTCGTCCCCAGCGGCGTCAGGACATCCGTCGCCTTCTCCCTCAACGAGAGGAACTTCCGCTCTTCTTCTGGTGCGCGTCGAAGTTCTCACGATGTCTGTACATTGAGTGGAAATAAATTCTGATGCAGGCAGCTAGAAATAAAGTCTAGCAGCTCCTGGCACCGGTCTCCACTGGGACTATAACAACCGAACTCAATTCGGTTGTTATATCAAGTCCTTTCAATGATGAATTTTTGGTTGTCTTTTAATCTCTTATTGTTATAATGAAATTAACCTGTGTACCCTTGTCTTAATTGTTATGAGTTATTGTTGATTTCACCGTGGAAGTTCTAATCAGCGCCGAACTACTATTGCATGGAAAGAATAATTTTTTTTATCACTTTCAACAAGCAATATAAACTCTGTTAACAAATGTGTCAACCAATAAACTCTGTGTTAACAAATGATGCCTCTTAATGCGAAAATGTTTTGAATCCTGTATGAAATAAATGCTATTTTATTAATTAGAATGTTACTAAGCCTATTGATAATGATGTATGATGTATGTTATGTGTCAGGTTCCCAGATCACGCGCGACCAGTTCATGATGTTGCTACACAAGCTCACCGGCGTCTACATCAGAGCGCATTATCACGAGTCCGACGTCGAGACAAGGTCACTTGTTAATGCATATTAACAAGCATATATAAGTATTTAATAAGCTATTGCAAGCATATATAAGTATTACAATTATTAGATTGCTTAAATTTATCAGGAATATAAGCATATATAAGTATTGAAATCATTAGATTGCTCTAATCGCAAATTTATCAGGAATTTAAAAGCAAAGAAAACAGCCAGAATATTAACCATTTCTTAAGAATGAAAACGTTTCGGAGTCGAGCTCCATCCTTAGTTCAAAAGTTCAAAACGTATAAGAAAAAATTTCTCTTATAGGTTTGTAACTTATGAACTGACGATGGAGCTGGACTCCTAAACGTTTTCATTCTTAAGAAATGGTTAATATTTTGGCTGTTTTCTTTGCTTTTAAATTCCTGAATCATATATAATCGTTTGTTTTTCATTTATTTTAGCGCTGCTTTATATCCAGTAAGCGAGGTGCATATTTTCCTGTTGATTTTTATATCCTATATTTCTATATTGACTAAACCTAAAAAATTATTTTAGTTTCACTGGGATGAAAAAACTTCTATCTCCGGTGAAGCGTAAACGATATATCCGTTTTCCCTTAAATAATGGAAATTTGGTGAAGACGCAGAGGAAACCTGTCCAGGAAGAGAGTGTATCATTATTTTATTTATCTTGCTTTTACAACGACGCTTGACTCTAATATCCTCTGAAAAAATGACTAGCGGAATGAGCCGTCGGGTGATCTTTGGAATATGAAGGAATTATGTCGAGTGATCGATTTTTATTGTATACAAATCACCTCTTTTATGTTTGTATTGTTGAATCTATGTTCAAATTATGAATAAAATAAAGTGATCAGTTAATACTACTGAACAAACCTGATGGCAAGTCTCACTGCTTCAGACTATCGGACGTGACGATGGACATCGCGACCACCATATACTACCAGGGCGCCGAGCCCGCCTACTCCGTGGAGAAGTGCCTCTGTCCTCCCAACTATCAGGGTACATACTATTACAATTATACTTTCCTTGATAGTCTGCCCTACTTTAACCCTCTACCGCCGTATGTCACTCTCCAGGAACATAACTTTCAACTTGAATTATACGTAAACTATTGAGTGTAGCAACCTGAGGACGTTTGTACGCAACGGAGAACATTTTAAAGTTAAACTTTCAACTTAAATTATACGTAAACTATTGAGTGTAGCAACCTGAGGACGTTTGTACGCAACGGAGAACATTTTAAAGTTAAACTTTCAACTTAAATTATACGTAAACTATTGAGTGTAGCAACCTGAGGACGTTTGTACGCAACAGAGAACATTTTAAAGTTAAACTTTCAACTTAAATTATACGTAAACTATTGAGTGTAGCAACCTGAGGACGTTTGTACGCAACAGAGAACATTTTAAAGTTAAACTTTCAACTTAAATTATACGTAAACTATTGAGTGTAGCAACCTGAGGACGTTTGTACGCAACAGAGAACATTTTAAAGTTAAACTTTCAACTTAAATTATACGTAAACTATTGAGTGTTGCAACCTGAGGACGTTTGTACGCAACAGAGAACATTTTAAAGTTGTCGTACGTGGCGGCAACCATCAGTGCAAGTCATTTTGCGCTCACTAGAACGTATCTTTTTTGGGAAGTAGGCGCGTGACAATATTGCTCTGGTTGTTCATGTCAGCTGTAGAGGGTTAAATTAGTTGGCCGTCTTATTACTTCGACGGCTTTGGAATGCAATTTCTTGGTCAGGACTTAGGAAAAGTTTCTAACAGCTCATTCCGCTTATTGGGGACTTGTCCGAAGCAAGATTTTTTCAGCCGAACCAAGTGACGATTTCTTGTAAGTGAAAATTGTAGGATTGAGGGGCCAGTGAATTTTTCTCTGAACGCAGCTGCTATTTGGTAAGTGGAGTTAGTCATAACAATATCAGCTTATAACATATCAACAATGACAATCATTATCGTCAGGGAAGAAATTTAAATTTTTACTATCGTCGATTTTTGTGGAACTTGGATTTTCGCTCACGGACATGATACTTTTTAAAAAATTAATTTAGCGAAGATAATACTAAACATTTCACCATTTACTCAATTTGTTAGAAATTTAGTTCCAAAATTCGTATTATGAAAAATCGTACGATTGTGAAGAATGCAATCGCCAATTGGTCGATTAGTCGATTAATCATTAGTCTACTTCTTCCTTGATTTAGTTTATTTCATAGAAAATTCTCAGGTTTCTCATCTATTTGATCGTTGCTTATTATACGGCAACTCCACGACATTTACTGTTTCTTGATTTCCCAACTTTTCCTACTTTTTTCGTGTATTGAGCGCTTTTCAAGTTGATTATATTAGAATTTTGACTGATTTTTTTAATGTAAGTAGATTTAATTAGGTGAAAATCAACATTGCAATATGGATGAAATAAAATAGCGTAATCGATCAAATTGTTAATCATATTCCTAATAATAAATTCAGTTTTAAGGCCGCTTGATAACTATTTTCTTTCTGCGTGGCAAAACAATTAGCACCATATCGAACCCGGTGGAAGTCAAGTAGCTATTTCAAACTATCGTCAGTCATGAAAAGATCCGGTCAAATGACACGAGTTTAGATCTATGAACAAGGCACGAAAAGGAAAAGAATCAGCGACAGGCCACATCAGGCCTACACTTCAGCGCCGACATCACTATGTTATGTTAAAAAGAATGAAGGTGATGTTCACTGTTCTTTCTGCATGAATTTCATCTCTGCTCCAGGAACGTCTTGTGAAGAATGCGCTCCAGGATACTACAGAGCTCAGACTGGCCCCTTCGGCGGCTTCTGTGTTCAGTGTCAGTGTAACAGACACACTGACACGTGCGACCCTGTCACTGGCGTGTGTCTCGTGAGTGATAAACATACTTTTAAATTCTGACATAAGCCAATTCATAAGCCAATTCAGGCATAAGCCAACGCGCGATATCTCAATCAATCGTCAGCTATGGAAAGATCGGATTCCAAAGGCCGGATCCCTTGTCAATCAAGTCACGAAAAATTCAAGAATCGGCAACAGGCCATGGGCCTATTTCTTCACTGCCGACACTTCTATTCTATTCTATAGGGTGTACCCACAATTGCATACACTCGTATGCCATTTTTGGCTCGTTATTGACTCATGAGTCATCAATGACATTGTTTGAAATCTTAATACATCAGAAATACGCACTAGCGTCTTTGAAGTTCAAGTAATAATTTTTTGCATGTTTATGACCACCTATTCCACATAAAATCCGTTAACATTTATTTTTGCCTACACAAACCTCTGAAGTATCACGCCAATACTCAACAGATTTGCTGCTCAGATGCAATGATTTATGCACTTCTTTGTTCACACAAATGAGTATGAATTATTCTGTTTTTCAGACGGGAATATTGTAAGCATCTCTTATGTACTGAATATTTTTTTCAGACGGGAATATTGTATATATTGTTATACAGGGTGTCCCAAAAAACGATACCCAAATTTGAATAGCTGTAACTCGAAAAGTAATAGAGTTAAAAAATTTTGGAAGTTCAGGATTTGTTCCCTATGTTTTTCTGCATCTCTCCACCAAAAATCAGACAGATCGATGTAGCCATAAGCGTTTGATAGAACTTTCAGTGACATGTGCTAAAATCGTGCTTGCGCAAAGTTTTAGTAAGATCATTTTGCAAAGTCAGCACGTCGTCTTGACATGTTTTCTTTTCGCTGTTTTATTTTTTGTATCTTTGGTGAGACAAAAAACATGGCAATCTTTGGTGAGAGACAATCATGGCAATCTTTGGTGAGACACAATCATGACAATCTTTGTGAGAGACAATCATGGCAATCTTTGGTGAGACACAATCATGACAACCTTTGTGAGAGACAATCATTACAATCTTAGGTGAGAGGCAATCATGACAATATATATTGAATAATGTATATATTGTTTCAGACGGGAATATTGTATATATTGTTATATATACAATATATCCGGGAATATATTGTATATATTGAATATTGTATATATTGTTTCAGACGGGAATATTGTATGCATCTCGTGTCCTGTACAGAACTGCCAGCACAACACAGTGGGCGACCACTGCGAGCTGTGCGGCCGCGGCTACCACGGCGACGCTACTGGCCAGACTCCCAACGACTGCCTGCTCTGCGCCTGCCCTATTCCGGCTCTGTCCAACAAGTGCGTCAAAATTAACGCGCGATATGAAAAAAACTATCTGCATTATATAAATCTATTACCTTGGTCTTATTGAAAGCAACATATTTTCTTGCCTGCTCTGCGCCTGCCCTATTCCGGCTCTCTCCAACAAGTGCGTCAAATTAACGCGCCATATGAATAAACTAAATGGATTGTATAGATCTATTACCTTAGTCTTATTGGAAGCAAAATATTTTTAAGTCAAGTTATCACCTCAACGCGCCGTGCAATATTGATAAGTTATTCATTTAGGGTGTTTAGGATTTCTGTTATGATTCTCTTACTGAAGTCCAGCGATTTTTTAGTCAACAGACTCTCGATCAAAATGAAAAAATCTGTAATATTATTGGAAAGATTAAGGATACCTAACAAATCCCTGAAGTTCAAGCATTCGTGAATCGAATTATTATCGACTATTTTATAACTAGGACAGTAGGTATTTAAGTACTACCAATATTCGGTACCGTTAGTCGTAATGCTAATCATTCGCTAGTACCATAAGTATTCTGAAGTAGGCACAGCTTCAAATGCAGTTATTATCATTGTTGTTTTTTTTATCAATAACATTGTTATCAATAACATTGTTATCAATAACATTGAACCATCCCTTGGTTGCTCTCATTTGTGCGCATATTCTCACATTCAGATTCCCACATTATATACTCGTATCTATGTACTATAAATTATTTCTAGGATTAGTATCGTTGTATATTTTAGATCGATATCATGTATATTTTACTCTCATTTTCCTCTTAGTCTCTATCAACGCTGAACATTTCATCAATAAAAAATTCTAAAAAGGTTTAATATCTATTTTTCTAAACTACCTTATTTGTTTTATTTCTCATGGTTAACCTTTCGAAATTACATTTTGTATAATAATTTTTCATGAAAAGTTCACAATTTATAAAGTTGAGAACATAAACTCTTTATTTTTTTTCGGTGCAGTTTCGCGGACAGTTGCATCGTGGAGGTCGGCCGGCCCCCGACCTGCTCCTGTCAGCCTGGCTACGTCGGCCAGCAGTGCCAGCAGTGCGCGCCAGGACACTACGGCAACCCGCGTGCTATTGGTGACTCTAAATCTTATAATAATTATAATAATAATAATTGTATTAATAATGATAATAATAATAATAATAGCAGTGCGCGCCAGGACACTACGGCAACCCGCGTGCTATTGGTGACTCTAAATCTTATAATAATTATAATAATAATAATTGTATTAATAATGATAATAATAATAATAATAGCAGTGCGCGCCAGGACACTACGGCAACCCGCGTGCTATTGGTGACTCATAATTGTTATGAAAGGCTTAACATGGTTGTTTAATGCTGAAAATTGCTCTGAAATTGAACTGAGCTTTTTCTTCTGAGACAACTGCATCCGATTGAATGATCGCACGTTCAAAATGGCTGAATTACAGATATTTATGCCCTTTAAATTGCTAAAGAATACAATATAATAGAGATGTAAATTCTACCAAATGCGATCAAATTAATAAAGAAAACTATACCACGCAGGAAGTTTCTGCCAAGAGTGTCGCTGTAACGGCAATATCTGAGAACATTCTAATAGCTCTGAAACATAATATAATAACGAGGGACATTATACTAAGTACGATCAAATTAACAAATAAAACTGTACCACGCAGGGAGTTTCTGCCAAGAGTGTCGCTGTAACGGCAACATCTGAGAACATTCTAATTGCTCTGGAACATAATATAATAACGAGGGACATTATACTAAGTGCGATCAAATTAACCAATAAAACTGTACCACGCAGGAAGCTTCTGTCAAGAGTGTCGCTGTAACGGCAACATTGACCCTGAGGACCCGTACGCCTGCGACGACATCACCGGCCGCTGCCTGCGCTGCCTCAACCACACGGCGGGCGACGCTTGCGAGGTGTGCGAGAACAGCTACTACGGCGACGCCATCGGCAGGAAGGACTGCAGACGTGAGTACTGCTTGTATGTTACGGGGTGTGCGAGAACAGCTACTACGGTGACGCCATCGGCAGGAAGGACTGCAGACGTGAGTACCGCTTGTGTCTTAACTCTTGTCAGGCTACTTTATTTGTCAAGGCTATAATTGTTTATTTGTCAAGGTTATAATTGTACTGAGTTTAGGTACAGTCATACCTGTACAGTCGACATGGTCATAAGCACATATAAATTTGTCAAGGTTATAACCGTACCGAGTATAGGTACAGTCATACCTTTGCAGTCCTAGATATAGGTTAAGCAGATATAAATTTTGAGACTAATGAATATTCAAAGTAAAAATTGGTAATGGAACTGTAAGATGAGTTTTTGTGCAATTACATAGTATCAATATCATATAATATTGGCGACATTAAGTTTACTAGGAGTTATTGGGCACTCCAAAGATCGTTAAATAGCACGTGACAATTTTAATGAATCAATATATTCTCACTGGTGTGTAATTCCGATTTTATCGAATCATCCTGTCATCCTTTCGGTGAAATATTAAGGGGTCTTTTTTAATGTCTACTACCAATATATATTTTTTGTTATCGCCTTATGGCGGTCATTTTTTAACATCGCCCGCGCTCATTATGAAATTAAATGCTAATTTTTTTTATAAAATCTCACACCGTTGTGTAGCTGAGTATCCTTACAGCAACGTTAAGTTCATCAACAGAAGAAGATGCCTTCTTTTTACCTCTGTTTTCTGTTTATATTTTGCGTTAAAAGCTCGACGCGGCGAGCGCGTCGCGCTAAGAAGCACTTCTGTTCTATATTTGGTCACCATTTATTTGGTGTGTTACAACCTTATATTGTTGATAAACGCTCGCAGCCGTCACTTAGATCACAGTCGCGTTCTGAACCCAGGCCGGTTCACTTCGTTCTCTTGAAAGTAACTTCAAATGTGTCATATCTCGTTATTTTCGCAAAGTATATTTCGACGCTCAAGGAACAGGTTTTGTTGATTGCATGAGTGTTAACTTCCCGATGTTGTTTTTGAAAAATCGTTCTCGAGTGCTAGACGATGTGTTAGTTAAGTGAAACTACGATAGCTTTCCCGTCTTAACCAACGAAAGACCTCAGGTACTTTCTTGACAATCATTGAATTGTATCAAATTTTTGTTCAATTTGTGATCAAGACTAAAGCGTACGTAACGCCGATTACAGCTTTGCCTTTTTACAAAACGGGAAATGAGATCGAGTGTTCCCACCAATAACCCAATGGGGAAAATGAGGGTTGGTTTGATATTTTCAACGTTTGTCTTTTTCTTTCATAAATGCTGGGCATTGGAAAATGATCAGCAATTTGGCATTGCGTCCCAACAAATCTCATCGAATAAAGCTCCACCAAAATTTTATTTTAAAGAAGACTCAAGTGAGAAAAACGATCTCGGAAATGTTGTGAAATCATTCTCGTCGTATGCATCTCAGGAAAACATTGGAACCACCAAAGATGATTTGCCCGGCAATGAAAAAATTGCAGCTGAGGAAGCGCTGCCAAGCATTGGAGAAAAACAGAATCCACTTTCATCACATGAAAAATTGGAGGCCAACGCAGGTCATCTATCGCTGAATGATTTTCAAACAGATGCTGAGGATTATCTTATCAACAATACCATTCTAATGGAGCAGCAAAGTATAAAGAACGGGCTGGAAGAAGATCTATATTCTATGACCACAGACAAAGAAAATGCCACTTTAGAAGTTTCAGTCTTCGACGTATTTGATTTAAATTTGAATATATCCAACTTCAGCGATGAGGAATTGATCACTGAAATGTTTTCTTCGGCTGATCGTAAATCACGTCTACCTGATGATAAAATTAGGAATAATTCTGCAAACGAGAGTTTCATCAATTTTTCAAATGTTTCGCTTTTTTTGAATGAGGAGGAGAACTCCATTTCCACAAATGGATTTGCAGACTCGAAGAAACGCCACGCCGGAATACCCGATAGACAGACGAAGAAAAATAATTCGTCTCATGAGGTTCCCATAGATATTAATAACCCGAGAACATCGAAAGCCGGTGATGTATCGCCTACATTCTTACCCCATTATTTACAAAACCTCGCTCATCTTTCTTCCATGCAACGAACAAAGTCTGATTCTCAATTTCAGAACAGAAGAACGCCTTTGAAAGAACAATTTACATTTCCCGAAAATGATGGGAATAATTATTTGGGAAGAATAAATCACTCATCGAGAATTAAAGGCATTGGATCTTACGGTCATCTCATTCATTTGTCCAATGTCAGCGTCCAAATTAGTCCACTTGGATCTTCCAATACAAGAAGACAATCGTTAAGTCTCATGATTTATGGAACATTTGATGCCGATGCTTCGGTCATACCGAAGATGGAGATACCGAAACCTCGTCTCGCAAACACTAATGCTCTGAAGGATCACATCGTCAGGGGATTCGGAGACGAATATTTGTACCAGTCTGAGTACGGAATTGGTAAGAGAAGTGTTAATTATGTGATGAATACATTCCCACCCATCCCTAGACACCGACTGATTTCTAAACAAATCCCCCGCCACATTTATAAAAAAAACATTTATTTTTCAAAAATTATTTTGCAACCTCCGAAGTATCTTAACTTAAAATCCTTCCAGCAGTGAGTCACACTCCTTTTTCCAAGCGCAACCTATTCATGCTATTTGTAGTCTGCTTTGTTATGCATATTTTACGGTAAGCATAGCTGTATTTAGCGATTGAAAATATCTTGTTTTTATTTGTAATTCCATACTTATCATCGTGAAAAGAGATCCTTTTCAGTTATGCATCACTTCAGTTTAAACGCGTTTCCTTTCGCGATGCAACAAATTTCTGTCAAAAAACAAATTTCTTGCGAATTTTTCTGATGCATTCTCTACTAATTCACAAAAATTATCCTCGATCGAGGTGAATTGGTTTATTTTTTCAAGAGTCAAGAAAATTTTTAAGTTTATTTCTCATCTGTTCCTACATGCCCAGAGGTCGTGACTACCGCAACTGCTTCAACGCTTATTTTTATCGTGCTAACGTGTGGACAACCCTGAACAGCAACTCACGAATACTGACTGACCAAACACCATAAATTTTCACGGAAGCGAGCGAGTATCGTTTAAGATAACCCGCAAATAATAATAATACACCTTAAATATTAACGGCAGCGCGCCAGGACCATATTGGAACTCACCAATACTAAAAACCTTAAATGTTCGCGGCAGTGCTCGAGTGGCATGACGACAACTCTCGAATACGCACTAAACACCATTGATATTTACGGCAGCGAGCGAGTACCCTGTACGACAACATCAGAACAATGTTCACACAATTGATGTATACGGCAGCGCGCGAGCAGCATGTACTACAACACCAAAATAATGTTCACAAACCATTGATGCTTAAGGTGCGAATAGTTGCGTCTATTAGTTGAGTCGACTACAGTTTTGCAGGCTGAGAGCCTATACGCGAGGAGAGGGTCTTCAGTACAGTGCGAGTGAGTGCGTCAGCGCCAGTGCGACGTTGGGACTTGTCGAGTAAGGGTGTGCATGGTGAAGGCAAGCGAGAGCTCCAAAGCTGTACGCGCTACAGCTGGGCAAGTGAGAGCGCAACGCAGCTATGTACAATCCGAAAGCCGAGAAGCTACTGAGCACACTCGGCTGCTTTAAAACAGCTTCGGTTGCTCTGCGTGCAATGCACCAGCTAGTTGCCTCTGAACACGTCAATCATCACAAATTTTAGTTGCGTCGACTAGTCGACGCAACTATTCGCCTCGTGTATAAGCACTGCACCTCTACGGCAGCGCGCGAGTAGCATGTACAACACCAGAACAATGTTCACACACCATTGATGTTTACGGCAGCGTGCGAGTAGCATGTACGACAACACCAGAACAATGTTCACACACCATTAATATTTACGGCAGCGAGCGAGTAGTATGTAAGAGAACACCAGAATAATGTTCACACACCATTGATGATTACGGCAGCGTGCGAGTAGCATTTACGACAACACCAGAATAATGTTCACACACCGTTGATATTTACAGCAGCGTGTGAGTAGCAAGTACGACAACACCAGAATGGGATGCATGCCGGAGGCCAGCATAGCCCAAGACCAGCATATCTTTCATCCTCCTTTCCGTGCGTAAGCCTGCTAAAGGGCAGAGTAGACTAAGGGATTATATGTTATAAGCCAAAGGTACAAATCCCCTTCATGGAAATTAACCAGCGAGCTAATGAGAAGTAAGCCACCAATACAATCGCTCTACGCCGTATTGAAAACCGTCCAACAGCTCTATCCCATGCCGTCTAACCTCCTCACGATTTTCGGTAAGCAACTCCCTACGCCATACCGCTGTTGATAAACAGTCGGCACTCCAGCCCGTCCGTTCGTCGCAGCTGTTTTCCCCCGCCATTACTCTACCTCCACGCATACCCCGTCTCCCCGCCTTTTTTCACTGACTGCCAGACCGCTTTTCTTAGTTTCTGCTCACTTGACTGCATTACGCTATGAAAAGAGGATCTATAGGAGTTGTAAACTAACCTAACCTAACTTAACCTAACCTAATTCGGATAAGCATCAAAGATCTGCGAGAAAAGCCTCCAGTTAGTCATGCGATAATGGTGGAGAGTCGGAGTAAGTGTGGGGGGAAGAAGATGCTGGGGGATAGTAAGGCAGGGAAACAGTGACGCAGGGTTAACGTATTGCGGAGTAAGTAAGGTGATGACGCATTACCGTTTGGTACAGTTCACATTTGCGGCAATGCAGTGTGGTCAGCGGACACTTGGGATAACAGCATGTGTAAGAAGTGATGGTATGGGTTATAAAGCATTGGAGAACAACGTATTGACCGTTAACTATGTGGAGTAGCATCTTGTGTGCTGAAGCAGTGTTGGTTTAAAGTTCGTGTGGTGAGATAGGTCAATTGACTACAGCTGCTTAGGTGCCAGGATGACAATATCTATAGCATTTAGATGGTTGATATTGGTTCCAGGGCTGATTTGAGCGTTAATTTGCTGGTCTACGGCTGCGCACCCACCAGAATGATGTTCACAACGTTTATGTTTACGGCAGCGAGCGAGTAGCATGTACGACAACACCAGGATACTAACCAAATACCATTGATCCTACGGCAGCGTGTGAGTGCAACCTGTGCGGGACGCGGACGTGCGACCATCGCACGGGCGTGTGCGGTTGCCACGGCAACGTGGTGGGCGAGCAGTGCGACGAGTGCGCCCCTGACCACTGGGGCCTCGACTCCTGCCAGGTCTGCTGAGTGAACAATAAAACCTATTTAATTTTTGTTGAAGAAAAGTTCTTTAAATCTTCAGTAAAGTAAAGTGATGGAGAAATCATTGTAGCTTTTTACCTGCATGTTTTCTTTTGGGTCAGTTAAAAACTCAAGATCATCAAAGAATCTTTGTAAAAAGCAAGACTAGAGTGTCTGTACAAAACTTATTTACTTCGCGAAACTACTCTTAGCACAATTGAAATGTTTTAAGAATATATAACACTGTTCTTTTCATTCGATGCCTGATAAAACTCAACTTCTGGAATCTAAGTTCTCTTGTTATTATCTTCATCCTTGTTAAATTAGTATTGCTCAATTGTCAGGGTTGTCAGCCATGTCAGTGCGGGGTGGCTGCTGTCAGCAGTCAGTGCGACCTGCTGACAGGAGACTGTCTGTGTCAGCCAGGAGCGTCAGGACGTTACTGTGACCGCTGTCAGCCAGGATTCTGGAATTTAACTCCACGAGGCTGCCAAGGTAAACAATTATTCGAAGCTTGACACAACCTTTGCTAAAATATAACGTCACAGAAAGTTTTTTTGTGCAAAAGTAAAGAATTTTGGCTGCTTCTGTAATTCTTTTCTAATGTAGAAAAAAGTGACGAAGCCGGCGCATACAATGCTTCTGATAATCTCATAGTTCTGAAAACTTTTTTTACCTGTTGACCATACATATGCTATATACAATGCTATATTTCCAAATTGAAAAATTTATCATATATATTTAACTTCGATTATTTTAAATATAATAGAAATTCGAAATACTTGAGATGCTGTCAACTAACGTGATTATTATACGCTATATAATATATAATACGTTACATGTTACATTATATGTTATATTTTATATCATAAGTTATATGTTATATTATACGTTATTTGTTATATTATGCGCTATATATAATGTTATACGTTATATGTTATATAATACGTTATATGTTATATCATACCTTATATGTTACATGATACGTTATATGTTATATAATACGTTATATGTTATACAGGGTGTTTCAGAATTAAGTAACCCTTTTAATTTGTTAATAAATAAAAAACTAAGAATGTTATGAAGTTGAAACTTGTTTTATTTAAAAGAAGAACATTTTCATGGTAATATTGCATCATAGTTACGTCATTATCCTGTATAGCTTGCTAAATTTGTGTTTAATTATCAAGCCTTAAATTTTCATCATGTTGTACTATGCACTGTACTCTGTACTATGCGTGTACTGTACTATGTACTATGCACTGTACTCTGTACTATGCGTGTACTGTACAATGTACTATTCATATGCTCTCAGATCTTCAAATGAGTCAATATCGGCAAAAATTAAAGCGCAATAATGAAAGACATTATGCAAGATAACGTCCTACAGATTTACTAAAGATTACAAACTTCTTCAGAATGTAATCAGGTTAAAATCGAAAAAAAATTGACTTTCTTGGTGTCACAGTTCTGCCACTGTTTTAAATCATTGGATTCATACCTGGAGATAAATATTTCATATTTACACATGCGTTTTCAGTGGAAAAAGGATGGTTTTTGATTCAGCTCCTTGCTCATAGTGCACCGACGTTAAAAACACCCTGGCGAAGCACGCAGTAAAATACGTGGCAGATATAATTCATGTTGGACGAATAAACATCATCTGTGATGTCGGTGGACATAACATCATATGTGATGTTAGTGAACAAAACTTCATCTGTGATGACGGTGAACAAAACAAGCGATGTCGGTGGACAAAACATGTGATGTAGGTGGATAAACCAAGCGATGTCAGTGGACAAAACATGTGATGTAGGTGGATAAACCAAGCGATGTCGGTGGACAAAACATGTGATGTCGGTGGACAAAACATGCGATGTTGGTGAACAATGCACCATGTATCACCCTGACGCTGATGTAGCAGTAACCCTGCAGTAACCCCGTCCCGTGCTGCAGGTGGGTGCTGGTGGATGGCGTGGGGTGCCGTGAGTGTCCCTACTGCATCCACACGCTGCTGGACACCGCCGGCGAGCTCGAGGCCATGATCATGCCAACCATCAACGAGTTCGAGGTCAGCTCCTGTCTCAGGTAGTTTTACTATCAAAAATAAGTACCTATGTCGATTCGTCATTAAAAACATAAGTTTGAGGTAAGAATTAATTTTTAGAAGCTGCCGGATGATTGGTTTTGGATGGACTTTTATTTTGATTTCCTTCTACTCATTGTTGAAATTTCATTTGACTCATTTCAAAAGCAAATAAAAAATAATTGTTAGTAAAAAGCATGCTCTGGTCTTCAATCAAACTTGCATGTATGAAGCATATGCATATATATATATATGCATATGCTCAATCAAATTTGCATATATGACTGTAGAATTTCATTTTGTGCGTTTCATAACATAAGAAAAGGCAGTCAACCGGCATGAAAAACCCGCACGAAACACTTTCAATCCATCTCAAATTTCAGTTCACGTCATTGTAAACAATTTACACGAACGAAGTATTTCTTCGCTTAATGTTATTCATCGCTTTCGACCATATTAATGTGTTCACATTGCACTCAGAGCGCGGCGCACAGCTTCTTCCTGAACCAACGTCTGAACGTCATCAACGAGAGCGCCATCGAGCTGCGGCCTCTGGTTGATGACATCAACTTATCCTCCGACGACATTAAACCTGTCGCCGACGCTATAGACGGGCTTGGGGCCCAGGCTCTCGTTAATAATGTAACGTATATTTAGTACAAAACTTATCCTCTGACGACATACAACCTGTCGCCGACGCTATAGACGGGCTTGGTGCCCAGGCTCTCGTTAATAATGTAACGTATTTTTAGTACATGAACCATAACTAGTCTCGTAGTGCTTGAGGTCATATAGTATAAATGGCGACAATAAGTGTACTCGTTCAAGAGGCCGTTCGCCTCGATACGATTGTGTTCGACTTACCATTCATTCTATGGAGCTTATTTAATCAGATTTGTGAACAGTGTTTGCTTTGATTGACTTCACTTTACTCTTAATTTAGCTCGATGCAAGTTTTTGTATATGTATTTACTTATTGATTGAGTGTATAGTTTAATGTATATTATACTTGTATTTGAAGGTGAAACTGGCTCTGGAAAACGCCAAGAAGAGTGTGGATGAAGGGGGAATGCTGAAGGCAGAGGCCCAGAAAGTGCACGATCTTGTCAAAAACGCGCACGTTTTGGGGCAAAATGTCGTCGCTGAAATCAATGCCCTCGTTATCGGACTGGAGATTGGCACTGGTGCGTATGGAGACGACGTCTTGAATAGTGAAAACAGACGTGAAGATAAGACATATACGGTTATGAGTTGGGATGATGCTAAACTTGAATAGTGAGAACAGACGTGAAGATAAGACATACGGTTATGAGTTAGGATGATGCTAAACTTTTAGGTTGATGCTAAACTTTTCCATGATATCAAAATTCACAAGATTGGTAGGATAACGTGCAGAAACTAATTGTAAGTGAGCAAATCGGCCTGCTTCATAGAGGTAAAATATTGAAGGGAATTTGCGCTTGGTCAAGTATTATTATTCTTAATAATATATAATTATAATGATGTTAATAATGAAGCTTAATTGAAGCAATATTAATGAAGCTTAATTGAAGAGAAAACGATGGAAAATGTATTTTGCATGCACTAATTACCAATCAATATAATGCACGACGTTAGATGTATAGTGTGGGAAGACATCATTGTAAGCGAGAGAAGAGGACGTATCTACGACAGGCAAAAAAAAGCAGAAAGAAATAACGGCATTTTAGTTGAACAGTAAATTCAAACTAAGCAGAACGCCCGAATTCGTTATAGCAAATATTCTCATTAAGATAGAGTTCCTCTTTTTAGCGCATTTTCTCATTTATGGCAAAAATGCACTATTGTTCTCGCTATGTCGTCCGTCCGTCCGTCCGTGACCTCTAGTTTTCGTCGACGAGAAAATGCGCGCTCTGTCACTTACTGCAGTGAGTACTGAGTTATATTTTTTTAGTATCCATCAATGTATACACTCTGATTATGTGCTCCAGGGGCTCAGTTGGAGCAAGCGCTACGCGAAGGCCAGTTGATCGTAACGCAGATCGAGAGCATCAACCTGGAGCATCCGCTGGACGTGGCTGACGAGGAACGCCAGATGTCCCTGGAGGAGCTCGCCAACGTTACTCTGCTGTCCCAACCAATAGTGGTGCGCTGTTTAACATATATACTATAATTGGCAGGGTAAGAAGAAGATAATAGATCATTTTTCCGGCATGTGCTTTTACGAACGTCTTAAAAGATTATTTCAAACAGGACATCGTTTGATATTATTTCCAACAGCTATTTTCTACGGTTCTCTATTTCTACGGTTTCATTATTCTACCTGATTCCCTCATATCTCTGCATTTCCTTTCTTACAACGGCATCAAAATTTTTATTCGTGCAACAATTTTCATTTAGCGGAGAGGTAACATTTTTAATGTTTGATGAACCCCCATTTAGCGGAGAAGTAACAGGGCAGGGTGGCCCAGCGGTTACAGTTCAGAGTACCAAGATTGGCGCAGAGAGGCGCGGGTTCGATCCCAGCTCTATACGCCAGTTTCTGGTCAGAATCGGCGAGGAGGCCGGGCGGTTAAGCACAGCAGAATTGTAGCAGTGAGTTGCGAGTTCGAGACCGCAACAAGCTGTGGATGTTCTGCGATGTTAAGAATCGGCGACAGGCCTACGGCCTACTAAACGCTGAAACCGCTGTTTATTATTATTTTCCATATCATCGCAATTTTACATAGTATTATTATTTTCAAATTTCCTAATAAACCATAATTCCTTTACATTTGAAAGGATCCCAGATCCAGTTTGACTCCGTTTTTGCTTTCTCAAGTGTAAATTTGTTTGCAGGATTTGCAGGACTTGGTGAAAGCGAAGGCCGAGCTGCTGCAGGACCTGACGGACCGCGTGAGCGACATAGAGGACCACATCGCCTCATCTCACGAGAGGACGGAGGCTGCGGGCACCATGAACACCAACAACAGGGAGTATGGGTTAGTCTGGCGGCCAGTTGTGGGCTGGCAGTTTACGGGTGAACCCTTGACCATTTAATGACGAGCTTTTTGGTCATTTAATGATTTTTGTGTTGGTCATATAGTAAAATGCCATTTGCCGTTTACTGAAGAGTTTTTTCGACAAATATGGTTGAACCTCATTTCATTTACGGGTGAGTTTTCTGACCAGCTACAGCCGCGTCGTAGGGCCAGTGACTAACTAGTATGTTGGCTATTTGCTCATTTCTGATTGTTCTATTGACCATTTAGCTTACTTTGTATCAACCATTCCCAAGCTGGCCTTGGTACCGTTTACCACTAAGCCTTTTCTTAATTGCGCGTGCTGTACGAAGATGTCAGACAAAGGTCTGAATTATGGCGGGATATACGAATTTGAAAAAATATCGTGTCTGAATTAGAGGGAGATTTGAGTGACATGAAATCTCAAAAACGATTCTCTACCCGATTTGTAACATATATATATATAATTAAATATGGTAATTATATTTCTACTCAATTTTTCTCGCAACTACTAATGAGCGGACGTCTAATAGCCTAGCGTCACTGAACACGAAGCTCGGGCAGACGAAGGGCACCGACAAAGAGGTCAAGAAAGCAGTGGAAGAGGGACAAAGTCTCGTCGACGAAGCCGAAGAAAATCTTAAAAACATTACAAGAACCTTCAGAGATTTCAGTAAGTTTCTGCCAAAATTCACACAAGGACAATTTCAATTATCTGAATTTTATTTTTTATTTCGTGGAATTCTCGTGTTCATTTATATCACTTGACCTTCGCCATATAGTACGAGCTCAATATCAATGTTTATTTTGGCCGTGAAATGAAGTTGTAGTCCGGTGCGTAACTCGGATGATTTAATCATGTTGCTTACATGGATTTTGCTTAATTACTGGAGTCATATTCATAAATATTCTCTTCCTGGAGAGAAGACATGATTGTTGACGAATATTTTATACCCACGAGTAAATTTAGACGAAAATAAACTCTAATTCTTACTGCGCGATAACATTAATTAGGAAGGATTTCAATTTCTTTGTCATCACAGATCTTAGTAACGCTGCTCTATGACTTTCAGTCTGATGATTATGGCAACAAAATCCTCTCCCAAATCGTATACTGAGTAAGAGATAAATGCGATAGTTTCTATTCAGAGATGTGATAATGATATCTGAATTACTCTGAGCTGAATACGCTCGAAAGAGAGCGCTCATCAAATTTGAAGTTCTTGCATATGCATGCGCTAGAATAAGACGTTTATTGAAATCTGAATTATGTAAAGCTTAATTTTCTAGAGTAAGACCGTTCAAAAAAATCTGAAATTTCTGCACATTCATACGCTAGAATAGGACCGGTCATGAGATCTGAAATAACTTGAGCTGAATACACCCTAATAAGCTAAATACACCCTTATAATTTAAGCTAAATACACCCTAATAAGACCGGTCATGAGACATAAAATAATTTAAGCTGAATACACTCGAATAAAACCGGTTATGAGATATGAAATAACTCGAGCTGAATACACCCTAATAAGCTAAATACACCCTTATAATTTAAGCTGAATACACCCTAATAAGACCGATCATGAGACATAATTTAAGCTGAGTACACTCGTTTAAGACTTCAAGAGATATGAAATAATTTATTCTGAATACACCCTAATAAGACGGCGCCGTTGCAGATGCAGAACTTGGCGAGACGCGCACGCAGAAGACCCTCCTGCAGGCGGCCGTGCAGACGCTGGCCAGCCAACTCGAGGACAGCGAGTTCCCTGCGCAGGTCGCCGCCGAGCACACCACGCAACTCCTGCAGCGAGTCAGTCTAAAGGAACAAATGAATGTGTTATATTGTCCTAATAGATATATAGGCTATAGGTTAACCCTGTCCTACTAGTTACACGCCTTCCTCTTCACTGTATGAAATAAGAGTGGTTATGGAGCAGTGGTTCTTCACAGTGGAGGTTCTTCACAGTTGTTCTTCTTCACTGCTTTAGACAGTCTAAACTCTGAAGAAACAAATGAATGTGGCACATTGTCCTAATAGATATATAGGTTATAGGTTACCCTTGTCTTCATCGTAACACGCTTTCCTCTTCCCACTATGAAAAAAGTGCGGAAATAAGAATGATGTGCCCTGTTGCCGGGCCGAACTGTGTCGGGATGACATACAAAGGGCAACAAGTGCATCGCTGTTTGGATGAAGTCTTAGTCATGTTTCCATTAATCAGAGACATAATCGATCCTAACTGGAATTTATATGACGCACAATCACAAGTTGCAATTTATGAGATGCAATTGCGATGATCTAGTCCAGGCAATAGCATGTAACAAATGCGTATGGATGATGAACTATTGAGTCTAACTAGTCATGCTTCGCTTACAGATCCGTCATCGGCACAACAAGCCTCTCTGTGCATATAAATCTTGCATTTAAAATGAATAATTTGTGCACCTCTAAACATTTCTTTGTATTCACCTTGTATACTTGCATAATAATGACGAAATAGCAATCATTGTGAGTGTTAATTCCATCACCTCATAATTTTTATGTTGCAGTTCTAAAGGAAAAATGTTATTTAGTGTTAATATTGCTTACCAGTTCCAGTGTATAATTTTTTTAATTATTATAAATACTTCGTTTTCTTCTGATAGCTGTATAGCTGCCATAAATACTTCTTATTTAATCTCCTCGAAACTAGAATGTGTATATAAAACTTTTCGAATTTATTTCAAACCAAATTTACCAAGTTGGTTTTATTCGCCAGGCTGACCAATTGGACGACCTGCTCTCGGACACACGGCAAGTGTCACAGAACGCTCTGGAGGCTGCGAACGCCTACCTCAACATCGTGAACGCCATCGGCGACGCCCGCAGAGTGGCAGAGCAAGCTGAGAACGCCAGCACCACTGTAAGAACGTCGGCCTTCCTCTAGCCTGTCTATATTATATGAACGCCAGCACCACTGTAAGAACGTCGTCGTACATCGTCGTGCGTTTAGCCTGTATCTATATACGAGCTCTTAACTTTTAGCGTTCCGATTACATATCGCCTTATGCCGTCATTATGGCCAAAAGGACATTTTTAGCCATAATAAGGGCCTTTTGGCTTTTTTTGGCTTTTTTAGGCCTTTTTTTTGGCTTTTTAGCGCATTTTCTCATTGTAAAAAAGGCGCTACTGTGCTCGTCATGTCCGTCCGTCTGTCCGTGACCACGTTTTCGTCGACGAGAAAATACGCTCTCTGTCACTCACTGCAGGGAGTACTGAGTTATATTTTTCATTCGTCCTTGCGGGTAATATGCCCTGCACTAGCTTTTTCTAACCGCGAGTTGGATTTCATAGATTGAAACAATTATCTATTTGCAGGCAGTTGAACTGTCGAACGGTGTGCGGGATAATGCCCTTGAAACTTTCAACAAATCTGAAACAATCAAGCAAGAAGCTGAGATGCAAGTTAATCAAGTGGAGGCTGAGCTCAAACCTCAGCTTCAAGAGTCCATAGAACTCGTGCAGGAAGTCAAAGACGTGAACCAACACGTCAGCGACGCGCTCGATGACATCAATAGGTGAGCACCGCTAGGAGCCAACCATGCACAACCTAAATATTGTTCCTATTTAAAAAATTTCTGTAGATTTGCTAACATCTCAATTGCATTGCAGAAATATTTTAGTGATGTTTAGAATAGAATAGAAGTATCGGCACTGAAGAAGTACGCCCATGGCCTATTTCTTCCGGCCTTTGGGAATTTCTATTTCTTTCTTTCCGGCATATTTCTATATATTTCTATTTCTTTCCGGCCTATTTCTTCTCCAAAGGGATCCGGCCTTTGGAACCCGATCTTTCCATAACTGACGCTTGATTGAGATAGCTGCTGGACTTATTGCCTGGTCCGTAATTTGCTAGGCATTTTAAGACTGAACCATGTACGTGTATTTTATTTTTTGAACCATGTATGTATTTTAATCCAACCAAAAAATTTCTGTAGATTTCCTAGCATCACAATTGCCTTGTAGAAATGTTTTAGTGATGTTTAATTATTATTACTTTTTTGTACTTTTACACGCAATTTTTAATTTTAATATTCACGATAGTAAGGTGACTTTTGGCGTTTATCAGTTCTAATTGCTTTCAGAAATGTTTCCTTACTGAGATATATTTTCGTTTTTAGCCATTGTTTGACACCATAATCGCTTAGCGAGTCTACTGCGTTTCAATGTTATTTTGAGTTTTTTATCGCATTTGTCATTTATGGAATATTGACAATATTGTGCTCGCCATGTCCGTCTGTCTGTCCGTCCGTGACTTCACGTTTTCGTCGACGAGAAAATGCGCTCTCTGTCACTCACTGCAGTGAGTACTGAGTTATATTTTTTATTTATAGACGTTAATAATTTTCTCCGATGAAAATTTACCTCAATTACCCTTCACTTCAGAGGCCTGCAGCAGCTTTATAGACGTTAATATTTTTCCCCGCTGAAAGTTTACCTCAATTACCCTTCACTTCAGAGGCCTGCAGCAGCTGGAGACTGAGAGCGATCAGTTGAACACCGTGACGGAGACTCGCAAGGCAGAGGAGGCTCGTCTCAAGAGCGACCAGGCGCTCGCCACCATCGTCCAGATCACCAACAGACAACAAGACGACGCCGCGGTCGCTAGGAAGGCCTTCAATGATGGTTCTGAAGCCAAGAAATCCATGGATTTTGGTCACATCGAAGGTAACTACGATTTATTTCATGGAAACTAAAAATTACATGTTTATTATTCTTTGTTAATTCTGCAGCAAATAATTATTATTTGTAGTCGAGATTTGTGCAAGAAATTTTTCCTGCATTCTAACTTTGAATAATTATTTTCATGACATTACGAACTTTAAAGTTAATTTGTTTATTTCAAAATTTACTTTGATAGGTACCTGATTGATTGAGAATTTATTAGAAATTGAAATATTAAAATTACGAGACGTTACTCTCATTCAATTGCGTCTCATTTCTTCTTTGGTTCAAATTTTATTCTTAACATGGTTCCATGCGTAGTATCTGTATTTCACAATTGAAATGGTATTAGTGATTAAAAAAATATTTTCCCAATGGACAAACAATTGTGACAAAAATTTTGTACTTCATTCACTATGAACCTATTTTCTACGGTCGAATTCTTTTTCGAGAACAGCATCAAAATTCCTATGATCCTTTCATCTACGTTAATTTCTCCCTATGCTTTTCCTTCCCGATATTAAAAAGATTGAGAAGAACGTTGTCAACCTTCTACAATAAAATTGTAGTATTTCTCTCGATCCCAGTGAACCTTTCTGCAATGATACGGTGTGTTAGTCAATTTTAACCCTGTTGCCTTGTTCCTAGTGGACCGCCTCAAGGAAGACTCGTGGCATGTTGCCTTGGCAAATTTCTTCCTTGTTCCTAGTGGACCGCCTCACAGAAAACTGTCATGCCACGTTGCCTTAGCCAATTTCTTCCTTGTTCCCAGTGGACCGCCTCAAGTACAACTGTCATGACACGTTGCCTTAGCCAATTTCTTCCTTGTTCCCAGTGGACCGCCTCGAGAAGGACATTCCCCGCATCAAAGACCTCGCTGCCGAGCTGACTGAGACGAGCGCTACAGTGCGGCAGCGATCGCTTGACCTCAGCGACAGACTGGCGCGCCTCAGGACCAACATCGAGAAGACGCGCGAACTGACCAACAAAGTCCGCGTGGGAGTCGATTTCCAGGACGACACGACCGTTGAAGTTTTCCCGCCTGGAGACCCAAGCGAATCTTCAACTTCCACAAAGGTTTTCAATTATGTTTCGCATGTCATAAATGCTACAGATGTTTTCTCGCAATCGAATTGAATCCTTCGTATTTGTTCAAAAACTCAGTTTGCACACGAATATATTATTGCACTACAAAAGGGGTGAGCGACAATTACGAGATCCGTGTTAAAGTCTGCCTTGAAGTTTGCGAAATACGCATAAGTCAAGTATATGAAATTAAGCGAAATGCAACAATAGTGGCTTCCACTGACACTTAGTGACACTTAGACTTAGGCTTATGATAATATAACATTTTCTTTTGAACTTCACTGAAAATGCTAAAAAAAACTACTGCATGATTGTTTGTCTGTGCAGTTTTCTTTGTACACGCGGACGGAGCAGCCTACAGGGCTTTTGCTCTTCATGGGCACTCCTGTGGGAGGCCACAAGCTCATGCGTCGCACCAAGACCGACGACTTCATGGCACTTGAGGTGGTGAACGGCTTCGCCAGACTCACGATGGACCTTGGTTCTGGCGCCGAGTCCATCGAAAACAGCGAGGTCTACATCGCAGACGGCGTCTGGAGGAAAATTTCCGTGGAGAGGCGAGTTCCCTCGACTTTTTCAAGTAGTACCAATAGAGATACGGTAAGTGAATAATGAATAAATAATATGAATGAATAATACGGTGAATAGAGATACGGGGAATACATGTATTATCTGTAATGAATACTTTTGTTTGGGTTAATATATAATTTTTCACTAGTCAACTCTAACTCTAAACTCGCACGTCCGTATGCTTAAATGGTTCTTGTTTATGACAATTGTAAGTCATGCCTTGCGACCAGACTCTAATTAAATATTTATTCGTGAATAATTTATGTCTACCGTAGTCTCACAAGCGTTGACTAACCATGCAGGACGGGGATGGTGGTGAGCCTGAACGAAGTCTTACAATCGTCTACTGTAGTCTTAGTAGTCTTACAATGTCTACTGCAGTCTTACAAGCGTTGACTAACCATGCAGGACGGGGATGGTGGTGAGCCTGAACGTGCACTACGAAGACAACGCCGGCGACGAGAGGGTCGCGACCGTCACGCGCGTCATGCCCGGCAGGTCCTCAGTCCTCAACCTCAGCCCTAAGGTGAGCTGCTGGTTAGGTTCACGCTAACGGACATGCGATTAAACGAATTGTTTACCTTTTCTTCAACAGCTGGTTTTTAGTAACCATGATATTGATAACGGTAACCATAACCATTTCAAGATATGAAGAGCACTGATGAAAATGTTAAAATTACCGAATTTAAACATTGCCATCAAATTGATCCAAGAATGAAAATGTTAACGGGATGTTCAATCAACTACATAAAAATTAATTTAACCATTCTAAAACAAATTGAGGTAATAGTGAGGCAAAAACTATCTTCAGACTTGAAATGCCTAGCACCGTATAGAACCCGGTTGAAGTCTAGTAGCTATTTCAAGTTATCGTCAGTTTGTAGAACGTCCGGTCAGAGGGCCTGTTTTTAGATCTCCTGTTGACAAGTCAAGAAAAGTGCAAGAATCGGCGACTGGCCACATGAGGCCTCTTCTTCAGCGCCGACATCACTATGTTATGATTTGAAACAAAGTACACATGCTGTGCAATTTATGACAATGTGGTGGACAACCGATACAGGCTTTCTGCTGCTCCGTGATGGTTGCCAGTGTTGCAGCTGGGCGCCACAACTTGGCATCGGCAGACAAATGAGTTAAGGTGCTTGACACGGGGATAGTATTAGCGGCTAGTAGATCAGAAAATTGCCAAATGTCTGCCGCTTGGTGTCTAAGCTTCCTTGCGGGATAGACACCAAGCGGCAGACATTTGGCAATTTTCTGATCTACTAGCCGCAAGTACTATACCCGTGTACAAGCACCTATAGGCTTGAGTGCATGAATCACATTATGCTCAGTGCTAAAATACGGTCTCCGTGTGCAGGTTTCACGGGTGTTTGTCGGCGGCATACCAGAAGGTATTGAGGTGGCCAATTCGATCAGATCCACGTCGTACCGCGGACAGGTCGAGGAGCTCAAGATCAACGACCACACCATCGGCCTCTGGAACTTCAGAAACAACGGCACCAACAACGTTCACGGTCACGGCGCCCCTGAGAGGTACCTGCTAAAATAACCTAATTACCTATACAAACTTATCTTAAAATATTTTGTAATGTATCAAATTCATTACATTGAGATCAATAATCTACAACTTTGATTCTTCTCATTAGTTAAACCTCTTTTCGAAGATACGAAACTTATCGGTAGCTTTGGTGTTTATTTTTCTCATCTTTATGTTTATTTTCTCTTGTTATGACCATTCATGGAAATTATTCCATGTACTAATTTCAAGACTTTAAGGCTGCCAGCATTTTATTGTTTAGTAATTATCGCTAACAGGTAATTATTCTATTGACTCGTTGAAATATCTAATGACATTTTGTCAAGGATTGTGTTCGAAAATGGTCGGTTCACAAACGTTTATTTTAGTAAATCATTTGTTCAGACATGATTATACTCATCATTCGTCTGTTTGAAAATTATTCTATTGAGGAATTGTTTATTTATGAATCATTAGGCTCAACAATCATCTGTTCCTATATAATTCTGTTCATGAGTCGTCTGCAATTAATTAATATGCGCATGGAATCGTCTGGACATAAATTATTATGTTGAGGGAATTTCTTGGAAAAAATTGTTGTTTAAAATTATTATACTCAATCATGAAATGCCTAGCACCTTACGGATCAGGCAGTAAGTCCAGTAGCTATCTCAATCAATCATCAGTTATAGAAAGATCGGGTTCCAAAGGCCGGATCCCTTTTGTACAATGAATCCGGCCTTTGTACAATGAAAAGTACATGAATCGGCAACAGGCCATGGGCCTATTTCTTCAGCGTCGACACTTGTATTCTATTCTATGTTCAGGAAAAATTATTCTGTACAGGAATCGTCTGGTTGACCTGGTGCCGCCGACGGGCTTACGCTTCAGCGGCTCAGGCTACGCCGCCATTCACACAAGGGATGAGAACGCCTTCCACTTCGCCGACAAGTTCGACATCAGCCTCAAGTTCAAGAGCTTCTCCGACGACGGCTTGCTCTTCGTGTTACGCGAGAGTCCGGTCAGATGTTAGAGCGGGACATCGTTAACTTGTTAATGTCTTGAAGGACAAGGCACGAATAGTATTGCAATTTTAATCAACACTCATAACTTAGTTTGCACGATCATTACTGCAGTAATTACCACTCGTAACTGAACGGACACGACCATTTCTGCAGTAATTAACCCCCGTAACTGAATGTACTCTCCTCTCGCCAGTCTGAGTTCCTGGCGGTGTCGCTGGTGAAGGGCTACGTGCGCTTGCAGCTGAACCTGGGCACGGGGATGGCGCAGCTCAACTCGCGCGTGCGCTACAACGACGGCGTCTGGCACAGGGTCGAGGCCGCGCGGCAAGGCAGACAGGCCGTGCTAAAGGTCAGTCTCAGCATTATTTTTTAATCGATAACTGGGTCTAAAGTTTTACGTACAAAATTTTCAGACTAACTGGGTGCTAAAGGTCATTTGTTTCGTATTCAATAACTGGGTCTAAAGTTTTACGTAGAAAATTCTCAGCCTAACTGGGTGCTAAAGGTCAGTCTCCGCATTATTTTGTTTTCAACAACTGGGTCTAAAGTTTTACGTACCAAATTTTGGGCCTAACTGGGTGCTAAAGGTCAGTCTCAGCATTGTTTTGTATTCAACAACTGGGTCTAAAGTTTTAAGTACAAAATTTTCAGCATAAATGGATATTTTCTTCAATGACATCGACCACGAATCAAGTGATCTCACTGCGAAGCAATGACTAGGTTATCGCAAATGGTTGCATTGTATCGAAATAAAAGTTTTCAGCTTAATTTTTTTATAAATTTGAATAAATGATCAATTGTTTAATTTTCACAAGGTTGACGGACAAGTGAGTCAAGGCACGACGCCCGGCACCGCAGAGTTCCTGCGCAGTATCCCCGACACGATGTACTTCGGAGGGTATCCTGCGGAGCACGACCTGCGCTTTGTCACCAACACCGACTTCACGGGCTGCATTGACGAGATCGTCATGTCGCAGCTGCAGTTCGATCTCTCCAAGAGCAAGGAGACGGCCGACACTCTGCCTGGGTGTCCAAATAAGGCAAGAATATATCATTTCTCCAAGGTTTTTCGAATGATTTGTCGTTTAGGTCCCGAGCCTTGAGTTTAGAAATGTATAAATGTATAATAATTGTTTAGATAAATTGTTTAATTGTTTAGATAAATTATTGCGTCACATTAAGAAGTTTGGACGTTACCATGGCCGCTGGAGAATCAGCAACGTTCATCTAAAAGAAATAAAGTTTGAGAAAAGTTGGCGCTCACCCGTGCTTATATCTCCCGGTTTTGTTTCAAAAGTTTCTTATCTATTCAAACTCATCGCTTCATGGTCATACTGCATCGTATAGTACAAAATTAGAGAGAATGTCGGACATTACGTCACGTCTCTCTTGGTACTCTTGATCACTGGTGTTTATTTCATCCCATTGAGTGATTGAACTCACGTTTATCATGTCTAAGTTCTTCATCGCAAGAGTGTGGCAATGCTTCTTACAACATTTTCTCGAGCAACATTTTGAGACACTTCAAACTTGGCTATTGAAAATAATTCTCCGTTGTTCCGTTCAGGTCGCCAGTCTGGTATCGTTCGAGAAGAGCAAGCCTGGCTACGTGCGCCTTGGCAGTTCAGAAAATGTTGGAGTCAAACTTGTCATGAAGTTCCGGTCCGGCGAGCGGGACGGTACGCTCTTCTACACCTCCAGCAAGGATCACTCCACGTACCTAATGCTCTCGCTCAAGCAGGGCGCTCTGCTCTTCGAGTCCCGGCCTGGCGGACAGATACATACCGGTGAGATCATTTATTTGTTGTGTCGTTGTTTAGCAAAGACTTAACTTGAAGCTTGACTTGAAGACTTAACTTGAAGCTTTAGTTGCGGCCTATTATAACATAACATAACATAGTGATGTCGGCGCTGAAGTGTAGGCCTGATGTGGCCTGTCGCCGATTCTTTTCCTTTTCGTGCCTTGTTCATAGATCTAAACTCGTGTCATTTGACCGGATCTTTTCATGACTGGCGATAGTTTGAAGAAGCTACTAGACTTCCACCGGGTTCGATAAGGAGCTAGGCATTTCAAATCTGAACATATATTTTTCCATAGCTTTATCTAGTCTGTTCTTGAACGCGTTCATACTTGGAGCGCCAACGATGTCATCGGGAAGGCTGTTCCACATGTCGGTGATTCGAAGCGAGAAGAAATTTTGTCGCGTGGAGAAGTTGCAGCGCAATTTTTTTAGCTTATAGCCGTGGCCCCTGGTGTTGGTTCTTGTTTCAAATTCTAGTAACCCTTCAGGGACCTTGTATAAACCATGAGTATACTTCTATACTTCAATGAGGTCCCGAACGTTATTATGATGATAATAACGTTCGTTATTGAATATGGGACTATTCCTATAGTTTATTTGACTTGACTTGAAGCTTGAGTTGCGGCCTATTATGATGATAATAACGTTCGTCAATGAATATGGGACTAGTCCTATAATTTATTTGTTGCATCGTTGTTTATCAAAGACTTGACTTAAAGCTTGAGTTGTGGCCTATTATGATGATAATAACGTTTGTTATTAAATATGGAACTATTCCTATAATTTATTTGTTGCAGCGTTGTTTTTGAAAGACTTAACTTTAAGCTTGAGTTGCGGCCTCTTTTCCTTGTTAAGATCTACCCTGAAGAGAGATAACGTGTGGAATAGAATACTTCAATTGATAAACTTGTGTATGTGTACCAAAATCTTTCACTTTCTCTGTGATAGTTTCTTTTGTAGATCATAATACTCAATGACCTTAACTTTAACCTAATTGGGAAAGGTAAAGATGTGTGGTATATTTATTGCACTTGATGCAAACATTGAGCAAGGGAAATTTGATTGAAACAAGAAATTGACTGGTGGCTGTTTGACTACTTCGTATTAACGAAATTAACATGGTCTTTCTGCATTGCTATTACTTTTCATACGGTTTTACGGTTTATACCTTCATATTTGGCGATGATTACTGAGCATCACTGTTTTTGTCAATAATAAAAACTTAATTAATTATATGGAATAAGAATGGTTTATAATTTGATACAAAAATTTCGCTCCAGGAGCCTTCAATCAATACAATGACAGCGAGTGGCACGTGGTGATTGCCGCGCGTGAAGTCAACGAACTCCGTCTCGACATCGACGACTACGACGCATATGAGTGAGACTTATTTTGAAATTGTTTAATCCTATTTTAATTAAAAAAAATGGTGGATAATCCTGATTGCTTCTTTCCATGTTCGTGATGCAATGAAAATGATACGTCTATTCCTTGAAAAAGGGAGTGCAGCAAAAGAGCGAACATATTCATAAGTCTGCGGTTTTTACGTTCGGTATTTAACTTACTATCGTTTTCTACCAAAAATTCCTGACCAACTATTTGTCACTCTGATTGATCATTTTAAGAAATATTACTTATTTATGTTGATATTACAGTCTTAACTCAACAATAGAAAGTGAATTGATCCAGTTCCTTGACTGATAACATTCCTTCACCAGACTCGGAGTTGCTGGTCAGCAAGTTCGTTTCGACGGTTCCGTATATTTCGGCGGCGTGCCCTCCAGCATCGCACCGCCTAACGCCAAGAGCTTCAGTGGCTGCATCGCTGACGCCACCGTCAACGGCCAAGTCATGGACTTCTCCAGCACCGACGACCGCCACAACTCGCTTCTCCAGGCCTGTGATCTGCATGACCATCTCGAGTCCGTCTTCACTTTCAGTGAGTGATTAATGTCGGTCGAATGTGATCTATTCTTTCCTAAACGTGTTTTTAAATTTTCAAATTTAGATTTTGGACATGTGAGAGTGTTATTGTTTTATATTATTTGACTAATATTCGAAGATCTGTATTTTATTAAGTTTAACTAAGTCTCGTATTATTGTACAACTTGTTTATTGTTCGAAAAGATTGAAAATCCATGATGCCTGCCTTCCCATTTCGCTAACACGCAAATTAAATATAACCAAGTATATACTTATGGGTGACAGCCTGCCTAATATTCTTGTTGTTTTCGGCACTAAACCATAGAGGGACGTAAGATTTGAGCTTCAATTTATTCACCTTTGATGTTTCACTTGTGGAAGTAATTTTACGTTTCGTTTGTACCCCATTTTCCTAAGCCTTTTATCACTTGATGCAGCTCTCACGGTCCGTATTGCTAAAGTCCTTGTGAGTGATCGACGGTACTAGGCCCGCGTAGTCCGTGTTGCTAAAAGCCTTGTGTTCCGTGGGGATAAAAATCCTTTACTACCCAAACTAAAACATTCACTAACCACTCACGTGACGCACGTGAAGGCCCCGATGAAAGTCAAGAGGTGACAACACCTCCCGAAGTATACTCGGAGCGTCCGAGGTACGACCCGGACCGCGGTCAGGTAACGCCTAGGGTGCCCGACCAGCGGCCCGGTCGCGGCAAGGCGACGCCAAAACAACCCCAGCAGCGGCCCGAAATTGATGATGAAGATAATGAAGACCTGGATGAGTATAATTATGAAGACCGTAAGTCAAATTGAGATCATTTTCACGAGTGAATTAGGAATAAGAGATGAAACTTTTTGACACAAGTTTCAGCTAAATTTCCGATTGTTGTTATATTTTTCTAAAGTAATTGGATCCGGCTTGATATTTGCTACGCTGTAATTAGTATTGTCGCGTGATACTGATTTCGACAGCTACCTACTAAGGAGATCATGATACAGAAAATATCATTTAAAAATTTTCTTTTATATAAAAGTACGGTAATTAAAACGGTACGGTACGGTAATACATTGCAGGACCACCGTATCGTGGACCGATTGATAGCCAGTGTCGGCTGCCTGTCGAGCCACACCACCCCGACCGTCCGCTGGAGAGCTACTCCATGGAGGATGGCGCCCGCTTTGGTAAGATGACCATCCAATTTCACAAGCAACGAAATAGAGCATGCACTTATTGCACTGACCTTATTATTGTTACTATTATTATTAAACTTGATGTCTAGGACAATATGTTAAAGCATGGGGAAACGTAAGGCCACCTTGGAATGTTACAATTATAACCTTTTGATATCTTGAATAATATTCCTTACTGATATACTAGGAATTTTGGAAGCTCGCCGATCCCCAAGAGGTGCGATTTTTCCTCATCTCTAATTTATTTTTACTGTAAGTTATCCCATAACTTTCAAGTTTTCATTAGCGTGAGATGTTTCGCTAAAATGTCTAAGAAATGAGGAAACGTTTCAATAAAACCTGTTCGAGTTGAAAATAATGCCTCAATTCTGATGTACGTGCTTTTATTTCCGCGATAGTGTTGAGTAAATTTTTCTGAACTGCAACTCTTTTCGTTTCCAGGCAGCAAGAGAGACTCGCGGATCGAATACTTAAGTCTTCCTTATGCGATCAGAGGAAACTTCAAGTTCTCATTTGACTTCAAAACGTTTGATGGCAACGGCATGATCCTGTACACGTCCACCATCTCGCACACGGATTTCTTCGCCATATACATGAAGGGCGGCAAGGTACAAAAATTTTCGGCCGCCACTTTTCATTTCAAACGAAAACTTGAATACTTAGCATTTAGCTGATTCATGTACATACAGTACAGTACATACAGTACATGAAGATTGCAATGATGTCTAATGCAGCTCACTCAGTTCCTGCAAACCTTATCCTAGGATAAATATTACTTCTATTGTTATAATAGATATTATAATATCTCACCTTCCGACTTAAATTATCACGATATCGCAGAAATAATAACTCTCAGCGACTGAAAGTTCTCATGTTCTTGTTACGTTATTTTCTCCATAGATTTTTCCAAAACACGTTTCTCATTTTTTTTTCACAAAATTTAACCGATGCGACAGATTCAATTTGGCTATAACGTCGGCCGAAGCAAGAAAATGTTGAGCAGCAACTCGATGTTCGTGGACAACGAGTGGCACTCTGCCGTCATCGAGAGGGAGGGAACTCGCACGAGAATTTTAGTTGACGGCGCTCAAGAGGCTTCTCAAGTCGACGCAAATTCTGTATCAGAAAGATTCGTTGAGTTTACAGTAAGTTTATGTTGATATTACCAACCATAATATACGCCTTGAGAACCCACACAGATTAACGAGATAGTATTAAGAGCAAGAAATACAGCTATCAGTTCGTTTTTTGTCTGAACCATAATATACGCCTTGATAAACAACGAAGATTGATGAGATAGTATTTAGATTTTAGAGCAAGGAATACAATTATCAGTTCGTTTCTTGGTTGAAGATTTCGCACAGGGAAACTAACGTATTGCTACTTAACAATATCTCAATGAATATAAAACTCGTTCGTTGAACAGGCCCCGTACTATTTTGGTGGCGTTGATCCAAGCATCTGGGAGCTGGTGCGCAGCAATACAGAAGGCATAGAGCTTTCCTTCACCGGCTGCCTCAAATCCTTCCGCATGAACAACCAGCGCGTCGATGACATTGACACCATGAACAGCGTCAGCAGATGCAGCGATGAAGTGGAGCCTGGAGTCTTCTTCGGTGTGGGCAAGAGGTCCCACATTATTCTACGTAAGTCAGACAACTTTGAAGATTCGACTTGCATGAGACATTTTTGGAAATTTTGGTTTTTATTCATTATTTTTTTCGGCAAGTTACCAAACTCTGGGTTTAACCAGATGGTGTAAGAATGTCTTGAAGGTTCCCAATCTCAATAATTTCTTTAGTTCTAAAAAAATGATCGACTTTTGAGAAAACTATTCCTCTTGAGTCAATCTTTTTGTGTTGTCGATCAGACAATCGCAAAACAATGTATTGGTGCCAGGTTCTCGTTACACGGTGGGACATCAATTCCAACTGTCCATGGACATCAAGCCTCGAGTCAACAGCGCCGTGCTCATGTCCATCCACGGCCGCCGAGATTTCATCCTCCTGCAGCTCCATAACGGCTCCCTGGAGTTCAGCGTCGACAACGGTGCAGGCATCATCAAGGCCGCCATTGCTCCGGTCGACCCGTACTCTTTCTGTGACGGCAACTGGCACAAAGTAGGAGGTGAGGAGGTCCATTCCTGATGACCTGATCTTCAGGTAATCTGCTTTACTGTGCCGCTATTCCTATAGTCGACCCAAGCTATTATGATAGCAACTGGTATTAGGCGAGATCAAATACTGTGAATTAATTTATTTGGAAGTCCGCGGGTACGATAGGACTTTACCGTAAAAAATTAACGGATCATTAACATGACGTGTATTAATCAATTCGTTATCCCCTTGGAAAATCTTCGGTTTCCTTTCTCTAAACTAAAAATCACAAACTGAAACCAACTCCATATATATGAGCCTACTGATTTCTATGACATTCGTAGACTTCATTCCCACAGCGTCTCTAATCAGCGTAATTTTTATGCCAAACTAATCAGGTCTTTTATTGTGTAAGAGAACAACTTCCCTTCCATTGGTGTTTCCGTATAAATAATAAAGACGTGTCGGCAGTTGTGAAGCTGAAGAACTTGGTGGTGCTCACCGTGGACGGTATCTCGGCTACCAACACCGGCCATATCGGGTCCACTTCGACGGACACTCGCCATCCGCTGTTCCTGGGGTCACAGCCCAGGCTGGGGCAGCGACGCGGTCAACCTGTAGCCGACATGTACGTGGGCTGCATCAAGAACGTGGTGCTGAGGGAGGAGCCCATCAACCTCGCCTACAGCACCTTCGTCGGGAACGTCAATGCTGGGTCCTGTCCCACAGACTGAACTCGTAACTGAACATGCAAAACCTTACATTTGACATCGACACTACAGGTTGATCTTACGAACACGGGCTATTGGAAATTGATATAGCCGTCTAGGATACATTTATGGTACAAAAAGAGAGGATGTCTTGACAAGAAACTACTTTTCTTGATTTTCAATCAGACGACCATGCGGTATGAAATTTGGAACATTTGTTTGCAAATGAAATCGTGAAGCTAAAACAAATATTTTTCGTGTAGAATGAAAAAGATTACTTCTTAACCGTCCCGGATTACATAAGTAGCTGTACCTAAACTCGACACGATTATAACGCAGCAAAATGATGCATAAGGGTTGAGAACATTTATGACACTCGGTTTAATGAATGTTGTGGTGAGAATAACCAACATCAAATCTGCTATGTAACTTAGATTTCATGGGAGAAATTTTACGATAAACAACTTTGACATTCGGTTTCTAATTATTTCCCTTTCTAATGACAAGTCAATTTATAATTGCATTACACGGCAATTTGAAAATTTTCCACAATAGTGAGGACAACTCACAGGTATGTATACAATATTCGCGATTTATATCTTTCGTTCAACCGTTAGTAAGATAATCTATATAGAAACTCTCATTCCTAAATGCATAGTTCAAATTCTTTACATTGAATCCTCGTAAATTTTGAATTAATTTTCACTGTTCAATTCTTTCACATCTTCATTCAAATAGTATGAAGCCTGTAGCACACAAAAACCTAACGATCAACTGGATAGACGATACAAAATTTGGAATACAATTTTATTGTATCCAAAGATGAGATCACAAAAATATCAAAGAACACATTTTCATTTCAAGACAAGCAAGAGCAGCGAGGCTAACAGCACTCGACCTGCTAATACTGATACGGCACGCGGAGACAACAGCAATGTTGCCCAAGAAATTTCAGATCATATGCTAGTCATTCATCAAAGAATGTCATTCATCATATGCTAATACGGTACTGGCACAATGAAAAGAATATTACACGAGAATGACACATCAGAATGTACGGAACAAAAAAGTTCAACACAAACTTCCTACTGGAATAGCATATACATAATCTGTTTTTAATGTATGTAAAAGTAAATTAAAGATTGGAAGCACACATCATTTCCTTGACCACGCAGAAGTTATGGCTAGCAATAATCCCGGTAAAAATTAATTATTTTAATTCAAAGTAATGACGGTTTTGCCACTGAAAGTCTTGGTCTTGTGTTTAGTTTTAAGCAACGAACACACGACGTTGTTTACTACGTTGGTATAAGATGAAAGATATTGAAAAAGCTGAAGTAGTCAATCATATGGACGGAACAAAACAAACACAAAAGCAAATGTGAAAAAACGTGCGTGCTTTGAGAACAAAAAACAGCACATCATAAGGGAACTGAACGCATTTACGTGCTTCTAAGATCGCACAAACCGTGCAGGTCGTAATCGCTGAAACCAGTGAACAAACCTCGACCAGCTCTGTTGGTCTTCCATTGGTGAACGAAACAATAAAACAAAACAATATCGCGTATAGCTGGCACGCTAATGTAACGTATAACACCGAGGCAACAACATGGGAACTAAAATTACAGAGGAACTGTAAACCCATTCATTACCTTAAACAGTACTAAATCAATTCAAGTTCACTCGTCCTATCTATCGGGAGATTCAAACCAAGTCAACAAAGAGGAAGACATTTTCCACTGCCAAAGTCTTCACCGTTGGCACATCAGTTGCCGCTTGATACAAAATAATTGCTCCAAGAAACATCGCCATGGTAATTGCTCTGGTAATTGTTTTCAAAGATAAAATATTCGTTAGTGGCGAGAAATTCTCACTAAGCGCACTGCAAGCGCCCCAGGGAGCAACATGATCACCCGTGAATTTAATTTGAACAAAATAGCATCGCAAGCTGCTAGGGAGCTTGTATATGGGTACAGTAGTGACGGCCGGTACTGCAACTCAGAAGCTACTTGCGACGGATGCTACTTATTAGAGGGAAACTTTTTAATTATTGATTTTACTTTTTGTGGGTTAATGGAACTATGCGTTGCCAGTAGTGACTTTACATTTGCCCTGAAGTGAATAGTGTCGCTTGGCATTTGAAAGTTGTACTGTCCGCCACTACTGTCCTCGTGTACAAGCACCTTCAATTTTGGTGCTTGTACCCGTGTACAAGCAAGCACCTTTTAGGTAGTGCCTACAGACGAATTTGGATAATTTTTCATAATTAACAACATCCCAGAGATCCGCGAGTAAACACTTCCAGACAAACATCCTCCCGAGCGGATCACAGTAAGTTTTATTGCTCCTGGCAATAAGCTCATAACAAACTAAAGAATTTAAAAATTAAGCGATATTAGAATTTGTTGATATACTTGGTCGACAATTGGAAGTTCTGTTGTTTGGCAGAGCTGCAGCAGCTGCAAGCTGTCTATTATAAGCACTGGGGTGGATTTTGAAGCCATAGAGCGTCGCGACAAACTGTTTTTCTGGAGGCTTGGGGCGGTGTTCAGGGAACACCATGAAGAACATGTGGGGAAAACTTGTGCCGAAATACGATCCGTCGATGTGATGATGTCTTGTTGACTTGGGGGTGTAAACATCACAGCATTTGGGGCAGTAGAGCTTCACCATCGCCTCTCCCGGTACGTCCAGGAGACCAATCGGCAACACGTGCTGTCAAAATTATTATATATTAAATATCAGTAGATCGATATGATAATTTTAAGGATTGAATAACACAATAAACTTCAATTGATAATTGTTTAGAAGAATTAAAAATGATTGAAAGTCTATTTCAATACTTAACAGAATTACTCAGATTTATCTTATGAAAGAGAACTACTCAAAGTTTGCAGTTTGCACATTATTTAAAGTCATATGACTGACGCCTGTCAACTCAGAAATATCGGACTAAGTTAAAAATGAGTGCAACTCGGGGTAAACACACACAAGATGCCTGAGCCTCGTTAGAAGCCAAAGCCCCAGCACTGTAACACAGTAGCATATGTGAACACAGTAGCAATATTCAGTACCGGTAGCATATATGAACACATTACAGAATATTGCACTGCAACTGCCAGTTACTTTAGCGTCGCAGCAAAAACAGTCATCATGAACAAGCTGTGATTAAAACAAAAATCTCAGGCGCGTCCTAAAGCAAACTTATGGATTGATGTGGTAATCAAAGTAGGTAATGAATTTGTGCAAAAAAATTTTTTTCTGAATATTTAAAAATGAAAGTTCCTTGCACTAGTGTTATACAAGGAATTCTGTGGAAGAGGGTATAAAAATAACCACTCTACTTGCATAACATGTGAGCCATAATTAGAGTATTAATTCTTACCAAATAATGATTTAATCCACGTAAGAGGTTGAAGCTTGTAGAACAAAACATTCCAATTGACCCAAATTTTCTTGTGTTTGAATAATAAGTTACAACAGAATAATTTCCCAGCCCAGGAAAGTGAATGGGTGGATATGAAATAAATTTATCTTATTAAAAATTTTGAAAAGGTTTAACATGCAACCAAATTTGAGGAATAGATATTTTTTTAAGAAATTATTAACAGGTTGACACCGATCGCACAATTGCTGGACTGCCATGGCAGATTCTACAAGAGTGAGAAATTTTAATATGACAATAACTCCTTTGCTTGAATATTACAATGTTCTGAATTAATTGACGGGGTACACATAAGTACCACCATGGCAGTACCACTATGGCAGTGTTAATCAAGGTCATAGATCAAAATAGAAACCACAAACAGGGAAAAGAATAATCATTTTGTTGTAATCAAATTTTACAGCGATCAGTAATTTAAATCTAAAAACAAATTAAAAATTTTCATAGAAAATTGTGCAATTTTTATACAGCAATTGCAGGAAAATAACAAGACAGATGGTAAAAAAATTGAACATAAAATCAGATAGCAAGTACATTCATACAAATAAGCTACAGATACTGACAGTAAATTTGAATACTGAAAAATCTCTATTAAAAATACTGACCTGGCCATCACAAAAAACTCTGGGACAAGTTCCGAAGTCAGCCTTGTTGAACTTGACGGACATCTCTAGAATGCCTTTGCTGGCAAGGATGTAGCGAGCATGGATGAGGCCGTAGAGCATCACTGCAGCTTTTTCAATCATAGCTCCCTGCTGCTTGTCCTCACTTCCTTCCGTGTCGTCTGCTCAGAACAGTCAAGTCAGGCATTTCAGCATAAATATAAATATTTATCCTAAATTTATCACGAATGCATGAAACAAGATTTGGGGAATTACAAAAAATATAGGCTAACTGGCTTAGCTTTTTTGGACTTTTATCAACTATATCTGACTAACATAGGCCCTCAGGGTGGCCAAGTGGTTAGGATCAATATTGTTGCACGCAGTTAGCTGTGATAGTTTTGGTTGAAATTAGTAGTAAGATGATCAGGTTGTTAGCATAACAAGATTAGAGCAGTGAGTTGCAGGTTCAAGGTCCACAGCTAGTTGTTAAATTTCTACAGTGATGGGCATGGTTGACAGAACAAACATTACCTGAAATGACTTATCTATATTCTTATTGGACTTCTTAAATTGGACTTCTTAAATTCACAGCTAAGCTGGTAGTACACAATACAAATTAGGATTATCATATCAATTCCACACCAAATCAGATGAAAATTTTGCATCACATGGCACCAAGCCAGCTGTCATTCTACAATGCACATTATCATAGAAGATAAAAGCGTAAATAGCAATCAATCATCAAGAAGACGCATAGCTGATGTATTAACACCTTGCATGCCTCCCATACATAAACATAAAGAACTTACCAACTAACTGGCAAGGTGACTCACCAGGTTCCATGTCCAAAATTATTTCAAGTGCTTTTCGGTAGTGGCAACCAATAATTTCACTCAGGCCTGTCAAGTTGAACTTGTCTTGGATATATTCTTCATCAACCTGTGGCAATTTAATCTAAATTAATATTAAATGTGTAAAAACCAGTCACGTAACAAGAGGTACAAAACAGCAATTTTTATGAAGCTTTTTCTCTGTGCACATTGGCTTCATGCCTATTAGCAAGAACTTTACTTTTGTTATTTAATATAATTATATATGTAAAATATGCAATAATAAAAACAATAATAATGGCTGCATCCATACTGTGGAAATGGCTTCAGTTTGAAACAACATAATAAATCAATACTGATAGAATAACAATTGTTTTGAATTACTATTTCAAGTCCAATAAGTATTTGAAGGAAAATCAGTATTAGTAGATAGAAAAACTGACAAGCTGCCAATTTCAAGTCTTTTGCAGGCAAGTTACCAGTTACCTATGGTCAGAGCTGGGCAGCGCTACTTGGAAATGTAGCGGCGCTACCGCTACCGCTACATGCTCTAAATGTAGCGGGCGCTACCGCTACCGCTACATGCTCTAAATGTAGCGGGCGCTACCGCTACCGCTACATGCTCTAAATGTAGCGGGCGCTACCGCTACCGCTACACCCACTAGATTGTAACGGGCGCTACCGCTGCCGCTACAGTAAAATGTAGCGCGCTACATTAGCCGCTACAATGGCCAAAATTATTACGAGGTTTTGCCGCTACAGCGCTACCGCTACATTGCCTTAAATGTAGAGCCGCTACTGCTACCGCTACTGAAAATGTAGCGGCCGCTAGTAGCGGCCGCTACATGTAGCGCGCTACTGCCCACCTCTGCCTATGGTTACTTCAAATCTCCACCCTAACAGACCTAACATGGCCTCCAGTTGCATTTGAGGCTATGTTGCAGATGCAGACCCTCATTATGGTGTTTATTGCTTGCTAGTGGTCTCAGTTTAGTTTATAACATAACATAACTCATTTTTTGGATTTAGTGTCTTAATAAAGATTGAATCAACTAGTTGTGTGAATGGTTTAACCTGTTTTGATGCTGCTTGTTAAGCAGTAAAGATTTATGAAATCCCTTTAGCTGGCCCTATCTCAATCATAACTCATCAATCTGTTTGCATTCATTTTTTGAAGTTTGTTTCCTCAATGCAATAACTCGTGTTTCCTCTTTTTCTCCCTTTTGCTTTCACAGTTAGAGAACTTGCAATGTTGTTCAAATGGCCAACTAACATTCTGAAGCTTTTACATGCATTGACCCAGTAAGTCCCCTTCATCATCGCTTAATTGTTTGGGTGAAGGATTATTGGGTTGAGACAAACATTGGTTTGGCTGATGACCATAAAAATTTTGTAAATGAATAGCCTAAGTTATATGGATATATAATATACCACTTGCTTGATCAATAAATAGTTTAGATAAATAAATTGTTTGGATGATCTTATTCAAACTTCATTTGCATTTAAATTCTAGACTATGAAAGAGTTGCATCAGTTGATGAGTATATTTGTTTTCAATGATAGTGCTGCTAATGATGCTTCTCAATGTTCTTTAATTTACCCTTTTAAACAAGCTAGTATTTTGTGTTATTTCAGGGTTCTTGGTTTAGACAAGACTAAATCACTAAGAACGTCACTTATGCACACTTTATTTCATCTTCTTCAAATTTCCACACCCTTTATTCCTTTCTGTTTGTTTACGTCTTCATGACTCAACTTTGTGTTCATCTTCCTGTTTATCCCCATGGCTGGGCCAGAGATGGAATGTTGAGTGGTGATAAACAAGTGACTTGACCGCCTACAACATTATCATGCCTCTGCCAATTGTCAATCCTCTTAAATACATAGTATTACACCCTATCAAGGTCAAGAAATATTAACTAAGTTTTGATTTGAACAAAAAAATTAATTTTCTGTTGGCATTTTTTCATTTGATGCTAGTAGCAATATTGACTCGATTAAGAAAAGTCACTTGATGAAATCCAATACAACTGATGTTAGATAGTTAGCCTTTGAATATGAATGTTGAATTCATAATCATAAAATTTCAATTTTTTTTAGCATAGTAACTGTATTAAGTAGATTCTTTAACTGCAAATTACTCATTCAACAGGCTAATATTTTGAAAATGCATGAAGTAAATTCATGTTCATACTTTCTTGTAATGGCTACAAAATTTTGAATTTCTGCACATTTCTATGCTTGCCTATGAAAGAGATAAATTACGTTCTTATGGAAGCCTATCACTGTATATTAATAATGTTTATTCATGACTAAAATATACAAGCATGGAACTGACAAAGGCCAACAGTAAATAAAGCAATAAACATGTATTAAAAATAGGCAAGAAAAATCACTGAACTTGTCAATGCTCAAGAAGCTAATTAAATGTTATTTACATAGCTTACCTCACAGAAAAATTCATTGCCACGTGCTCCACAAAACCAGGAAATCCATGAGACCCCCTCTGAGCTGCTCATTCTAGTTGCTGATTAAGTATTGAGTATTAAACTAAATTAAATAAAAAATCTGCGGACAATTCAGAAAAGTTTTAAATAATAAAAAGTCAACAACTACAAACTTGATTGTGTAATTCCAGATGTCAAATTAATAATCACTACAATATTATAAAACTATTGCCTGGACTGGATACAAGACACATTTCAAAGTTACCTACCTATATAAGGAGACTTCATTTGGTATGAAAATTTTTCTTATACAATTTAGAATACATCAGGACACATTCAGATGTAGGACATCAGGACACATTCAGATGTAGGACATCAGGACACATTCAGATGTAAAGATTAAACAGAAAATTATAATCAAGAATACATGACTGACATCAGGACACATTCTGGTGTCTAGTTTAACTGAAAATTCTAATCAATTAGTATTATGTTTGCAGTAGTAATATCACCAGGCATGGTAGCATATGAAGTAAATATAAAAGAACCAGGTCTTGTGGGATGTTAGAACTATAAACAATTATCAAAGAACACCAAATACATACCTTCAACACGGTATGGATATATCTACTTTTTAAAGTCATGAACAAAGCTTTTCCACAATTTCTGGAGTTCTGAGATTTTTGCAGATGAGTCATCTACTACCGGTACCTTCAAATGGGGCAATAAGCAACAGGAGGGGAAAATTGGAACAGTCCTCCATCATGGCATAAAAATGTTATACCATCAAACGGGGTAAAAAGGGACGGATTTGAGCGTTTTTGTTAATAACTTCTTACCATTAAACATTTCAAAAACAAGTTTAGGCTCATTTTATAGCTCTTTGAGAGGGCTATCCAATGGCATCTTTAATAAAATTCCATATGCTAGTCGTAAGGTGCCAGACGCAAAATAAAACCATCCCAATTTACCCCTCAAAGCCGGGTAATCCAGGACACTTGCAATAAAACTTCATTTTAAAATATTTGAAGCATGCAGAGTGTACTCATCCATTACTAACAGTACTCTGAAGTCCTCCTCTTTCATTGTAGATGATGTAGATGTAAAATAAATGACATTTTCTGGGATTTTTACTTGTTTTTCCTTTATTGATATGGTATTTCCATAATCATTAATTACCGTATTAATAATGTGATATTACTGTATCCATGGACATGCCATTGAGCATTGACAACGACCTTGTCCACTGCAAGCTTCATATCAGCAGCCATGTAGCATTTCTTCTGTATCGGTAAGCTTACAGGATGGTTTGTAATTTCGCACAATTTTAATTAAGTCAAGTGATTTCACTAAAACAAAAAAGATCATGAAAAACATACCTGAAACAGAAAATGTTTTAGTAACAACCATCATATGTTTTGCAGAAATAAATCATAGTTTAGGTCAATTACTTTTCATTCTATGATGCCCGGTGCACAATTCTATATATAGCATTCTATGTACAATGTTGTGACGACCGTTGATGCACTAATTTTTCGATAAGTGAATATTTTTTTGCGGAGCGAGGTAAATGTAATCAAAATTCTTTGTTGTTAATCAATTTTTTTCTTAACTGGAGCCTTTGCTAACTGAGGTTCTACTGTAAATGCATTTTTAAGGGTGTCCCTAAAACCCCAGGGGGGTGTCCCGAGTAGCCCCGTCGCGCAGAAATGGCTGCCATTTTTTTTTTGGAATGAGATAGGCAAATTCTGTCAATTACGTTTTCAAGCCGACACCTGGGTGCAACTTTTATGTAAGTAAAATTTTTCAATATGGCGAATATTTTTTTTGCTCCAGACCTTAGCAGAGGTACTTTTCCAAAATCGCACTTTTCACACTTTTTTCAGCGATTTTTTAGAGATAGTAAATGTTTGATTTCTTGACTAGCTTTATGCATAATAGATAGTAAAAATTTTGAGGTTTACACCACTATATTTAATTTTGCAATATTTTGATTAGTTTAGCTGCTACAACATTTCTACAAAATGTGAGAAGCGTGTCCCTATTTACCCCACCTGTCCCTTTTTACCCCGTTTGACGGTAGTAAAAATGTTGAGGTTTACGCCACTATATTTAATTTTACAATATTTTGATTAGTTTAGCTGCTACAACATTTCTACAAAATGTTGGAGGCACGTCCCGATTTACCCCGCCCGTCCCTTTTTACCCTGTTTGACGGTAGTGGCATAAAAATTTGTTATTGTTAATGTCCATTGTGTCATAAAAAAGTTATATAAACTAGTAATTAAAATATTGCAAAACTAAAAATATTAGTGTAAACTTCAAAATTTTTTCTATCTATGTTGCATAAAGGAAGTTGAGAAATCATACATTTACTAGCTCTAAGAAATCCCAGAAAAAAATGTTAAATACTGATATTTTTGAAAAGTACTTCTGCAAAAGTCTGTATTATAAATAATATTTGCCATAATAGAAAATCTTGCTCAAAAAAAATTGCAGACAGATGTTGGCTTTGTAACTTTATCAACAGAATTTGCATACCTCAATCAAAAAAAAAAAAAATGGCGGCCATTTCCGCAAGACGGGGCATTATGGGACATTCCCCAGACTAATATGGAACACCCCTGAAAATGCATTAACAATAGAACCTTGATTAGCAAAGGCTCTGGTCAACAAAAAAAATTGGTTAATGCCAACAAATTTTTAGTAAATTTACCTATCTCTGTGAAAAAATTCCACTCGACCAAAAATTGATGCATCATTGGTAATCACAAAATTGTGCATAGAATGTCATAGTTAGAACTGCACATCGGGCAACATAGAGCAGAAAGTAATTAACCTAAAATATGAATCATTTCTTCAAAAATATGATGGTTGTCACTAAAATATTCCTTTTTGTTTCAGGTATGTTTTTAGGATTTTTTCTTCTTATAGTGAATTCACTTGACCAAATTAAAATGATGTGAAATTACAAGCCCAGTCCTGCAAGCTTATAGATACAAAAGAAATGCTATACAGCTGCTGATATGAAGCTTGCAGTGGAGAAGGTTGTGGTCAATGCTCAATGGCATGTTCATGGATATGGTAATATCACATCAATAATAATAAAGAAAAATAATATACGTGAAAAATTTAATTTTTAAAGACAACACTTCTAATGAATCCGGTGTCTCCAATGATACAGATGAACAATGAATTTCTCATTTAATTTTCGAATATTACCGTCAACTGGGGCTACTCGGGACAGATTTGATTGTTTTTTTTTTGTTAATAACTGTTAATAACTCCTTACGATTAAACATTTCATAAACAAATTTAGGCTCATTTTATAGCTCTTTGCAAGGGCTATCGAATGGCATTGTCAAAAAAATTCCATATGCTATTGGTAAGGTGCCAGACGCAAAATAAAGATTGTCCCGAGTAGCCCCGTCAGTCGGGGCTACTCGGGACAATGGGAATAAAACTTCATTTCAAAACATTTGAAGCATGCAGAGCGTACTCATCCATTACTAACAGTACTCTGAAGTCCTCCTCTTTCATTGTAGATGATGTATAGGTAGAATAAATGACATTTTCTGTGATTTTTACTTGTTTTTCCTTTATTGATATGATATTGCCATATACATTAATTACCGTTTTATTGATGCGATATTACTGTATCCATGAACATGCCATTGAGCATTGACAACAACCTTGTCCGCTGCAAGCTTCATATCAGCAGCCTTATAGCATTTTTTTGGTATCTGTAAGCTTACAGGACGGCTCGTAATTTCACGTCATTTTAATTGGGTTAAGTGAATTTACTATAGTAAAAAGATCGTGAAAAACATACCTGAAACAGAAAGGAATGTTTCAGTGACAACCAACATATCTTTTGGAGAAATAAATCATAGTTTAGGTCAATTACTTTTCATTCTATGATGCCTGGTGCACAATTCTATACATGACATGCTATGCACAATTTTGTAAAGACCAATGATGCACTAATTTTTTGATAAGTGAAATTTTTTTCGCTGAGCAAGGAAAATGTGATCAATATTCTTTGTTTTTAATCAATTTTTTTCGTAATTGAAGCCTTTGCTAACTGAGGTTCTACCCTTAATGTGTTTTTGGGGGTGTCCCGAATAGCCCCGCGGGGTGTCCCGAGTAGCCCCGCCGTATGGAAATGGCTGCCATTTCTTTTTGGAATGAGATAGGCAAATTCTGTCAATTACGTTTTCAAGCCGACACCTGGGTGCAACTTTTACATAAGTAAAATTTTTTAATACAGCGAATTTTTTTTTGCTACATACCTTAGCAGTTGTAACTTTACAAAATATAGTTTTTCACCATTTTTTTCAGGAATTTTTCAAAGCAAGTAAATGTAGTATTTTTTGACTTCCTTTATACTACATAGATAGGAAAAATGTTGACGTTTACGCCACTATTTTTAGTTTTGCAATATTCCAATTAGTTTTGCTACTACAACAGTTTTACGCCATGTCGGAGGCCTGTCCCGAGTAGCCCCGCTTGTCCCGAGTAGCACCGGTTGACAGTAACAAAATTAATTTTTCAATTTTTTTAATATATAAATTTTGTTTCAAAATTGTTTATTCTGTCAATTGATTCATGCATTGCCTCCGACTTCACACAAGTGTGCTAAATTTCAGATCAATTGGACAGGTAAAAGTGTGTCAAATATCAGTTATACATTTTCTAGCTGACAAAATTATTTTTCCAATTTTTTTAATATTGAAAAAAAAAATAATTTTTAAAATCATTCATTTTATCATTTGATTCATGCATTGTCTCCAACTTTACACAAGTGTACAAAATTTCAGATAGATAGGATATCTAGAAGTATGTTAAATTTTGATTATAATATTTGTAGCAGACAGACAGACAGACAAATAGACAGACAGACAAGAAGAAGAAAGACAGAAGTTAAAGAGAAGTGTTGTAATAATAACAAGTACAAATCAGAGAAAATGTCATTTATTCTACATCTACATCATGTACAGACTACAAAGGAAGAGGAGGACTTTGGAGTACTGTTAGTGATGGATGACTTCTACATGCTTCAAACTTTTCAGAATTAAGTTTTATTTAAAGTGTCCCTTATTACCCTGTTCCCAGGG